CGTTGCCGTTACCGTTGCCGTTGCCCGAGACACCAGCGCTACCGCCTGCGCTCAGGTCGGCGGAGCCGCCAATGGCAACAAGACCCGGGGCGCTGCTGTCGGTGTTGTGGCGCTTGTCGAGGAGGGGGCCGGCGAGCGAGCCCGAGATGAGGAGGGCCGCCGTAGCGGCATTTTTGATGAAGACCATTGTGGGGGATTAGCTAGATGATTACTAGGAGTGCGATGGTCGTGAGAGTCGTCGTCGTGAGGACTGACGTCCTAGAGCGAGAGAGATGTTGTTGTGTGTTTTGAGGAACTGTTTGTTGTCCGTTGTGGTGATAGTGATAGATAGTGGTTGTAGTAGTAGTGAGTGATTGAGAGAGAGTGACTGTGTGTCGAGTTTATCGGGACAGCCTAGCTGTCAACGAAAGTAGAGAGAGCGCGGACGCGATGGCCGCAGTAGACAGAGACGGAATAAGAAAGAAAGAAAGAAAAAAAAAAAGGAAAAAGGTCGACGGTATCGACAGTACAACTGTTGATGAGAGGTAAAAGAGAGATCTGGAGAAGCAAAGCAAGCCGGACGAGGGCGATAGTTAAAAAATCCCTGGAGGCTCAGCAGCAGTCACACTAGCTCGCTCACGCAAGAGGCCCCCGATACCGAAAAGCCAAATGCTCCCCCCAAGGCGAGAGCACGTCACCCCTTTCGGCCAGCGCCATGCCCGATCGCGCGCGTCGCCCGCGCAGCAAGCTTTGTCGCTAGAGAGAAGGGGGCAGAGGCGCGGGCACGTGTGACGTGAGGGCCGGGCAGCTAAGGTTTATTGCGCGGAGATGGTGCGGGCGAGCTACGGCCATGGAGGCCTCGACCTTGGTGTAGGTAGGATTGCCGCTTTGGGCTGGCGAAGTGCTCGCTTATGCAGACCCTGCTGCGCCTCCCGTCAGGCCGTGCTGCTGTACCACCGCATGTCACGACGTTTGCTGCTGCGTGGGCGTGAAGAAGTCGTCGTCGTGGGGAGTCGAGTCGAGTCGAGTCGCGGCGGGTCGATCGCCTTGATCGGCGCAGCGATGCCCGCACTGCCTAGGTGTCCACAGGCGCGCTCAGCGACCTTACCACCGCCGCCGAGTGGAGTTGTGAGGGTCATTCGTTCGTGAGCAGAGAACGAGGTCGGAGCGTTCCTGGCGTCCAGCTATCATGCACTAGCCTAGCTGCCCTCACCAACACCGTAGCTCACCTCCCGGTGGTGGCGGCCAAGACCCCCTGAAGCACGCCGCTCGTAGGGCTAACTCCGTCGTGCACCGTTTCATGCACGCTGTGGTTGGCCGTGGTGTCTTTTTCTTGCAGGCTTTTTTTTTTTGTTTGGAACCGAAACAGAAGCCCGGCCGTTGTGTGGCTAGGTGTGTGCCGGCTGCGTTTCATCCTCCTGTTCCTGAAAGCCGCTCTGCCACTACTGTTCCCCTTCCGGCGGAAAGAAGACTTAAGCGGAAGAAGCACTGACATCATGCGTGATGGTGGTGCCCTTATTCTGGACAGTTGGAGGAGAGAGCAGCCGAGAGAGAGATGGATGGAAACGCGAGCCGGCTGTTGCCCTGCGGCTCACCACCCGCGGTCTAATCTCAGCAAGAAGCCGCAAGCCTTACCTATTTCCACATTCACGGATAACAAAACCCGGGGATGCTGTCTGCTGTACTCTACACCCTTGCTCTCGATCGATCGACTGGTGATTGGCACGGCTCGCGCCGCTCGCTTTCCAATTTCGTCCATACGTCCGTACTCCTACGTCGGTGCCCGAACCTCCTCCTCTCCTCCGCTGCTCCCCTAGTTAGTGCCTGAGCAGAGCAGCAGCAGCACATGGACCGCTTTCCGGCGAGACGGCGAGCCTAAACACCGGGGCGCTGGGTCTGGGGTTTCGGGCTTGTGTTGTTGTTCCTGCTCCGTCGACTGCAAGCCAGCGTCCAGCGTTTCGAGTGCCTATTTTGAGCCTCATGCACGCAGCCGCCCTAGCCTCCTCAGTTAGGTGCGACGGTGCCGCGAGCCGAGTGAAACATCGTGGGGGAAGAGGATGGAGGAGGAGGAGCGAGGCCGAGGGAGCGCGCGCGCGTGCCGGCACTCCTTCCGCGAGGAGTAAGGGTTCTTGCTCTCTCGCCTTTTCTTAGTTAGCTGCCTTAATGCGCCCCGGCCGCTCTCGCTCCCCGACGACCTTTCTTTTTTGGGGTACAGCGTATTTGCGCCCTCGTATTTGATATCTACGGCCTGGGCCTCCCACCCTCTGGTGCTTCCCCGGGCGGCCTCGGAACCGCGCTCGCCCCGATTGTCCGACCTTCGGCCTCATGAAGCCTTCCTTCTCTCCCGGCTTCTCTTTTTCTCATCGTCATTTCAGAGCTCGCTATCGATTGTTGCGGCCGGTGCGCTGCCGTAATTGGTGGTGGGTGCGGCGGCTATTGGAGTTATCTCCTCTTCGCTTTTCTTCCTCTTGACAGAATCGATGGCGCCGGAATGTGGTGAGCATGATGAGAGCTCAGGTAGGAGATGGGCCTGGGTTGAAGGCGTGTGTATATCGTATTGTCCGTCTTGGCGATCCTCTGCTTCGCTTTGTCTTCCTTGAGGCTTCGAGAACGCGCTGTGTGGTTCGAGACGAGTCGAGAAAGAGGGTTTGATGATCTCCTTTTGGTCAGCAGTACATTTTGTGGCACATCGACTTACTTCTCCTTCTTCTCTTCTGCCAACCACCACATTTCCCCCCGAATCACCAAAGCGCACCTATACTTTATAAACAGCATACTACCCATCCCCTGTGTTCCTACCACCGCTTGCTCATCCTTCAAAAAAGCAGACAGCGAGCACAGTATCGCGCCTACCTATACCAATCGCATAACGTTCAATCAACTTTTCTCCCCATACCTCCACGAACAGTGTCCTACGCGCGCCTGGGCAGCTTGACGGTACATTTACAACCATTTACAGCCACATAGCGTGACGCATGGGATGGAAATAGAAGAAGCACTAAGTGGGTGCTCCGCCTTCACGTCCAACAGCAGGTGTATTGCACCTACTAAAACACAATATCCTGCCAACGAGCTTGCCAAACAGTGAATGTGTTGATCGAGATCCCCCGTCTTTCAAGCTCTCTCCTTGGCCGTTGCTGCTCCTAGGCCTATGCGGTACCAGATGTTGTCGCCGGATGCACAAAGATAATGCTGTATGACACGTTCGCGATTCCGAGAAGATGGAAGCGGTGCCAAGGTGCATAGGTCTGCGTTTGTTGAACTGTCTCACCCCTGATGACCGGGTCGTTGGATGCAAACAAGCAGCTTTGTGGGTGCTTAATGAAGCTGGCGGCTTGGCCGATCCATGTTGGTATCCGTCAAGTACATAAGGGGCGTTGGTGTTGTTTCTGCAGCCATCCATATCCACCCGTTCTCACCCAATAAGTCGTGTTGCAGATGGTGAGGAATGTAAAAAGAAAAGAAGGAAACATAGGTAGATGGATTTGGATGGTTGAGAAAAGAAATGCAAAAAGTAAGTGCTTCCACTGAGATTTGAACTCAGGACCTCGGCATGATCTAGAAGGTACTAGTGCCGCGCTCTACCAACTGAGCCATAGAAGCTGTTGAAAAGAATTTGTTACGCTGCATTATATGTAGAGATTACAGATACGATCGCCACCATCAAATTACTGAGGCAACTCGTCGCGCGGTTATTCTCCCAAGCTCCTCTTCCCCGATCGCGACGTTCCCATTCGGACCGAAAGCATCAACAACGCTCGAGACAAGCACGCCAGGGTCCGAGCGAACCCCAACCCAGACGATCAAGACTATCACATAGATAAGGGACAAAGAGGACGGTTAAGATCTGATATATATGCCCTGGACGGCCGGTCACAAACACAAACAAGCAACAGCGGCAAAACATCAGCACCCCTCGTATCGCGCGGCCCTGCATGCGTCGGCTTGGCTGAAGCGCGCGAAAGGTCCATGGCGCTCCAGGGCTCTTGGCTGGACTGCCACGAAACGCGTTAACGGTCGGAGGCGACCAGACGGACAGAGATGGGTGGAGATGAAGGAATGGCAATCGCGATCGCTCGTCTTGTCGCAGCAGTCGCCGCCGCTCGGACAGGAGGGCGTGCCAGGCTGTTCGCGGATCTCATCAGAAAGACGACGCGGGGGTCTGCTGACGTGACGTCAAGGGACATGCGGTGTTGGCAGAAAAGGTCGAGGCGCGTGGCGGGTGACAGCAGTGAGCACAGCAACTAACGTCCGTCGCCGTGAAGCGAGCTTCACCATCTTGCGAGATAGCGATGCTTGTACAGCGAGGAAGAAGAGACCCAGCTAAGATATATAGAGTCTATACATACTCTGGGATCTTTTTATCTACGCCTAGAACTCAGGCTAGGAGCTGGGCAAGAAGTGCTCTGTAGGGACTGCTTGTATCGTCCCCTGTCTCGCTACACGGTGGATCTCAGTTCGCAAGGACGGACGCTAGCAAGACAAGACGAATAGAGGCGTGGAGACGACAGGTCATGCAAGTGTCCACGAGGGCGACCGGCGCTGGGCGCAGGGTCCAGGATCTGCAAGCGTGGGTGCAGGGCGGTGTAGGGAATGCGGCTGCGGCGATAAGCTGATGAAAAACAAAAAGCATCTCGAAGCTTTTTTTGCGTAATAATGGCGGGCGTGGGTGGTGCAGCTGCGCGCGGCTCTGGAGGGGCCCCAGACCGATAACGTCACACGCCAGACGTCGAGTCAAGAGTCAAACAATCACAGGGTGCAAAAGCTGGGGAAAGCTGAACCATGGCGCGCCATCCCACTCCCTCCTCAAGACGCGCCAGCCGCCAACCTTCCTTGTTCCTAAAGCATTCCTCGTTCACGCCATTCCTCCTGCACCTAGTCTAGTTCTGACTTTAATCCTGCCGGGCAGACCCTGGCCCGCGCCCCCACCCACCCATCCAGAATATAAACGTCCATCGAAAGCTCTCCGGCCCTCCCCACATTTTCGGCAACCTGCCCTCTCTGGATACCAATCCACCGCCATGGCAAGGTGGTTTTCCAAATCCCAGGAGCCCGCCGTCGACCCCTCGACCCTCGACCCGGAGGTGCCTGAGCGGAAGCCGCCGAGATGGAGCTTGGGTATCATGCAGGACAGGGAGACGGATGAGGTGCCTGGTACGACCTGTTCTCTTTTCCCTGCGGGGTGTCACTCCGGGGTCTTCAGCACCTCCCGAACCCCAGAGGCGAATCCCTGCACTGCACAGAATTGGACTGACTCTCCTGCCAGGCTCCGTTCTCCTTCTCTCCAAAGTCGCCAAAAGGAACGAACCTCTCGGCCTGCGCAATGCTCCAGCACGGACGTCCGCCTCGTCCCTCCCTTCGCCTTACCCGTCCTCGATCCGCAGCGCATCCACGAGCCACGACAAGAAGCGCACCGACGGCGGCATCATCCTCGAGCCGCAGCCGGAAGAGTCGCAGAATGACCCGCTCAACTGGTCGTCTTTCCGCCGTGATGCTGCGCTGATATCGCTAGGCTTCTACTGTATGATTGGTGGTGGTATGACACCTGTCCTGGCGGCCGGCTTCAACAACGTTGCGGAAACGTACAACGTCGAGGTTACCAAGGTCGCCCTCACCACCGGCTTGTATATGATGGGTATCGGCGTGGGCTGCGTTATCGCCTCGCCAACGGCCATTTTGTATGGCAAGAGGCCTGTGTATCTCACTGCCTGCGTCATCTTCATCTTGACCGCCGTTTGGTGTGCGCTTTCGCCCAACTATCCATCTCTCCTGATTGCAAGAATTGTACAAGGTATCGCCATTTCGCCAGTAGAATGTCTTCCTTCTGCTACGATTGCCGAGATCTTCTTCCTGCATGAGCGTGCGTACCGTTTGGGCGTGTACACCCTTCTTTTGTTGGGAGGAAAAAACTTGGTTCCCTTGGTTAGTGCGGCCATCATCGAGTCACTGGACTGGAGATGGGTGTTTTGGTGAGTATATCGCTACATCGGTTTGGAATTTCACTGACTGTTTTTAGGGTCGTGGCTATTGTTGCAGGCTTTGGCGGTATTCTTCTCTTCTTTTTCGTCCCGGAGACTTTCTGGTCCAGGACTCCGCGTCCCAGGCACAAGTCTCACAAATCCTCCTCGGCAGGCCACAGCCGTATACATCTGCCGCACTTCTTGGGCAAGTCGAGAGAGGGCTCTCGGGTGCAGCTGGATGGTGCGGCCTCCAAGTCGAGCCTCCCGATCACCATGCCTTCGGCGCCTGGGTCACTTGCGCAGCGCCGTCGCAGTAGCGCTCACGCTCATTTTGCAGTGGACGATCCTGAAAAAGATGCCGAAAAGGGTGCTGAGGAATACGCCGATGACTCCGAGAAGGATGTCGAGAAAACCCTCGAGAAGCAAGCGGAAGACTCCGCTAATGGTGAAACCGACGCCCCTGAAATCCAAGTCATTCCTGCTCCTAATGCTTCTGCAATGTCTTCGCCTAAAAGCAAGGCTGCTCACGACGATGCATGGAAGGTCGAACCTAAGGGCGGTGCCCCCAAGACGCCATTCCTGCACAACATCAACTCGCCGTACTACGCGTCGAAGATGGAGGAACAGGAGCAAGACTACTTTAGCGTCTCTCCCTCGAATCAGGATGAAGAACACCATGCAGACCATTCTATCGACCAAGCGGCGCACGAGGGCCACGACCCGCATTTCATCCCTCACATCCGCTCCGCTCTGAAGTCACCGCGCTCCGGCACCCAGTCTCCTAACCACGTCTCTAGACACGTCGTCCTGTCGCCCCCTCTGTCTGCGAAAGCGTCCTCCTCGCACCTCGATATCGACGCTAGCAACCCGGGCGCCATCTGCAACTACACGGAGCACTTTCGCGAGGCGCCCAAGAAGACGTACTCGCAAACGCTGAAGTTCTACTCAGGTCGTCTCTCACACGACAAGTGGTTCCGCGTCGCGCTGCGGCCGTTCATCTTGTTCGCGTATCCGGCCGTGCTGTGGAGCACAGTGGTGTACTCGCTCTCGATCGGCTGGCTCATTGTGCTCAGCGAGTCCGTGTCGGCGATTTACCGCAACCGCGAGACCTACAACTTCACGGCGCTGCAGTGTGGCCTGGTGTACATCAGCCCGTTTGTGGGCGGTGTGCTGGGCACGGCTGTCGCGGGCAAGTGCTCGGATATCGTGGTCAGGTACATGTCACGCCGCAACGACGGCGTGTACGAGCCCGAGTTTAGGCTTGTGATGGCGGTGCCCGTCGCGCTTTGCACGGCTATTGGCCTCATGGGCTTTGGCTGGAGCGCGGAGGAGCGCGATGCTTGGATTGTGCCGACGATTTTCTTTGGCGTGGTCAGCTTTGGTTGCTCGTTAGGCAGTACGACGTCGATTACATTCTGCGTAGACTCGTACCGCCAGTATGCGGGCGAGGCGCTTGTCACGCTGAACTTCTCCAAGAGTGAGTTTGTCCTCTCCCCTCCCTATTATTGTTTATTTGCTGACCTCTCTCTCAATCAGACGTCTTCCACGGCCTCGTCTTCTCCCTCTTCTTCACCGAGTGGCTCGAATCCGACGGCGCAAAGACGGTTTTCGTCATCATTGGCTGCATCCAGATTTTCTTCCTGCTGTTCTCGATCCCGATGTACATTTACGGGAAGCGCGCGCGCATGTGGACGGTGCGCAAGAACCTGATGGAGAAGTTCTAGACGGTGGAGCTGGAGACGTGCGCGCGTATGTGTGTGTGTGTGTGCGCGCGCGCTTAGATAAAACGTTTGTGTGTGAGAGAGAAAGAGAGAGCGCTCATATAGATGGTGTAGATAGACGGAGCGGCTGTTTGGGTTTTGGTTATGGTTGCTTTTTTGGATTGGCTTTTTTCTTTTCCTTTGCTTTTTGGTCCCTTGGCACGAAAACGACGATAAGAGAGAGGGACGGGCATCTTCTTTCACGACAAGTATGTGTTACGAGGCATGAAGACGGCGTTTTATCCTTATTAATTTCCTTTGGCTCGACTACTATTCTTTTTCTTTCTCGTTTTCTTATTCTTTTCCTCACTATTTTGGCACTCCGGCTCTGCTCTGTCGTCTGATGATGGAATGGGCGGAGGTCGCTTGGGCATTTGTAGGCGTTTTTCTTTTTGTTGTTATGGTTGGAGTGTTTATTGCTGGTTGTGGTTGTTCTTAGCGTACATACATACATACATAGGTTGGTGTTGGTGGGCTGTTAATTCATAGATGCATCGCAGGTTGGCTGGGTTTTGTAGATGCTTTTTTTGTGCGACACGGCTTCTCTGGTGTTTGTGAGATGGTACGATAATGGCAGTCCCTACAGACTACTCCTTACCTAGCTCCTAGCCCGAGTCCTGGATCTGGGTGAAAAGCTCTTAGAGCACACAGAACGTCCGTTATTGCGAATAGAGACCCACAGCTTAGCAAGATAGGGAATAACATAATTATTCCCTATAGAGTACTCCTTACCTAGCTCCTAGCCAGAGACCTTAATATGTATAAAAAGACCTTAGAGCATACATAGGCCCTACAATTTATAGATAGGTCTCTTCTTCTTCTCCGTACAGAGCCTCTACATATCTTAACTACGTCTCTTCTTTTCCTCCGTATAACCATCATCATCTTGCTTCACGGTAACGGACGTTGCATATGTCTGTTTTATCTTACAATTTAACTCACTTTAGTGGACGAGCAGAGATTCTTTCTGGTATCAGTGAAATGAGATGAAATGATTGACCCCCACAAACGCCAAGCCATGCGACTATCCACCACCATGCTATGCCATGTCCAAATCCTCTTCTGCTCTATTCTACTCCTCTCTCTCTGCCTCTCTTCTTAATCTAACAAAATATCAAACCCATCTTTCTCTATACGCGCCGGATCACTTGCAAGTCCATACTTCCTCCTTACAATCTCAAATACAATCAACCCAGCACTAGTGCTCGGGACTTGACGAATGGTGTTCATGATGAAGCCCTTGTAGAGCCAGGCACGCCAGCTGCCCATACGCTTGGCCTGAGTGCGGCATTGGTTGAACGTCTGCTCGTACGCACGGTAGTACAGGCGGAACACACCGCGGCGCTCTTGCTCAAGCTGCGCAGCGTAGTCCAGCGACTCCAAGCGCCCGTAATGCACATTCTGGATCTCGGTCAACGGATGATGTATCGCCTGCGAGAGGATCGAGGCGGCGATGCCAGCGAGTAGGATAAACGTCGGCTCCATCATGTAGTGCGGGCGGATAGTGGGCCAGAGGACGCCATCGTCGTAGCGAATGATGGGGTGGTACGGATCCGATTGCTGGGCCACGTGCTTGCGCCCGTAGTAGCGCGTTACGAAGTTGTAGTATGACTGCGATTTGATGTACTCGAAGGTCATGAAGAAGACACCGGAGCCGAAAGAGTCCTTAAGCAACGAGAGCGACCAGCCGGCGAAGACACCTCGCAGACCGATCTCTTGCAGTTTGTGCGCCCCATACTGCCACATCGTCTTGTAGCGGCCTTCGAGCATATCGCTGGTCTGGAAGCGAACCTGCAGCGCGTCCAGCGGCGCCGCGACCAGTGACTGCACCGTACCGGCTAAGAAACCTGCGCTGAACGTGTGCTCTGGGGGTGCAGGAGGGTATACACGCTTTGCCGATTGCGCTGACGGCTCGTGCAGCACGCCCAGCGCCTGTAGGTACCCCGTGTACAGGACGGCGCCAATGCTGACGTTGGCGAGCATGGGCGGCATGACCTGGTTTGGTATGAAGCTCCAGCCATGCAGGCGAACGGCATCGGCCAGGATGGCGGGCGTGGTCATGCGCCATGACCACGGGAGATTGGCCTGGACGCGGGGGTTTATGGCTCGGGCATAGCTCTGCGCAGCGATGTGAGTAACCGAGGCAGCGGGGAGGGCCAGAGAAGCTTTACCATGTAGCTGGCTGGACGTTAGCGAGGGATTCCTGCCGATGGGGACGCGGAGAGACTCACTCTACGCGCGCACGAAAAAAGGCTTTGATAGGGGCGCGGAAGTAGAAGGTCATGAACTGGACGGAGAGGGCGCGGATGCCGGCCGCCGAGGCACCGGTTGCGGCATGCTGCTTGGGCTGTTTCTTGCGGCGGTCCCCGTTGTCGTCGGGGATTTGGCCAGTTGAGATGGTGGTCATCGTCCGGGAGTAAGGCGCGGATTCGGAGACATGCCGTAGTTGATGCGGACACGAAGGCGGAAGAACCGTAGGACCAGAAGTCAACCTAGAGGGCCCGGAAGCTGCCCGCTGATCTGTGAACAAACGTCATTCGGCCCTTCTTTCCGCCGCCCAGACTTCCGCTCGCCGCCCGTCGCGCCAAGACCCGGCCTTACGTGAAAGCGCGTTCGTTCGCTCACCACCTGCCTACGCCTCCTCCAGCACCTCGACTCCTCCCACAGCTCCGCCTCACCTCCACATCCACTCTTTTCGCAGCCTAGCTTCCCTCCCCGCGCCTCCCTGGACTTGAAGGCGTACGCCATGGCCGAGGAAATTTCCATTAGCAAGGAAGTCTTCCACGACCGCCTGTCGTCCTTCATTTCTCAGTGGAAGGCCGACAAGCGTTCCGGCGATGCTGTCTTTGGTGGCGCGAGCTCCATCGTCGTCTTGGTCGGCAAGGCGAACGAGTCGAGCATCTATCCCAAGAACGTCGCGTTCCAGGTGAGCCGAATCCCCGTCACATGCGCAACCTAAACTGACCTCGCGCGATCGACAGCTCTGGTTGCTAGGCTACGAGTTCCCCACGACCCTCTTCGTCATCACCCAGGACGGGATTCAGATCATCACCACCAAGAAAAAGGGTAAGATTCAGAATTTCGGCCGAATGAGAATTCCGCTGATAGCAAGCCAGCTACATATCTCGAGCATCTTAAGGGTGGCAAGGTCCCGGTCGACGTGCACATTCGCGGCAAGGATGCTGAGGCAAACGCGAAGCAGTTCACGCAGTGCCTGGACGTGATCAAGAATGCGGGAAAGAAGGTCGGCATTCTCACCAAGGACGCCTCAAATGGCCCCTTCGCCGATGAATGGAAAAAGGCATATGGCGAGATTGCCAAGGACATTGAGGAGACAGATTGCTCGCTAGCGCTGTCCAGCGCGGCGCTGTCAATCAAGGACGAGAGGGAGCTGGTACGTCACACACTCGGCCAAGGCGGCTTGACGCTGACAGAAATCTAGCGCGCCATCCGCGATGCCTCCAAGGCCTCGAGCGGCATCGCCAATTACTTCGTCGACGAAATGTCGGAAATTCTGGACGCGGAGAAGCGGATCACCCACCAGGCCCTGGCCGACAAGGTTGCAGCGAAACTGGACGACAACAAATTTTTCCAGAAGCTCAAGGTCTCGAACAATTTCGATTTCATGAACCTCGATTGGAGCTTCGTCCCGATAGTCCAGAGCGGTGGCCAGTACGACCTAAAGTTTCTCCAAGAGGCAGATCAGAACAACCTACACGCAGGCGTCATAGTCGCTGCTCTTGGTCTTCGCTACCAGAGCTATTGCTCGATGGTGGCGCGGACGTACATGGTTGACCCGAACAAGTCGCAGGAGGCCAACTACAAGCTCCTTGGACAGCTTCACGAAACCGTCTTGAGAACAATCAAGGATGGTGTTGTGGTCAAGGACGTTTACAACAAGGCTCTCGGTCTGCTGAAGTCCAAGAAGCCTGAATTGGAGAAGAACTTCCCGAAGAACGTTGGCTGTGGCATCGGTATCGAACTGAGGGACCCCACAATGATGATCAACGCCAAGAACAACCGCACTTTGAAGGACGGCATGACTCTTCAAATCACCACAAGCCTCAGCGACATCCAGAACCCGCAGCCCCAGGACAAGAAGAGCCAACGTTACTCCCTCATCATTACCGACACTGTCCGCGTGACGACTGCAGACACGGTCATCTTCACCAAGGAGGCAGCCTCGGATATCGAGTCGTGCTCGTTCTTCTTCAAGGACGAGGAAGAGGAGAAGGATACCAAGCCCAAGGCTAAGCGCGACTCGCGGGTTGGCGCCGTGGCCCAATCCAACATTACCAAGACTCGTCTGCGGCACGAGCGCCAGACCAACCAGGATGCGGAGAAGGAGGCGGCAAGAAGTGCCCATCAAAAGGAACTCCACGAGAGAAAGCGGCGCGAAGGTCTCGAGACCTACGGCGCTGGTACCGGCAACATCAACGGTGTCGCTGAGAAGAAGTTCAAGCGCTTCGAGTCTTACAAGCGTGACAACCAGTTCCCGCCCAGAGTTAAGGACCTGATCGTCTTCGTCGATGAAAAGGCTCTGACCGTCATCCTCCCCATCATGGGTCGTCCGGTGCCTTTCCACATCAACACTATCAAGAACGCCAGCAACAGCCCCGAAGGCGATTACACCTCTCTGCGTATTAACTTCCTTTCTCCGGGCCAGGGTGTTGGCAGGAAGGATGACCAGCCTTTCGAGGACCCCACCGCTCATTTCGTCAGGAGTTTGACTTTCCGCTCTCGCGATGTGCAGCGTATGGAGGAGATTGCCAAGCAAATCACCGAGCTGAAGAAAGAGTCTGTGCGCCGGGAGCAGGAGAAGAAACAGATGGAGGATGTCGTGGAGCAGGACAAGCTGGTCACTGTCAAGAGTAAGTCTGTCAACGTCCGTCACGGTTTCTCGTCACTAACCCTCGACAGACCGCAAGCCCGCCGTTCTCGATATGATCTTTGTCCGTCCCGCCTTGGATGGCAAGCGCGTTCCCGGATCTGTCGAAATCCACCAAAACGGTCTTCGTTACAACCACGGCAATGGACAAGTTCTTGATGTTCTGTTCAGCAACATCAAGCATCTGTTCTTCCAGCCCTGCCAGCACGAATTGATTGTCATCATCCACGTGCACCTGAGAAACCCGATTATGATTGGCAAGAAGAAGGCCAAGGACGTGCAGTTCTACCGCGAAGCCACCGAGATGCAGTTCGATGAAACCGGAAACCGCAAGCGCAAGCACCGCTATGGTGACGAGGAAGAGTTCGAGGCTGAACAGGAGGAGCGCAGGCGTCGTGCCGCCCTCGACAAAGAGTTCAAGATGTTTGCTGACAAGATTGCCGACGCCGGCCGCAACGAGAACGTCGCTGTCGACATTCCTTTCCGCGACCTCGGCTTCAACGGTGTCCCGTCGCGCTCCAGCGTCTGGATCCAGCCCACGACCGACTGCTTGATCCAGCTCACCGAGCCGCCTTTCCTCGTCCTCACGCTGTCTGAGATTGAGGTTGTCCATCTGGAACGTGTTCAGTTCGGCCTCAAGAACTTCGATATGGTGCTTGTCTTCACGGACTTCACCAAGCCGCCCGCGCACATCAACACCATCCCCGTCCAGTCTCTCGACGCAGTCAAGGACTGGCTCGACTCGGTCGAAATCCCCTTCTCGGATGGTCCGGTCAACCTGAACTGGGCGACGATCATGAAGACAGTGCAGGCAGACCCGCACCAATTCTTCATGGACGGCGGATGGAAGCTTATTGCGGCGGAGTCAGACTCGGAGGACGGCGCCGGCAGCGAAGAAGTCGAGTCGAACTTCGAGATGAGTGACAGCGAGCTCAACGAGAGCGAGTCGGAATCGGATGAGGAGAGCGACTTTGACGAAAACGCATCGGACGAGGAGAGTGATGCAGATGTGACGGACGAGAGCGAAGGCGAGGACTGGGACGAGATGGAGAAGAAGGCGAAGAACAAGGATAGGGATGCGGGATCGAGCGACGAGGACGATAGGGGCGGCAGGAAGAGGAAGAGGTAGATGCCTCGCCTCTTTCTTGGCTTCTCTTGTTTTTATTGCTTTTCTTGCCCCCTTCTTTCCTTCCATCAGGCCTGCTGGATGTCTGCTGCTGCGACGGATTTGACGAGATTCAACGACCTACTTGCCCTGTCCTTTCCTTCCCAGCACTCTCATCTTTTTCTCTTCTTCTCTTCTTTTTTTGTGTTTTGGATGGACGGATACAAAACGGGGTTTTTCTTTTTTATTTGCTTTGCTGTTCTGGCTTACCTGATGCGTGGAGGCGACGGCGCAAGGCCGGACTACTCGACTGCGTGCCGGATGTGCGAATGGAGAGATGGATGGACGGGTAGGTAGGGCAAGAAGTTTAGCTGTGCACTGCTGTGCTCTTTCCTTTGCGTGTGGCTGTGTTGTGATTGCCTGTTCTTGAGAGTTTGGACTACTTTGTCTATGCTACCCATGTCGACAGGCCCGCTTCCTCGCTTGGTGATGTTCGCTTCTCCCTCTTTTTCTACCTACCTGTGGCGTTTGTTCTATTTCTTCTCACTGATACTTATACAAGCCCATCCACGTTCCGCTGCACCCATGCCTCCGCGCCTCCACGAAAGGCCGTCCTCTAACAGCTTGGATACTAGACTCGGCGACCTTATAACGTCCGTCACCGCGAACCGAGATCCACCGTGTAGCGAGACAGAGGACGATACAAGCAGTCCCTACCTACAGAGCACTTCTTACCCAGCTCCTAGCCCGAGTCCTAGGTATAGGTAAAAGAGTCTTAGGGTATATATAGACTTTATATATCTTAACTAGGTATCTTCTTCTACTCTATATAGTTATTACTATCTCGCTTTACGGTAACGGACGTTAATACTTGTATAAGCCTATCTAAGTTCTCGCTATAGCGAAAGACCGTTATCTAATAGCCTAAGTACTAGACTCGACGACCTTAGAGTTGGTAGCTAAAACGAGGGCTTAAAAGTATAGTAAACACGCTACATAAATCTATACCATAAAGCAAAGGAAAACGCAAACAAGAGGTACGGTAAGTAAGTAAGTAGATAGTTATATCGTATATATAGAGTTGCTTACACGCAGACCGAGTAGCTATATTAAAGCTAAGAACTATAGGGGGGAGAATAAAAGAAGAAGACAGATTTGCTCATCCTCCGGATGAAAATAGAAAAACCAAAAATAAAAATAAAAAGGCTTTTGCTACAGATACTGTACATGCAACAGGCACAGCGCCATCCACATCTTCTCTACTTATACTTACAAAATAAATAGCAAACAGCCATCATTATACGTACAAGAACCAGCTACTGTTGCTCGCTTGCTTGTGTGTTGTGTGTTGTATAATAAACAGACAAGAGCCCACGCGAAGCACGATTCACGGTCTATCAGCCAGTTCAGTCAGTCAGTTAGTCAGCCAGTCAGTCAGTTATTCTCTTTCACCTAAGCACTCTGGATGCGTACATGTAAAGAGCAGATGCAATGTCATGCCTGCCTGACATGACATGACATGACACGCTCCCGCGTTCCGCGTTTCAAGCGCGCACGCGGTGGCGGTCCCTTCACTTTATTTCACTTCTTCAGCGCGCATGCTCGTGACACGCCACCGCGGCCATGGAGGCGAGGCTTGGATGTGGGGTTTGGTTTGGTTTGGTTGTGCGTTGGTAGGGATAAGGACATGGATGGACGGAGATGGGGAGATGGGTGGATGGACGGACCGGTGCTATGCTATTACCTATGTGTTTGATGTAAAGTGCTTTGCTGAGACAACCTACGCGCCCCGCTGTCGCGCACTCAAACACAAAAGTGGGTAGGCAGTCTGCTTGTTGAAATAAGTGCCATACTGCGTGCCTAGTACCGCCCTGCCTGTCTGGCTACCTACTACTCCACCCAGCCGGTCGTGCAGGTCGCAAATCACCAACAGCGTGCTTCACCTCTTCGTCACTTCCCCAACCCATCACCTCCATTCCCCACCTAACTCCCCAAACACCCCCTCAACCCACAACCACCTAGCTAAGCACCAACACACACCACCCTCCCCCCAACCTCGCAGTACTCACCCCGCCCCCACCCCCACATCCGCAACCACGGATTCAGCTCCTCGAGCTCGTCCATGCCCCCCGGGAGCCCAAACGCCGCGGCAATGCTCTCGCAGGTCTCGCCGCGGCTGGGTCGGTACAGCAGCGTGCATTGCGGCAGCGGCAGCGGCTGCGGTGGGGACGGGTCAGCGGGGTGTGAGAGGAAAGGGTAGAAGGGCATGTCTGGCTGTGATGGCTCTGGCGCTGGCCCGGCGGGTGAGGTGGGCTGCAGTCCTTCGCGGAACTGGGAATATGGGTGTGCTTGGGCGTGTTGCTCGTGGGTGAGGGGGGTGAGGTTGGCATGATTGGTATTAGTGTTGAGGTTGGTGTTGCTGCTTTGCCGTGAGTGCTGCGTGTCAGTGCACGTGTTTGCGGGTGGTGCTGCTGAGCGTGGCAAGGCCGAGGAGCTCGTTGCGCTGCCGCCTGCTGCTGCTGCTGCTGCTGCGGCGGCGGCGGCGAGGGCGAGTACCGCGGGTGTTACGGCCACGAGGAGCAGCAGTAGCAGCAGTACCGATGAGGGTCTTGCCCGCCGCGACGCTGCGCTGGTAGCGTGAACAACTATGGTCGTGGAAGCCTGAGGAGCGTGGCTCCTTATTCCCGTTGCCATTGCCGTGCCGCCTCCGGTGGTGGTACTTGCAGCCGAAGCCGTATCTGCAGAGGCATTGACGTCGACGCCGGAAGAAGCGATATTACCGCCCCCCGCCGCACTGACGGCGACGGTATCGGCGCCAGGACTGAAGACCGGGACAACGGCACTCAGCGAATTGACCTGGGGTGTGCGGGCCGGCTGCGTGAGCGTGAGGATGCCACCTGCGTTGTCAGTGGTCGAGAAGATTGGCGGACTCTGACGTGCTGCGGTGGTGCCGATTGCAAAGGCCGTGTACGTCGCAGTGGTGTCACTGGCAGTGAAGGTCAGTGTCGTGGGCGTGTAAGTCAGTGTTGTTGGGGATGGAGAGGGTGTGCTGATCGGGGTGGTGGTTTGAGCGCAGGCAAGGGTGGTCAGGGCGGCCAGGGTGAGGGGGAAAAAATTGGTGATCATTTTGGTGGTGGGTTTGTGATGGTGTTGCTTTGTTGGTTTGAGGAAGCAGAGTGGGAAATTGTCACGCTGAGTTTTTCCATGCAGGAGTGTATGCCGGGTTTTAAATGCGCGCGGAATGGATGACATGCAGTGATGCGCTGGAGAATCAGGAAAGCAAACAGTCCGTCTTGTAGTAGAAGAAATCGCGTTCAGAGCTTTCTTATCCGATCGTGCCGATGTAGCTTTGCGCTTGCCTCATCTACCTATTCTCGCTTAGTCAACAGCGTTGCCTCGTCCCTTCACCAGCAACGCTCGTTATTTGATCATCAATCAACTTTCTCTGCTTCATCCCTCCACAGGTATGTGCGTGCTCTTAGACCTTCTCACTCACGTTCTAGACAAGGAGTAGTCCGCAGGGACTGCTTGTATCATTCCCTGTCTCGCGAGACGGCAAATCTCGATGGACAGTGACGGACGTTGGGTAGATACCAAGAAAGGGATCTGGGAGCAAACAGGCACAGCACGGTCATGGCGATGATCGCCCGAGGTCCGTCGACATGGCCAGGTGCGGGAATTATTGGCTCGCGACGAGGAGAGAAAAGAGGAGAGATAAAGTCGAAGTGAGGATGAGCGGGATCGATATGTTGGAGAGAAACATCACCATGTCCATCACCCATCACCACCACCACCACCGTGGAAGCGGCCCGTCCCAGCAGCCCGTCTACGGTGGTTTGATCGGCGCCGGCACCGCCCGCACATCCAACCCTCCGTAAATCTACGAACTGCAACACCAACGGGACTAGCGCATAACGGGCGGAGCACTATACATCATGCCATATATGGGTCGAAGGGGGCGTGAGAGTGAGACGGTCGGATCGAATGCGCGCGTGCGTGAGATAGAGAGAGGAAAGGGAGAAGAAGGAGGCTCCTAGGAGAAATGTTATCCGTTCCACTTGCTCCTACTTCAGCCGGTGCCCGGAAGCGACAGGCTGGGCGCTGCAGCCTGGCCTTTTCCCGCCCCGCATTGCATATGCTGAGCCACACCCGAGCCGGCGAGATTTGACCGGTCGACTCCGGGCTCACCCTCTGGATCGCGATGCGTTCGACACGATGAAAGTCATGTCCGCGCGCCAGCGAGCAGCCACAGCGCCGATTTGTGATTGGCCAGCAAACGACCTTCATCTCCTCGATTGACGGTTTAGGGGGATAGTCACTATAACTACTCTACACGGCCATTTGCAAAAATAAGACATCAATAAGAATGCGGGAGGCGAATACGAAAAAAAATCCATAGTTCTTCTCTACATCCGCTCGAGCCGCTCCCGCTCCTGCTCCGGGCGGTCGGGTCTCGGCATTGTCGGTGTTGTTGAGGAAGAAAAAGCGAAAAACAGAGACAGAGGGTGCGCTGGCCGTAGATCATGAGGCTTGGCGACATGCCACAGCCTCGCCCTCAGCTGCCTAAGGGAAAATGGTCCGACAGACAAACACCGTCTGGAACACTTCGATGCATGCAAACTAGTATCCACACTTGGACATGGTCGTCGCGTCGCAGCAGGCGCGCAACTGCACTGCTAGAGCTCGCTGCAGGCGCCCGCTCCCGCCTATTTTTGGCCCCGGGCCCTGAAGCCAAGCGTGTAGTGTCCCGTAGCACGGCGGCAGCTGGAGCGGCGGCGGCGGAAGGGCGGACTTGGACGCTGGTGGCTGGTCGCGCGCAGCTCCTCCGCGGCTCGCACGGGGCGCTCCGGAGCACGGCCGAGCGCAAAACGACCGTGATCCACCGGTTTCAGCACTTTGACTGGCGCGCGAACATGCTTCCTTCGTTGGTTGTTTGGCGCGAGCGGGGAGGAAAGGCCACGGCGTGGGGCGGGCCGCCGTTCGCTTGGCTTGTGTTGGGCTGACATCTTTGCTGTGACTCTCTGCTGCATGCGGCTGCTATAAGGGCCGGCCACCGCCGCCGCCTCGACGACTCTCATCATCCCCGTCCGTCTGTCTTCTGTTTTCTCTTTTCTATAATTCTGAGATACCCTTTGGTTTTGCGTTCTCTCTCTCCTTGCTTGGTTGTTTACCGCTATCCGCATTCTTCCAAACCACGCTCTCATCTCATCTCCCGCGTGCACTTTCGTCATTCCGGCACTGCTGCCATAATCCCGCCTCGACATACTTAGAGAGCGCGCATCCTAATCGCCTGTGCGACCACCGCCAACCAACCAACCCTACAAAACCAGGCGGCCACCGACCGACAGTTACCATCACCACCACCCAACAACAACAACCATGTCTTTCCGCCGGCACGCCCTAGCAGGGCTTCTTCTCTTCCTCCAGCTCAGCAGCACCGCTACGGCTCTCCCTCTTCCCACCTCCACACTCGCCATCCACGCAGCATCAACCCCCAGCCCCCTCGCAGGCGGCTACGCGCCCGCACGCGCCTACCCTGCCGCGCCCGCGCTGGCACTACCGCCCACTCACGTCGAGGGTGGCGTCGCTCCCGCGTCGGCCGGACGCGCTAGCAACGGTCGGGACAGCGCGAACCGCGCATTCGTCGAGGAAATGGCGAGCGAGGGCGCCGGGGGATGGTGGCTGGGCGAGCCGGAGCGGCACGTTGCTGCTCTGAGGATCGTAGTCGCGGTGCTGGTGCTTCTGTGCATGGTTGAGGTTGCGGGCGACGTTGTTGATGCGTAAGTTCTCCCCTCTTATCCTTCCGTTTTTCGTCTGGACCATGATGCTAACGAGATATGCAGTTGCAGGAGGGCACGCAAGTGGCTGGCCGCAAGATTCGAGGCTGAGAAGGCGGCGCGCGGCAGCGCGAGGTGGAGCACTAGGGGCGCGATCCGGTTGAGGGGCGACGAGCTCGCGTGGTGGCAGACTGAGGGCGGAAGCCCGCTGGAGAGCATCCCTGAAGAGGAGGAAGAAGACGAGAAGAAGACGTTTGTGGTCATCAGCGTGACAGAGGTCGACGCGGACGAGGACGTGGATCTCGAGAGCGGCACGGCCGCCGTATTGAGCGAGAAGAGCGCGGCGAGTGCATAAAGAGCGCGGCTGGTCCCGCCTCTTTTGCTTCGCTATCATATTGGGTTGGGATTTGGGATTGGGAAAAAAGGGTAAAAAGAGGCCGCCATGGACTGGCTGTCCCACTACTCTCTTCTGCTTCTGTTCTTCTTCTGTTCACGGTTACATGGCCACGGCCGCCGTTTCACGATTTCCTTTACGTTCATGTTTATTTTTATGTTGGCGGCGATATACCACGGATCACAGGATGGAAATGGGACGCATCTGCTTCAGAGCCGCCACTCGTCCAACGCAGGCGAGCGAGCTGGTAAAAACCTAAACAAATACACCTACCTACTACCATGTTTCCGTCTCCTGCCTTTTGTTTTTTTGTCGTCGGCATGGCCTTGCAACGTTCGTCACTGCTAAACCGAGATGCACCGTATAGCGAGACAGAGAGCGATACAAGCAGTCCGTACGGAGTACTCGCCTAGTTCCCAGCCCGAGTCCTAGGTATGGGTGAAAAGCTCTTAGAGCACACAGAGTATCCGTCATTGCGAACCGAGACCCATAGCATAGCAAGGCGGGAGACGACACAAGCAGTCCCTACAGATTACACCTTGTCTAGCTCGTAGCCCGACTCCTAAGTATGAATGAAACGGTCTTAAAGCACACACAGACTCTGTACAAGTATCACCATCTCGCAAGACGGTGAATCTCGCTTCACGGTGACGGACGTTATGCAGGTAACCTGCGTGGTACTACCACGTGGTAGGTAAGTCCGTTCCTCTCCTCCCCCTCGCCAAGCCGAAACCGCATCACCAACATTCCGCAATCTGGGCCGTTTGTATTTGTTTACCTATTTACCCCGCCGGAATGCCGTCCGCCAAAATAGCAGCGGCTTGGCCAGGAACTCAAAATACCGGCTGCGTGCCTGCTGCCCGCATTTTCCTCCTCGTGGCCACTCGTTCTCTCTTTTCTAGTCGTCTTGTTCCTCCTTCCTTCACTCGCTCGCTCCGTCCTCATCTTTCTGTTTTTCTTCAGTCACTCGTTCTTCACCACTTATTCATTGGAGGCCTTCGCCTTCGTCCACTCGCTCCCTCAGCACCAACACCAACATGCGCGCCCCCATTGCCCTCGCTCTTCTCGGCAGCGCCGGCTTCACCGCCAGCGCCGCCGTGATCAAGCCTCCACAGTCAAACGACTCCCCCACGGACATCCCCGCTCCTACCCCCATAAACAGCACGGACGACCCGCGCATCACCTCCAACCCTCGTATAACGGACAAGCCCGCCGTCCTCACCACCTCGTCAAACATCGTCTGGGATTTCTTCCCCACAGACGGCATCCTCTCCCTGTTCACGCCGATGCCGTTGGCCGTGCCCACGCCCGTGCGCAGCCAGTCCCAGGTCGAGACGACGTATATCCCGCGGTACACGCTGTGCCGGGGTGGCAATGGCAGCGGGGGCAGCAGCACCGCTGTCGCTTCCGCTGCCGCAGACGCTACCGCAGATGAAGACTGCCGCACCTACTACGAAGCCTCGCTGACGACGCTCTGCGCGACGACGCTGACGGGCCTCGGCACCCGCGTCCCCATCACTGCCTGCGACCAGGACGTGACGTTCTCGAGCGACTTCGGCGCCGTGCTGGTCCCAGCAACGCATCACCGGACGCAGAGCGGGGGCGAGGAACCCGCCGTCACTGTCGCTGAGGTCGTGGGCGGCAGCAGCAGCACCAGCACCAGCACCAGCAAAACAAAGACGAAGGATGCTGCTGCCCGTACTACGCCTGCCCCCTCCTCTACCCTCCAGCTCCGTACCACGTACTACCTCGCGCCCTGGCAGCAGCTCACGGCCGGCGGCGACGTGCCCGCCGACGTCGACGTCAAGGTCTGCCATGTGCGGGCCGGCAACGACAGCGTCGAGGACTGCGTGCGCGCGGCTGAGGCGTGGGCCGTCGTGCCGGTGACGCTGACGAGCGCCATCACGTCGACTGTCGACGTCGTCGCGTCGGTGACCGGTGCCGGCCGCTTCCTCGTCGAGACGTACCATCGGCCGATTGTCGCGAATGCGACGGTCGTCAGTCTGTCAACTGAGATGGTCGTCAATTATGCGTATATGGCCGAGACGATCAGTCGTAGTCAGAAGGTTACGAGTACGAGTTCTGGGACGTTGACGCGGACGCGGACGGTCAAGGTTGCTAATGTGGCTGATGAGGAGGAAGCGGAGTAAGTGTTTTCCATGTTTCCCGTTTTTTCTTTTCTGTGTGTATTGGGGCTGACTTCCTGCGCCTAGCTACAGCAGCACCACAGTCGTGACCTCGACGTCGACCGTCACAGCCTTCAGCGGCACGACGACGCAAACCGAGCCCGGCGACGACAGCACCGACAGCACCGACAGCAGCAGCAGCACGGCGCGCAGCTCGCGGCCTACGCTGTCACGCCACACGCCCTCCGCCCCCACCGGCGCCACGCTCCCCGCATCAATCTTCACAATCCTTCCGTACCCCATGCAGCAGCAGCAGCAGTCGGCCCCCGCGGCCGCGGCCCCGGCCATCAACGACAACGCGCCCCTGGCCCCCGAACCACTGACGCTGTTCCCGACGGACCGCATGCAGGCCAACCTGCTCGTGTCGACGCTGCCCCTCTCGCCCGCTTCGCCCACAGACATAGACACAGACACAGATGCAGACGCAGCGCCGCGCCCCACGCGCTGGGCCTACCTCCCGCAGCTGCAGCCGGCGGGCTCCTCCTCATCCTCACTGCTCACCGTCGGCGACGCGGCATCCTACCTCCCTGCCTCGGTGCTCGGGGGAGCGGAAAAGACGCCCGCGCCCCCCAAACACGAGAAGGGCCGGACGACGGCGCTGGAGCCGGCGCCCACGCTGGTAAGGGAGCTGGAGAGCACTGAGACGGCTGAGGGCGTGAAGACGGGGACGGCGGCGACGACGACGACGATGACGGCCGAAGAAGAGGAGGAGGAGGAGGAGGAGGAGAAGAAGACCTCCTCAAGCAAGGAGGCGGCGTCGACTTCTTCTTCTTCTGCCACAGAGACAGGCAAGCCAGCCAAGTCGGCGACAGCTACCGAGGCAGCGGCATCATCGCCCTCGTCAGCACCGTTGGAGGCGGCGGAGTCAACGGCCGAGTCAACGGCCGAGGCGGCGGTGATGGTGGCTACGACTTCGGAAGCTGCGTCCGAGACTGCTGCTGCGGCTCCAACGCCGTCGGAGGTGCTCGCGGAGTCGACGGCCGAGGCGCTCGAGCTGTCGCCTACCCCGACCGCGCTGTCGGAGTCGGAGGCCGAGGCATCGCTGGCGGTGGACGCGTTGGGGCTGAGGCCGCAGCAGCGGTGGTGGGCGAATGGGATGCTGGTTGTGAGGTAGGTGGGTGGGTATGAGGAGGGCTTTGTGTGGATGGTGACGACTTATTCTTCTTCGCTTGCCTTGCCTTGCCTTGTCTTGTCTTGTTGTTGGCTTGTGGTGTTATTTTGTCTTATTGCTGGCTGAGGAAGTTGAAGTTGCGGAGTTGGAAGCCGGAGAAAAGCATCTTCGAAGGCTTTGTTTTTGGCTTCGGTGTATGTACTGTAGTACTTTTTTGTCTTTGTCTTTCTAGTCTTGTTTGTCCGGCTTGAATGCAGTTACGTTCTCATGTGGTGTAGTATGGTAATGGCAGGGTACTGCTTTTTGGTATCAAATAGAGAAGGGGTATTAAGCTCTGGCGAAGCGATCGAGAGGTCAGATAGCTTGCGCGGTGCATCGCGGATTAACTTGCTTTAGGTTCGAAAAAGAGCGGTGCAATGGCAAGCTGCCGGATGGAAGAGATAGAGTGTGTGTATGTGTGTGTGACTTCCTAGAGTTACATCTGCACACACACACACCTAGTCAACCACAACCACACCACTCCCCAACCCATCCCGAGCACCCTACGCTCCCAATTCCACAGCCCCCATCCACAGACTCACACACAACGAATCATCTCTCCCCGCCCGTCTCCGTGACCGCAGCAGGCGGAGCCCGGAGAGATCCCCGCAAGGGATGCATGTATATATCCGCAACGCAAGCATGCCTCGGCGGCAAATAAGCGCAAGCGCAGCAGCGGTCGCACAAAGAAATCTCTCCTTGCTCCTCCTCCTCGATGCACGAAGAATGAATGAATACCCTTGAGCGAGCGGTGGGCGGGCGGGCGTAATAAAGGTGGTTCGTAATGGTAAGGAGGCGCTGGAGCTGGGAAGTTCTGTCTCTTTCGTTCTCGGTCTCGCTCTCTCTCTGTTTCGATCTCTCTGTCCCAGCTTTTTTGTCGTTCCGTCTCTTTCCGTCTCTTTGGCTTTGGGGCTTTGGGGCTTTGCTGTCCTGGCTTTTGAGCCTGCTTGCTTGCTTGCTTACTTGCTTGGTCTCGCGCTGCTGCGGTTGTGAGCAAGAGATACACAGCAGGCAGCGATGGCGAGCCCTGCCCCGTCACTGGCACCCACCATCTTCGACGCCGACATCGAGACGCAGGCGAGTAGCTCTTCGCGCAGCTCCAAGACGCGCGTCGCAAAGAGCGGGAGTATCAGTAGTGGCGGGCGGGCGCTGACCGAGGATGCTGTGGACGAGAAGCCGGCGCGCCGCGTTGAGGTCGGCAGCTGCAAGTTCTCGAGGTATGTACCGTACCTATCACACACCTACGGCAAGCAGGCCATGCCTAAGTACCTACACGCACCCAACCCATGGCCTGAAGCTAACCACAACCTCTGCAGCTTCCTCGCCACGCCCCTCGTCGGCGTGACAGTGGGCGCGCACGAGCCCGACACGCGCACTTTCTACGTGCACGTCGGGCTGCTGTGCCTCGAGTCTGAGAAATTCGTCAAGCAGCTGCGAAGCGGAGGGTTCAGGGACCCGCTATCCCCGCTCGATATCAATAGCAATAGCAACAACAGCAGCAACAGCAATGCCGCTAACAACGCCGGCACCAGTGCCAGCAGTATCAACTACACCGCTAGCAACAGCAGCAGCGCTAGCACCAGCACTGCCAATAATAGCAACGCCACCACCACCACCACCACCACCAACGGCAGCAGCGGCATCCTCTACTGCGACGAAGACGCCTCGCTCTTCGGCTACTTCTTCGAGTACCTATACCGAGACGGGTGGGTGCTGAAGCACGGCGTGCAGCACGACAGCGACTACGTGACACTGGCACGGCTGTATTCACTCGGCGAGCGCCTCGACGCAAAGCTCTTCCAGCGGGCGGTGCTGTGGAAGTTCGCGTCGCACTTCGACGCCACGACGGCCATGTACGACCAGGCCATCTGCGACCTGCTGCAGATTGTGTGCGCGGAGCTGCCCGAGCGCGCAGAGGAAGACGCCTTCCGCGCCCTCGTCTTCTGGTATGCCGCGGCGAACCTTACTCGCTTGCAGCGCTATGGCCGCTTCTCGAGACTCTTGATGGAGATCCCGGATTTGGGTCGCTATTTGTGCTTGAGGGCTGGTGATGGTGGCAGAGATAACCGCCCGGCTGTTGTGGTTGAGAGACCGGCGGAGAGATTCGAGTCGGAGGGCGTGCTGGTGTGAGGATTTTTTGGTTGTGTTTGTTGCTTGGATTTGTGGTTTGCTTGGCTGCTTGCGAGAGTGCTTTTTCCTGGCGGCGGTGGGAAGGCGTCATGTATGTAGAGTTGAGCTTTCGGATCTTCTGGACGTAGGGGTATAAAGGCGAACTCGAAGACCAACAGTGCGGCGTTTCTGATGCGTGAAGAAGAGTACTGAGGCTTGGTAGGTACGGGAAGCATCCGAGCACTCTGAACTTTAGAATCGGCTTCGTGGTCGGCTCAGATTGTACGTACTGAACTGTCGTTCCTTTTCACTCACAAAAAGCCACCCACACCTACCCCGTTGGCGATGCCCGCCCATCCAATTCCACTGCAGAGCAGGGATAACGAAAAACGCGTCTTCTTCATTCGCAATTAACTACCTACTTCCTGGCACGTCAGAACCCAGCCAGGTAACCAAGCCTACACATTCAGTAGGGTAAAACCCTGCCCAGCCCCATCAAACGCCATACCTATCCATCCATAAATTCACCCACCCCCCTAAGAAGCCAAAACGCTCTCCAACCACCGCCTCACCCACATCCACGCGCCCCTCTCCCCCTCACACTCCAGCACATCCTCCACATCCCTCACGTTCGCCCACGCCCGCTGCCCCCGAATCTGCTCTTCAGAGAACCACTCCCCATGCAAACCATACGGGACGCGCGTAGGCAAGCGCACTCGCGCCACCACATCGCGCATATTGCGGGCATCGAGAATCCACAACCACGAGACGGAGCCCGAGATTGCCTCGCCCTCATCGTCCAACTGGCTCTCATCAAACACGTAAAACAGGAGGAAGCCGTCGTCCTCGCTCGCGGCATTGCGGCGCGGCACGAAGCGCGCTTCCTGCGCGACAAGGTCGTCCGGCAGCGCGAACAGCGTGATCGCCTCGTTGTCTGGCTTCTTGTCGTACAGGATCTCGTCCACTGAGCGCGTGTCGACGCAGCCGGAGACGGGGGTTGGAGGCTGCGTCTGCGCGCGTTGCAGCAGCATCTGCGTGTCGATTTTGGCGAGGACGTCGATGCGCGCGGCGCGTCCAAGGGCGGCGCCGAAGGTCGCTTCCCGCGTGCTGCACCCGTAGATGTACCGCGCGTTGCGCATGCTGTAGGCGGGGTTCAGGCTGGGGAACTCGAAAGGGATGGCGCTGAGGGCGAACTGCGCTGTTATTTGGGGTTGTTTGATCGTGTGGTTGGGTGCGGGGAGCTGGAAGTTGTAGTAGTAGAGGCGGCATTGCTCGTCTTCCTCATCGGGGGCCGTGCGAGTCCAGGCGGTTTGTTGCGTGGGCGGTTGAGCAAGAGACTCCTTGTATATGAGTGGTGTCTGCTCGGAGCGGCGTGACTCGAGGTTTGAGGCCGCTCTGTAGCCGTAGGCTCTAGGGAAAGGAGGTTCACCGGCTTTGGCATCGATATCGTCGAAATCTTTGTCGTATTTGTCGAAGAAAGACATCGGTCGGGTAATTTCCTCGACTGTTTCCTTCGTCGGTTGTGGTGCGGCAATGCCGCCAGCGCTGTAGACAATAGTTGCGGACGTCAAACGACACGCTAAAAGGCTGACAGAAGTAGTGTTGCCATCCATGTCCTCGTTGTCCCAGGCATTTGCTGTGTGAAAGATGCAGCATGCGGAAGTCTCAAACCATTGTACTTTGTCAGGGTTCCGACGCGGGAAAACTCCAAAGCGAGAAAGGGCCCTTAAATCATAAGAGACGATGGGTCTGTTCTTCAGGAGATTGATGGGGTCTAAAGTTAGAGGAAGGTCCATGATGATTGAATGCTTTCTTGAAACGCCAAAGTCATGCATCATCTTGCCACCCGAAACTCCGCGGACGGGGTGGTTGAGGAGTTTTGGCAGGCTGGCCGTCTTTTCGGACACGTCTTTGGAAGCCGGAATGACGGAGTACTGTACATACGGTGGCGCGAATGTACAGTGGTAGAGAATCATTTCGTTCGTAACAGGATCGATTTTTGGATGTCCTGTCGTAAATTCTTTCAAAAAACTGAGGGGACCAGTCCCCCCAAATCCCACCTCTTTGCTTTCTTCCTTTGTTTCGCCCTCAGCTGAATGTCCGTTATACCAGCCGACAGTTTCCAAATCGGGAAGCGTGACCCTGATTGGCGGTCCGCTCTCACAAGTCGCCAAGGCGCGTCCGTCATGGTAACAAATTGCCGTGTTCGCAACACTGATCTTCTTGATGGCCTGTCGCGAGCCCGGCAAATGCGACAGGATGACCAGAAACACAGTTCGTAAAATCCGCAGGATGATGGTAATAAGTGTAGACGTGGGGTTGACCAGAGTTGAAATGCTCGGCAGAATTGGGACTCGTAATGATCGATTGGATGTAGCAGAGACATGCACATCCGTCAAGACATACCGAGTGACGAATTCAGGTTCAATATGCCCAGTTATCTCACACGGTTTAAAAAGGACCCCGGCTAGCAGACCATCGCCGTCAAACCAATGTGCATCGCGGCCAAGGTCCTCATTTGACACGGGATTGCTGCCATTGCGAACATATTGGCCCCCGGCGAGGTCTTCGGGGATATCCCCGAAGTAGCGGCACGGGATCAATGGGCAAGTCTCCTTGACTGGTGCGTAGTTTCCGGAAAGGTATCTACCAGCTGTCAGTACGGCGGAGCAATACGAGATGGTGACGGAATCAGTACGGATGCTTTTTATCATTATCAGGCCTTTTTCCTTTTTGTTTTGTAGATGCCATTGCTCAGGTGGTGGCGGGGTCTACAGCCGCGCGCAAAAGCAGCAATATGTAGTGATATCCGTATGTGACACAGCAGCGTGACAGCTACCGGTTAACGGCATGATGAAAAAGAAAAGTGGCATCACATGCGTCCCGATGGTTTGATCATGTTGAGCTCGAGATCGAGAAGGGTCGGCTGTTCGGATTGTCGTCAACGAACCATGACGTCGACAAACACATCAACACTAAGCGCTAAGCCAACCCCTGTGCTGGGGGCGTGCGAGACGCTACGGGAGCTTGGCTTGAACTCGGGCGGAGTTGCAGTAGTGCGTAGTGACGCTGACCGGCTTTGTCGAACTCCATCTGCCACATCCCGGCAGCCGGTTCGTCTCGGCTTTGTGCATCGCTGCGGCCATAGCGCCATCAATCTCCGGCTCGCAACCTCAACGCCATGACGATTGTCGCATATCCATATCTTCCTTCTCTGTCCTGATCCCTTTTCCTCCCTTGCACCCCTCTCCGTCGCATTGAGTCTCGACGAGCCGTGGAACCAACCTTACCTCCGGGAAGCTCATGGCACGGTAGCGTTACCCTGCACGAAATCCGGCTTCGCCATGGCTTGCGACTATGCACTTGTGTATGTCTTCATCTTACACGTCTGTCAACAAGATGCGCATACTGATGACCGCGCAGACATTTGAAGTATACCATACCGCTGGCGATTGGCCTTTCGTTCCTTTACCGGCCGCTGTTGACCCGCCTCGACGTGTACAAAGTCCTCTTTCTTGTCTCAGTCAGTATGCGCTTGTCGCAATGCTATGCGGTGGAGCTGACGGGGCCAGATTGCTATTATATCGACCATTCCATGGGATTCGTATCTCATTCGCACCCGGATATGGACCTATCCATCCCATGTCATTATTGGCCCCAAGCTGTTTGATATTCCTGCGGAAGAGATATTCTTCTTTGTGGTTCAAACGTATAATACCTCCTTGCTATATCTCCTATTTAGCAAACCAGTCTTTCACCCCGCATACTTGCGTACCGAGAGAAGAGATGGGAGCACGTTGGAAGAGCGGAGACCAACATGGAAAAAGTACCAATTGATAGGTCAGCTGCTGCTCGGGCTTGGAATTGGTTACAGCGCGTGGATGGTCAAAGCTGGCGGAGTTGGCACGTATATGGGTCTGATTGTTCTCTGGGCATTTCCTTTTCTTCTGTTATTATGGTATGAATTCTCCTCTTTTTTAAATTCATCAACACTAACGTGTCGCAGGAGTCTTGCATATCAGTTCATTCTCGGCCTTCCGAAGTCTAGTACGCTTCTGCCAATTGTTTTACCAACCCTCTATCTTTGGGTCGTCGACACTCTTGCTCTCAGGCGGGGCACTTGGGTTATTGAATCTGGAACGAAGCTTGGTATCCACCTGTGGAGTGGCTTGGAGATAGAGTAAGAATACTTTACCATCAGGAAAGATAAGATATTAACTAATTTTAGGGAGGCTGTGTTTTTCCTGATAACCAACACTCTCATTATCTTCGGTCTAATCGCTTTCGACAACGCATTGGCAATCCTCTACACCTGCAAAGAGTCATTCCCCACGGTACCAAAGATGCCTTCGCCAGTTCTTCTCGTCCAGGTTCTGCTTAAGCCAGCAATGAATTATGACGAAAGTTATATTCTTGCTTTGCAAGAAGCAATCAGCAGACTCCGACGGAAGAGCCGCAGCTTCTACTTAGCCAGCGGAACATTCCAAGGAAGACTACGGATTGATCTGATACTCCTATACTCGTTCTGCCGGGTTGCCGACGATTTAATCGATAATGCCTCCAGCGTGGAAGAAGCCAAAGAATGGATCCGAAAACTGCGCGTTTTTCTTGACCTCTCCTATGGCCCCTCTGGCAAGAGTGGGTCTCCTGTTCAGTATGCCAAAGAGGAATTCCCAGCTTCGGCCAAGTCGACTCTCGAGTACCTCCCAACCGCCTATCTCTCCAGCAAGCCCCTTCGCGACATGCTGGACGGCTTTGAAATGGATTTGGCCTTCTCCGACCCGGGCTCCGAATCTCCGATCAAGGATGTCGAGGCCCTCGATCTCTATGGCGCACGTGTCGCCGGCACAGTCGCCGAATCGATTTTGGAAATGGTATTCCATCATCATCATGATGCAGCCACATCGGAATCAAAAACCCGTCTTATCAAAGCGGGAGGGAGAATGGGCGTCGCGCTGCAATATGTCAACATCTCGCGTGACATCCGGGTGGACGCTGATATCAAGCGTGTCTATATCCCGCTGACGTGGCTAAAAGAGGAGGGTCTTACGGCTCGGGATGTCATTAAGCAGCCACAGGGAGCAAAGGTGGAGGCGCTCCGGTCACGCCTGCTCGACCGCGCCTTCAGCATGTACTCGGAGGCACGCGGAGCCATCGAGGAGCTGCCCGCTGAAGCCAGAGGCCCCATGATGGTCGCAGTGGAGAGTTACATGGAGATCGGCAGAGTGCTGAGGGAGAAGGGCTGTGCGCCGCGAGAAGGGAGAGCAACGGTGCCGAAGATGCGCAGGGTGTGGGTTGCGTGGCAGGCGCTACGGAAGTGCTCGACGGCCTAGTTTTCGTGGGGCTTTTGAGCGCATGATGTTTGTTTCGGAGATACCCTCTCAGCTGATAATTGTTAGTTGACGTTTATGTATGTAGTATTTGTTTTCATTGCTAGTTGCTAGTGTAAAATGGTGATAATGTGATCCTTCGGCCTTCACTGCCGCGCGATGCTCCAATCCCTGCGACGATCCTCGCGGTGGGCTTGCGCCGTCTCGGGTCTGTGCTTCCAATGAGTCTCGGATCGCGCCGGTGCCCGCGGACGTCATTCCAAATGCTCCAAACCACCATGTCTGCCCAGGACGCGCCTTTGACAGTGACATTGGCTTCGAAATGGCTGAGAAGAAGGGACAAAGGTCTGCTATAGTCATAGGTATGTAGGCTTTCCCTCCCATGTTGTTGCCCTGAGCTGATGCGGTGCTGTTGAAAGGTGCGGGCGTGGGCGGCGTCGCAACAGCCGCGAGACTGGCCAAAGCGGGCTACAAAGTCACTGTTGTGGAGAAGAATGACTTTACAGGCGGACGATGCTCATTGATTGAGCATGACGGGTTTGTACGCGCTTTCTCTGCCATCTCCCATTGCCTCAGTACCAGCCAACTAACAAGTTGCCGTCCAGCGCTTCGATCAGGGCCCCTCTCTCCTACTCCTACCTCACCTTTTCGCCGAAGCCTTTCATGACCTCGATACATCTCTCGAACAGGAGGGCGTCAAGCTGCTCAAATGCGAGCCCAACTACAACCTCTGGTTCGGCGACGGCACCTCCTTCGAACTGTCCACCGACCTCGCGCGCATGAAGCAGGAAGTCGAGAAATGGGAGGGCAAAGATGGCTTTGAGCGCTACTTGGGCTTCTTGGCCGAGTCACATCGGCATTATGAGCTCAGTGTCGAACACGTCCTGCGCAAGAACTTTACGAGCTTGCTGAGTATGACGAGACTCAGTTTCTTGAGGCATCTGTTGGCCCTACATCCATTCGAGAGCATATATTCGCGCGCATCGAAGTACTTTTGGACGGAGAGGCTTAGGAGGGTCTTCACGTTTGGAAGCATGTATATGGGCATGAGCCCGTTTGATGCGCCAGGGACGTATTCGCTTCTGCAGTATACTGAGTTGGCTGAGGGCATTTGGTACCCCGAGGGTGGATTCCACAAGGTATTCCACCGCAAGGAAGAGTACAAAGAAACAAGTTAACATCAACGCAGGTCGTCGACGCTCTAGTTAAGGTAGGCAAAAGACTAGGCATAGAATACCGGCTGTCAACACCTATAAAATCTATATCACTCACGCCGGACCAAAGCGCCACGGACGGCGTGATCCTCACCGACGGCAGCAAACTGTCGGCCGACGTGGTAATCAACAACGCAGACCTCGTCTACGCATACAACCACCTTCTGCCGCGCAGCAAGTACGCGCAGCGCCTCTCGCAGCGCCCCGCCTCCTGCAGCAGCATCTCCTTCTACTGGGCGCTCTCAGACACGGTGCCCGCGCTGCGCGCGCACAACATCTTCCTCGCAGACGAGTACCGCGAGTCCTTCGACAGCATCTTCAAAGCGCACCTCATCCCCTCCTCACCCAGCTTCTACGTCAACGTGCCCAGCCGCGTCGACCCCTCCGCTGCGCCGCAGGGCAAAGACAGCGTCGTCGTGCTCGTCCCCGTAGGGCACCTCCTCGAGGACGCAGGCGCCGACCCCGAGAGCCCCGCCCCACCTAAACACCGGGGCCTCGCCTCATCCTCGTCTCCCTCCGCCAGCAGCCCGCAAGACTGGACCGCCATGGTCGCCCTAGCGCGGCGCACCGTCCTCGCAACCATCGAGGCCCGCACCGGCGCCAAGCTAGAGCCGCTCATAGCGCACGAGCGCGTCAACACGCCCGCAGACTGGCGCGACGCGTTCAACCTCGACCGCGGCGCCATCTTGGGCCTCAGCCACAGCTTCTTCAACGTCCTGAGTTTCCGCCCCAAGACGAGGCATGCCAGCATCCGCGGCTTGTATTTCGTGGGCGCGTCGGCGCACCCCGGCACTGGTGTGCCGATTTGTTTGGCTGGGAGCAAGATTGTCGCCGGTCAGGTGCTGGGGGATGCGGGGGTGGGGGTGCCGTGGACGGAGGGTGCTGAGGGAAAGGGGAAGTGTGGTGGGAAGGGCATTGATAGGGTGGAGGGAGGGCCGTGGCTTAGTTGGGTGCATGTTGTTGTTGTGGCGTTGGCGGCGCTGGTGTTTAATTGGGTGTATGTCATTGTTGCTGTGGTGCTGGCAATGGTGTTGGCTTTGCTTGTGGGTTGGGAGAATCTTGATGCGCGGGCTTTGAAGGTCGTGGGGGATTGGTGATTGGGGGTTAAGGCTGGTAGGATGGGTGGGTGGTTGTTGTGGCAGAGGATGGTGTTGGCTCGACTTCTAGAGAGATGGTAAGGTCTGTCGCCGTCAAGACGATTCACTTGCTAGCGAGATAGGGAAGGACTGAAGCAGTCTCTATGGAGTACTTCTTGTCTAGCTACAACATCCGTCACCATCAAGCGAGATTCTCCTTCCAGCGAGATAGGAAAGGATACAAGCAGTCCCCATGGAATACTCTTTATCTAGCTACATATCTGAGTCCTGGATATAAGTAAGGACATCTTCAGGCATACACATATCTACAAACGTCTTGACTAGATTTCGTTTCTACTTCGTACACGCTGACATGCATCGCCATCTCGTTAGGCAGTGAATCTCGCTTGACCATAACGGACTTTACGCAGTTCCAGCAAAAGTGAGCTAGGTACGTACCTAGCCACAAAACCACTGCGCACGTACCTACCCACCCACCCAGGTACCTCACGCGACACAAATACAAACACAAACGCGGACGGACGGGCACAGCCGGCACGGCTGCCAGATCTACATCCATGCGTGCGTGCGTGTTCGCATGACGGGATCGGCGAGCCGGGGTTGTGGCTGCTGCCGCTGCGGTTCTCGCATGGCTACCGTGGTAGGTTGTTGGGTCGGACGGCTGCCATGTGTGCAGTGTCACACCGCTTCAGTCGTGCAATATGAGGGGGTGGATGGGTGGGTGAGAGAGTGAGGATCACGAGAGGAGAGGAGGGCCGAGGGGAGAGCGTTATGCGCGGGGGTTATTGGTTCCGCGAAGGGGAATTGAGTCGTGGGAGGGACCCAGTTTTTGCGGAGAGAGAGAGAGAGAGCGTGTGTATGTGTGAGGGACAAAAAGAAAAAAGAGAGAGAGATCGGAGCATAGGAGGGAGGGGGTCTGTGTGTTTGTGTGACTTGACGTTGGTGCTGCTGTTATTGTTGTTGGGATCGTTCGCGTAGGTGGGAAGTCGTTCCCGAGCGAGGAGGAGGGGAAGCATAGATGTGGAAGGAAGGGGTGGACAAAGAAAGAACTAGAACGCAGAACGCCTGTGAACACAACACACTCACCCCACACGCGCACGCGCCCGTCGCCTCTATAGGCAACTACTATATCGTTTGCCGCTGCTCGATTATCAAAACCAAACCTCCTCTCCGCACGCACAGGACAGCTTCTCTACCGCGCGGTCCCGATCGATCGCCCGCCAGGCCGCCTCGCCTCCCATGCCTGCCGCACGGCACACCCGGGCTCGGCAGTGATGCGCCGACAGTGTCTGGTGACGCGCGACCGACTCAGCAACCTTTGTCGAGCTGCCATTGTCTTGTACAACACAACGGACCCCCTCTTCTTGGCGCTGTGAGGAGTGCAAGGGCGCGTTTTGGGCCTCGAGGCTAGCTTGCGCGGCACCGCTCGAGCGACGCTGCACACTGCCCGGTGTCGGCGGCCGTAATCGCGCAGTGTCTCTGCTGCTACCTTTGTTGCGACGGCTGTTGTTGTTTTGGTGTTGACAACCGGGTAGAAGAGGCGTGATTCTCTGCTCGGGAGGCGCTCGGCGCGCTCGGCGGGCGCGACCCACTCACTGCTCGTCCCGTTGAGTGTGTGGAGAGCAGCGGGAGGAGAAATCTCACCAGGTGCGTCTCGTGACGGAGGATGATCGTTGCTCCTGTAGAGAGGATGGGGTGCGAGTCGGAAAGAAGGGATTTCGTCTCCAGAGATTGAGCAACTCCTGCCGGCAGCCGCCGGAGATGTGACTGGTGACAGGTGGGAATCATAATGATTGCTGACTCGGGCAGAAAATATTTGGATTAACTCAAAGCTTATTATTGTGTTAATACAGCGAGGGCGCGAAAAGAAGACGTCGTGCTTACGGCGAGAGAGACAGGTAACGGATAGAGCCATGTCGATCGAGGCGCCATCGCGATAAAGTTGCCAGACGGCGCGGGACAAGCTTCCGCCCATCAAACGCTAGAGCCGTCTGGAAGCCTTTGCGCTGCCATGGGCCATGGCTTGCATCATCGATGCTCAGTCTGTATCGCTAGAGTAGAGCAAACACCCTGCGACAAGCCGGCAAGGTCGTCATGCTCATGTAAGGAATCCAGCATTTTGGCACGATCAGCCCCGGACTGCTTTTCCCTTTGTGCTCCACGTCATGTCTGTGCATCTGTCTCTCTTGTGATATTAAACACTCAGGTACCGCAGCTTTTTCAGAAACAGCGCAAGCACCAGTTTTCTCTCCCCCTCCAGCGTCCATGAGCGTAGACATTTCCACCATGTTTTTCCACCAACTTGAGCGTCGAAACGACGCCCTTAACATAAACGGTCAGTAACTGCCAGAATCTATCATTCACTGATCTCTCCCCACTGACACCCTCAGGGAACACTGTCAATGGCAGGACCGCCGACATTGCTATCACAACTCGCGGCTCAGACTGGTACTGGACCGTGTGTGCCGTCATGACCGTCTCTACGTTCGTCTTCGTTGGTCTGGCCCTCCGCAAGCCCCGTCACCACCGCCTCTTCCACTACATCACGGCCGCCATCACCATGACTGCTGCCATTGCTTATTTCACCATGGGCTCCAACCTGGGCTTTACCCCGATTCCTGTCGAGTTCCGCCGCTCCGACCCCAAGGTCCGCGGAATCAACCGCGAGATCTTCTACGTCCGTTACATTGACTGGTGAGTGTGCTGATGCCGAGCCCCAAGTTCAGTCAACTGACATATACCTCCTAGGTTCATCACCACTCCACTGCTGCTCCTGGACCTCATGCTCACTGCCGGCATGCCCTGGCCTACCATCCTGTGGGTCATCTTTGTCGACTGGGTGATGATTGTCACCGGCCTCATCGGCGCACTTGTGCAGAGCACCTACAAATGGGGCTACTTTGCCTTCGGTAAGCCATCATCCAGTCTCCAGCTTCCACAAACGGCAACTAACAACAGCACACAGGCTGCGCGGCTCTCATGTACATCGTGTACCAACTAGTATGGGAATCACGGCGGCACGCAAGCCGGATCGGAGACGACGTCAACAGAGCCTTCGTGTCCTGCGGCAGCCTAACCACCATCCTTTGGATCTGCTACCCCATCGCTTGGGGGGTTGCTGAAGGCGGGAATGTCATTGCCCCCGACTCCGAGGCCATCTTCTACGGCGTGCTGGACCTGCTAGCCAAGCCTGTCTTCGGCGCCTTGCTTATCTTCGGCCACCGCAACATCGACCCCGGCCGCCTTGGCCTGCACCTCCGCGACTACGACGAGGACCCTGCGTACCGCTCTGGCCACGTCGAGAAAGGCCACCATGCCGATGGCGCTAGGAATGGCGTCACGAATGGCCACCATGCTACTGATGGCCACCACGCTACTGACGGAGCACAGGCGGCTTAGCTGCTTCCGCTATGCGGAACAGCCGTGTGTGCTGGGCTTCACAGGCCCCGTTGCGACCATGTCTTGCTTACTCGTCGTCCCTGGCGACGTCGAGCTCCATGATACCCAGCGCAGCTGGACCACTGCCACTTGCGATCGTTGTTGAGGCGGATGCTTGCTTTGCGTACTTGCTTGCTTACTTGCTTGCTGCTTCTACGTCTCGCTTAGACGAGAGAAGGATGGCTTGGCTATGGGAACTAGCAGGTTGTTCCCCTTGCCTGTTGGGCAGATGTTGGATTAATGTTTACATCCGATAATATACCTCCTCCTTAATTGTCATTATGCTTTACGATTTCTATGTACGTATCTATCAAATATATCAGCATGGATGGACGAGCACTACAGACCTCATCCTTATCTTGAAAAGAAGTCTTTATATGAATCCTCAATACCATATCTCTCTGTCTCTCACCAGCCACTTTCCCCACACCACCACTCGCCTCTCCCCACAAACCACCCCTGCAGCTCCTTTCCCCTCCCCCATTCCCACCTCACAGCTACTCGTAGGAGCATCTTGACCAGCCAGCATCCCCCAGCTCCCAGCTCCTACCTCCTACTCGAGGAGGTACTCGTAGAGTAGGAGTAAGCACACGCGCAACCCAAACCAAACCAAAACAACCTTTTCCCCGCCAGCAGATCTCCCGCCACGGCGCCCAATCAGCAGCCCCAGCAGTACCAGCACCAGCAGCCACAACGCTCGGCACCGCTAGGCCGTGCCGCCGCCCTCGCTAATACCTACCTACTCGTACCTACCACGGGCGCGGCTGCTAGCGCACTGCGAGTTGCACGGGCAGAGCAGAGCACCACCGGCCGGCCCGCTGCGGAGTGCGTGCCTGCTGGGCGAGTACGAGTGTTACGGTGGCTGGACCGCGGGCGCGCTGAAGCCTGGCTGTGCGCGGGCGTGGCTGGGCGTACGACGTGCGACGCGGTAGGCGGGAGGGGGTGGTATTGGTGCGGATGGGGTCGGGAAGGGGGGTGTGCGTGGGTGGGTGGGTATGGTATGGGTGAAGGCGCCAGGGCGTGCTTCTCGCTGGTGTGGAGGTGGAAGAGCGGGAGCGGTCAGACGAGAGTGCGTCGTCGCCTCTGAGCTGCTCTACGGCAGGAGCGGACAGCGGTCCGCGACGTTGACGCTGCGCTGTGGCCGGCTGCCTGGTAGAGTACTCGTACGAAGTCCTGCGTACGCATGATCGTGCTAGTTCGCTGCCCATGCTTGCTCACTCACTCATCTCACTCACCTTGTGCGATTATTGGTTTCCCAGCGCCTCAGCAACCGGTTCCCGGGTCGTGGATCCTTTACCCTCCATTCATTCGCTGTGTTCTTACTCCTAGTGCTTTCCGACACTGTAGTACGGGCTGCGTTCGTGCTGCACTGTTTCACAGTTTCACTAATCCTGTACTAGGGATGCACATGCTCGGTACGACGGGGTTGCCGGCTTGTTGGTTTCCTGATTCCCGCGCGACTCTGAGCGGGCGGTGTTGGCATTCGAGAGGGCTTTTTGCTGGGCTGTTTTTTCTATGGCTTTTCAGTCCAAGTTTCGGATGAGTGGCCGTCGCCGTGGGATTCTGCTGCTTTGTGGAGTGTTGTGAGAGTCGTTGATGGAAGTTGTTGGAGGGGTTTGGGTCTGTGGATGTTGCTGGAGATGACTATCTCAACATGTCGAGAAAAGAAATTTAGTTGGTTTTTATTGCCGATATGATGTTCAGTGATATACTTTAGTGACTACATGCTTTTTATGACTATTGGTAGATTGCTTTTATTGTTTTCTGTGCTGAAATCTGGATCTACAATTTCTACAAGAGCCTTTCATATACGAAATGTCGGTTGTATACTTTAGTTCCAAATTAATATAGCAGTATATTTGAATTACCTGGTTGGTTATAGTCTAGTTTAAAGGACCGGGATGATAAGAATCTGTAGTCCCGAAATAGGGCCCCGAAACCGTGGTGCGTGATAGAAGTTTTATCTGTATGTTGCACTCCTACACATAATTTGGACAAATGATATTTGTTGCTACATCGTGACTTCCAGCAAAACTAAATGCAAAAGGAAATGACGTGGGAAAAGATTTTTAAGCGTGGACGGCGTCACTGTTTATAGGGCACGTGTGCTCTTGATTGCTGGGGAGCGAGGTATGTTGTTTGACTTGACAGTTGTAAAGCAAGTTTGTGACCATCAACCCTTCCACCTGATCGTAAATTTTGTAACCATCTACCGAAATTTACCATCTAGTATGGAGATAGGGGAGGACACAAACATCCGTATGGAATACTCCTTGTCTAACTACAAACCCGAGTCCTAGAAATGAGTGAAAGGGTCTTGGAGCGCACCTAACACCCCCTACCGTCACGAGCGATTTATCATCGTAGCGAGGTAGGAAAGGATCGAATGTAAGTATTCTCTATAGAATACTCCTTATCTAGCTGTAGGCCTTAGTCCCCCTGAGGATGTGTAGTAAGATTTTAAAGTATACACATTCGACACGGAGTTTAACTAAATTTATTTTTCCACTCTTCACAAGCATCATCTTACCACAGGATAGTGAGCCGCGCTTGACGGGGGCAGAGGGAGTGGTCAGCTGTAACTACTGCGGAGTCATGTGCTGCTATCCAAACATCCACCAAAAAGTAAAACAAGCAAGCAATTCAAAGTATATAAGGGTAACAGGTTCAGCTTCTTGAAATGCCATAAAACGGTTTCATCGGACAGCTTCACTGAACAAAACTGACTCTGACAACACTGTCCTGAAGTTCTCCGTGAAATCAAGTCTCTCAACATCTTTGCCTCTTCAAATTCTCTGTCAACTGTGAACAGAACTCTCACCACGATGTCTCGTGTCAACGCAGATCCTTCTTCTCCTACGCCGGTTTCCCAAGGCAGTGTCAAGAAGTCAGACGAAATTGTTGTCGACACGTCGCTAGGCAATTTCTTTCGCATCGTCGATGTTCCGGACACACTGTACAAGTACGAAGTGACTTTCTGCTTCAATGACATTACTGGCAGCGATTCAGATGAAAGGCCATTTCACCCTCCCAGTTCACTGAAACGCATGCTCATGGAAGAGATTATGAAAAGGCTCTCTGGCGATCGTCTTTCCGACGGGCAGAAAGGGAACTGGCGGACCAAGCTTGCTTCCAACGGCATCGACACTTTCTACTCCTTGACGGACGTCCCGAACGCTGTCAAGTTGATATTTGAAGATGCTGCTGGCGGACGGGGTGTCACCGCAACATTCAAAGGCCCGAAGGTCATCAAACCTAACGACGTCCAACGCTTTTCCGAAAAAAGCATGATCCAAGAGACTACCCAGGCACTGAGAGTTGTGTTGCTGAATTTTGCAATGAAAGATGCCCATTCAGGCTTTGAGTTGAAACTCGGTCACAACTACATTGTCAAGCTTGCAGAGGATCATGGAGGACAAGGCAAGTACGTTGTTTCGATCAAATCCGGTTTCGGCTGGGAGAAGAACAAAACCAACCCGGATTTTGACATATTGGGCCATGAGGAGTTGAAGGTAAGAAGCTACTGTGCACCTATTAGCTCTTGTATGTGCTAACATGTTCAACAGAAATTCTGGAAGCTCCAACTCGCTACTTCTCACGAAAAAGTGATGGCTAAAGTCCTAAAGCCGCCCGCTAAGAACAACCAATCGGACCTCGCAAACCCAGAGCAAAAGCCATCTCTTAAAAGGTTTCAATTCTTAGTGGTGGGAGACCAGCCCGAGGGGTACATGAGCGCATGCCATAACATGATGTCCGCCTTGTGCCACCATAAGTGTGCTAAGGAGAATAGCAGCTACCACTTCCAAGCCTGCGAAGAGGTCACAGATTACCAGTCTCTCAAGTCTCTGCTAAATCTTCCCAGAGATTGGAACCCGGCCAATTCACTGTTGCTCGTCCTCATCGACGCTCATGGCAGTTCCCGCCTAAACGAGGTACGCGCCAAGTTGACGCGCTGGAACGATACTCAAGACGACCTCAACATGGTCATTCTCCGAAAGGACCATTTTGTCCAGAACATGGAGATATGGAAACCCAAGCCAGACAAGTCAGAGCGTGTGGACCTCTCAACTAAGGACAAGGCAGCTCTCAGCTACGCCAAGTCTGTGACGAAAAAGATCATTCACAGGATGGTGAAGCCCTCCCTTAGTATCGCCAATCTTGAGGTTCTCGGAGCAGTCAAAAAGGAGAACACGATGATAGTCGGGGTTTCTTTGTCCCACCCAAGCGACAATGCCGCCAAGCACTATCCGTCAATCGTGGCGATGGTTGCTAACGCCGGGAAAGGATCGACAAAGTTTCTGGGTTCAGTGCGCCTTCAGAAGCCTGGCATGAAGAAGACTGAGAGCAAGCAGTCATATTCTACTGTCCCTCAGGCAGCTGACCTCGAAGGTATGATGTTGGATCGACTGGACGACTGGATACAAGAGAATGGAACACTGCCAGTGTCGATCATCTATTATCGACATGGTGCCAGCGAGGCCGACTTTGCTTCGATCGAGTTCGAACAGAAACAGATCGTATCTGCCTTCAATACTAAGCTCTGTGGAAACCCAAAGATAACTGCCATTGGGGTCACAAGGGCTCAGGGCATCCGCTTCTTCAAAGATGGGTCCGAAAATCCAGGCAATAAGGCAGACACAAGCCCCGCTGGAACGGTGGTCGATTCAGAACTTATCCAAACAAGCCGGGTTAAGCCTACTGGATTCGATTTCTTCCTTAAGCCTTCGAACCCCGAAAATAGCAATGCAATGAGCACGCATTACTGCGTGTTCTCCGACGAAATCCGCCTAGGAAGAGATAATATCGAGCAGTTGGTAAGTATAGTCTCTTTACGGAAGTGAACCAGAAGCTAACAAGCAATTACAGACGTACGAACTCTGCAGAACCGATAATCAGAAATTCATGCTCTCCTGCGCGGCACCGGCTCGCTATGCAGCGGATCTTAGCAAGCGTGGAAGTTACTACCTTTGGGGTTCCTTGTCTGTCTCTCCGCCCAAGTCTGGCAAGAATACACCTGGGAAGTCGCAGGACACTGTTACCAAGCCGAAGGCAGACACGCTGCCACCTTGGCCGACTCCTCAAGGCCAGGACAAGAACCCTTGGTTGGAAACGCTGAACCAGAAGACTTTCTGGCTTTAGGACGACAGTTTTGTGTTGTGTTTTGGCTTTGACTGTTTTCCGTTTGAATCCTTTCATTAACTCTTGTTTTTCGAATTTGCTTTGATGGTTGCTGAGTTTATTTGGTCGCTTTCTGCTTCATTTGTATCGTTCATGGACGGACCCGGACTTCTCCATCTGAAAATTTCTTTTCTTTCAACATTCATAGATAGCTAGCATGGATACATATTCCTGGCGCGGTCGTCGACACGGTACAAGGTGCAACGTGACTGAAAGATGTACTGACCATTACCAAGAAGAGACCCTAAGTACAATATTAGCTGTAGTCGCTCCTTCTTTCTATTCTTTTATCACCGATTTTTCAGGTTTCAGCTGGCGACTTCACCAAGTTGAACTTGCTCTTAAGGCTCATGCGGAGCCTTGCAAAGAAGATGCCGAGGTAGATGCGCATCTACGGACAACGCTAGAAACCAGAACATGTAGACTCTTCTTCAGAAATGTAATTATTTGCCATGACGAAGTGAACTTGTGTTCTCGGATTGATGGAGATGAAATCCGGACGTCGAGATTAGCTTCAAGCCCCCCGGCACGTGATTCGGTCTGACGAAGCTCCGTCGCGCGCATCACAGCATAGCTCCGACGCCAACCTTCAGCTACATCGACACTCGCCGCCATCCCTCATCAACCACGCAACCCGACCTTTCAGTTCCCAACACACCCCGGGCCACATTACCAAGCTTCGCCTGACTGTTCCGCTCTATTTTCGCCACGATGTCGGGAGAAGTCCTAAAGGCCGAGAGGGATTTCACGAAGGAAGTGGACCAGCTGCTTCCGGAGGCGCAAACGCTTGCGAAGGTGCGATACATTCGTCGGCCAGAGTAACAAGTCGCTGACAAATCTGCCAGACGAACCTGCAAGCTGCTGTCGAGAAGCTCCTGGTTCTCGAGAAGCAAACGCGCCAAGTATGTCTTAGGTACCGCCTCCGCTACCGACACCGCGCTCACTCCTTGTAGGCATCCGACCTTCCGTCCACGTCCCGCATCCTTGTCGCTCTCGTCACTCTATGCAAAGAAAAGGGAGACTGGGGTTTGCTCAACGAGCAGGTCTTGGTATTGTCCAAGAAGCATGGCCAGCTCAAGCAGGCTACCACCAAGATGGTGCAGGTTGTCATGGGCTTTTTGGATGAGACCCCGAACCTGGACACGAAGATGTCCGTGATCGAGGCACTGAGGACAGTCACGGAAGGCAAGGTATGATAGCTCAGAAACCCTGGGTTGCACTGCAGCATTGACGCCGTGGACAGATCTTCGTCGAGGTTGAGCGCGCCAGAATCACCCGCGTCCTTTCCGATATAAAGAAGCAACAAGGCGACGTCAATGCCGCCGCCGACATTCTGTGCGAGCTCCAAGTCGAGACATTCGGTTCCATGACGAGACGGGAGAAGACCGAGTTCATCTTGGAACAGGTGGCGCTGTGCATAGAGAAGGGCGACTGGACATCGGCCGGTATTCTGAGCAGGAAGATCAGCACGAGATACTTTGCGAGGAAGCCCAAGAAGACGCCGGAACAGCTGGAGAAGGAAAGGAAGGAGCGCGAAGAGGCGGAGAAGAACAGGAGCGTCGATGACCCGCCCGTCGAGCCGGAAGACGATGTTACGGACCTTAAGTTGCGCTACTACGAGCAGCAGATCATGCTGTCCAAGCACGACGACAAGTACCTCGACGTCTGCAAGCACTACCGACAGGTGTTGGACACGGAAGCCGTTGAAGAGGACCAGACCAAGCTCAAGGCGGTATGTAACCGTGTGCCTGCTATTAGACCTCTACTGACCGTCGCCAGGTATTACAACGTGTTATCTACTTCGTTATTCTCGCCCCGCACGACAACGAGCAATCCGATCTTCTCCACCGCGTCCACAGAGACAACCGCAACTCGCAAATACCCCAGGAGAACCAGCTACTCAAGCTCTTCACCATCCCGGAGCTCATGAGGTGGCCCGTCATCTCCGAGCAATTCGGCCAGCACCTCTGCTCCACGGACGTTTTCGACGCGCAGAAGGGTCAGTCGGGCGATGAGAAGGCACACCAGAGGTGGGAGGACTTGCGGAAGCGGGTGATTGAGCACAACGTGCGCGTTGTTGCCAAGTACTACACCCGTATCCAGATCCCGCGCTTGACGCAGCTTCTCGATCTTACGGAAGACGAGACCGAGAAGTACATCGCCGAGCTGGTCACTGCGAAGACCATCTATGCCAAGATTGACCGCCCGGCGAGGATTGTCAACTTTGCCAAGCCCAGAGATGCGGACGACGTGCTCAACGAGTGGAGCGGAAACATGAAGAGCCTCCTCGGCCTGCTGGAACGCATCGATCACCTGATCACAAAGGAGGAGATGATGGCAAGGTACGTTCTCGAAGGATCCAATTGGACTCGAAGTCCGTACTAACTCTTGAATAGAATCCAGCCTGCCAAGCCCGCAGCGGACCCCAAGGGCAAGACCGCTAAGGCGTAGTAAGAACAGGAACCGCATCTATACTTTCGATGAATGGGCTCGAAATCTTGGTGGCGCATTACGTCTAGACGTTGATCGGCCCTCTATGTCTATGAAGGGTTCAGAGGCGTCTCCGTGGAGATGGGGACCTGTAATATACTTCTAGATTCCACCAATGAAACATCATGAAATGCTCTCCTCCAGCGCCGTCCAATGCCACTTGCTGACTCTTTTCTAATAATCTAGACTTGAACATATCTTCAAGCCTCCTATCGAGACTGTCTATGTTCTTTTCGCTTAAAAAGGGAGGTCCATGTCCTCGGCGCTCTCTTCCTTCTTTACGTTGCCTTCTGCCTCCGCCATAACCTCCCGGATGAAACCGACCAAAGCAGCAACATACTGCTTCTGGGAGCTGGGCAAAAAGTGCCCACCCGGGTGATATATAACCCTCCCCTCGGATTTTGCGCAGGCGTTTGACAGTCTCAAACTCCTTGATTCTTCAACCACGGTATCCAAGCTTCCCAGAACGTGCAGCATAGGCGTCTGGATCTTCGGTTCGTAGAAAGCGGTATAAAGGTCGTTATCCGAGGGCGCGAAACCGGAGTAACTAGCCGCGAACTTGAACGGGGGATGGCCGCTCTTGAGCAGGGCATCCGGGTAAGGCATGCCGCCGTGTTTCTGGTGTTCGTCAAAGGCCTCCTTCCTCCCCGGCTCGAGCAACGAGACGATCATGCCCGCGGCCGCCGCGCCCTGCGAAAAGCCAATAACGCCATCGAAGGGGCCCTCGGCCTTGATGACGTCGGCGACCTTCGCAAAGCCCTCCTCCATGCCCTCGTACACGAAGGGCACGCCGTCGCCCTTGCGCACCCACCAGCCCCACGCGTCGGGCTGCTCGTTGTCTTTGACGTCGTCTTTGCTGACGCCGTCGGTGTCCCAGCCGGGGATCTGCGCCGGCGAGAGCCGGATTGGCGCGGTTGGGTAGCTGAGCGTCACGCCGCCGGGGAAGGCCTTGTTGAGGTTCTTCTCCAAAGCCCGCGTCTTCGCCCGGAATAGTGGCCCGGACTGCGTGTACCCGTGCAGCATGAGGATTTTGAGCGGCTTGGTGGGGACGGGGGCGTTGGCCATTGTGGGCGGCGTTGTCGCGGTCGTCGGCGTCGTGGTGGTCGTGGTGGTGTGCCGGATTGAGTGCGGCGCAAGTTGCGGGTTTCGAATTGTTCGTGCGAGCCGCTTGAGCGGAGTGGGTGGGCTGAGGAGGCGGAGGGCCAGTCGGGCGTCGCGCATGGGACGGCGTGTGAGTAGGTGAGGTGGGTGGGCTTCCGGTGTCGCCCGCGCGGTGACCGCGTTGGGATCGATCAGTCGATGGACAGAAGTCGTAGGGCTGAATTAAGCTCAGCGGTGGCGTGGGCGGTTGAGAGCGGCAGAATTCATGCCGTGCACGCCGTGCGACGCGTTTGGAGACTTCTGCGGTTTTCTTCCGAGATGGATCCTGCGCTGCTTGCTTGCTTCGCCGTCCCGGAACCGGTGCTACCTGATTGCCTGCTGGCGGGATCGCTGTCGCTGCTGTGGAATATGTCATTTATCAATTGCCTCCTCAATCTTTACCTAGCCTGTACCCCGCTCGCCGCTCCGAACTACGCCGCTCAAGTTTTGCTGTGTAGACCGACAAGGCGGATACAAACACCAATATTAGGACGGAGGGGCCTAGGGACCAATTATACGGTTTCCAGTGGAGGCTACGAACTTGTGCCTTGTGAGGAGGGCTTAAGGAGTGATAAATCCCCGGAAGCGTTGATTGGGAAGGGAATAAGTTATATGCCTAGGGATACGCCGCACAATTGGCTGACTTGGGCTTTACAAATGTCATGTTGTGGAGACGGAGGCGCGTTTTTGGCTTTGCTGCCTGTATCCCTTCGCATGTCGCCGGCCACTGTCTTACAGGCTGCCAAGACGCCTTTCCTGGTTATATAACGTCTTTCACCGGGAACCGAGATCCACAGCTTAGCAAGACAGGAGACGATACAAGCAGTCCCTACAGAGTACACCTTGCCTAGGTCCTAGCCCGAGTCCCGGATATGGATGGAATGGTTCTGCTCCATGCAAGTATCACGAGGAGGCATAGGCTCTAACGGCGCTAGCAGGGGAGGGGGGTCGCGAATTCAAAACCCGTAATGAGATGGATGAGAGGTCTAGTGAGCTATTTCGTAAGTACTCGCTTCCCTCGTGTCTCAACTTCTTTCGCGTATGTCCAGCTAGCTGATCAATTGCGTTCTTCAAGCTAAATCTAGTCTAACTTGTCAGGAGTTTCCAACGATCGCGACTTCACAATGCGAAAACATAGGAACCCCAATGGTCATAAAAATACATATTAGTAGGTCATTAAGTCATATATAAGCTCGTCATGCCTCATTAAAACAACATCAATCCCGCCACGACACCCACCACAGCAACAACCAAACACCTGCCTGCATTCGCGCTCTCCATATACGCGCCACCGGCGGCCTTCTGCACCGCCGCAGCGCTCTCGGTCCACCACATGCCGGCCCTCGTGCTCGTAGTAGCCGTGTTACTGGTGGTGGGGGAAGCGTAGGCGCCATCCTGGTTGCTGTTGACCTCGCCACCCTCAAGATCGATGCTCCTCCAGGCGCCGCTGTTGTCGCCATAGCTGTAGCTCTCTGCGGGGCTGTAGTTGATGATTTCGACGCTCTCGACGTACATGGTGAAGGGGCCGTCGTTGTAGTTCGTGACGCCGCCGGCCCAGCCAATGGTGCCCTCGTCGTTGTTCTTGTCGCCGCCGGCCCAGGTGCCAATGCGCAGATTCATGGGGGTCTGGGGGTAATTCTGGCCGGCGACGGCGTCCTGGTAGTTGAGGGTGCGCACGGCAGTGCCGTCCAGGTACCAGGTGGTGAAGGAGCTGGTCCAGACAATCGTGTAGTTGTGCATGCGGTTCTGCGTGTCGGGCATGCCGTGGTACACGGCCCGGTCGTACGTCGACGTGTTGCCCTTGCCGAAGTAGTTGCTCTCGACCTCGGCGTTGTTGCCGCCCAGCCACTCCAGGTCGATCTCGTCCAGGTCGTCTGACTCCATCACCACGCTGCTGATGATGCCCGTCCCTGGCGCTGCCCGCATCATAATCGACATTTGCCCGAACAGGAAGTAGAAGTTCGTCGCGATCGTCGGTGCTTGCCCGGACTCCGAGATGGTGAATTCTGCTCCTTGCGACCCGTAGCTGATCTCTCCGGCTGTGACTTTCCAATCATCGCTGGCGCCTTGTGTAAAGTCGGTCTTGATGCTTTTGGCGTTCAGGCCGGTGTCTGAGGGACATGATGCTAGGATTGGGTTAGCGATGAGACCACATCAGCTAGTACTATGAGGGACTTACACTTCTCCAGAGGATTGCAGTCCGAGTGTGTCTGCGCAAAAGCAAGCGGCAGGAAAGAAGATAACAAGCTGAGAACGACTCCGCTGCCAACGCGCATGGTGACGAATATCCAAGAAGCCGTCGGGGTATCAAAAAGGGAAACGGCGGCAACGCAACGGTAAACAAAGAGCGAATCAAAAAAAAAATATAGAAACGGGTTAAAGTCAGGGTTCAGGCGGATATGTACAAGCGCAGAAGACTGCAGTAGTGCAGGAGTAGTAGTGAAAGCAGAAGAGCCTCAAGGCCCAGAGCCTCCATTTTACCATTGCAATTGGGGAGGCTGGGAAACCCAACCGCAGTGCGGTGATTGTGCACAGCCAGCACGCTTGTAAACGACGATGCCTGTCTCCGATCATACACCGCCACAGGGGGGGGGGGGGGGGGGGGGGGGGGGGTTAGGAGGGCTACCCTGAACGGCAGGCCGCCAACTCGACGTGGACAAGCGCAGGGGAGCCAATGATGGGGGAGCCCAACTGCCTTGGTGCCAAGAAAAACCCTCCTTCTCGACTGATGGCGCCAACGCTTGGAGGTGGCTGGGAAATGGCCCAGCAAGACCCAGTTTTGGGCTGTGACGCGTGGTGGGGCTTCGGCGTCGTCAGCGCCCGGGCGTGCGCGCCGCCATTGATGGAATCCCGGGCCGTGCTTGGATCTGCCGATAACCGCGACCTGTTTCCATGTTTGCTTCAAGGGTTCAACTCTCTGGATGCTGGATGCTCGCCGTCTCGGCTCTTGAGTACACGTATTGAAAAGGGAGAGGGTTGAAAGAGGGGGAAGTCCGGACCCCGATACTGACGCGACTAGGTTCTGCGAAAACCCTCGAGAAGGGAACAGCTGGCATCCGTAAGCTGACATCGACATCACCCGTAACCATCTACTCAATGCAAAATAATCCGAGACAGATGACGTGGGAGTTCAAGCAATCCCATCATGTACGTGACAGCCAAGGAAGAAGCTTACAGGACGATTGATGCGCAGGACAGTTCGTTCCTTGCTCAACGGCTACCAATAGCAGATCATATCGATATTACTCGAATGCCATTTGTCGCCGCATTCGAACTGTACTCTGACGTGTTGGAGTGCGGTTTGCGTGGAGTTGAGGCTTCTGCCAGAAACAGTTTAGGGAGCTTGGCCTTGGCTGCAGGACAACTTCAATCACGGCTTCCATCTGTCGCCTTGTTTTGGCATCACATGCCGACGACTGTCACTCCGATCTTTGATGTCTAGCTGGAAGTCCAGAACACTCAATGCTGAGAGCAGGTCTAGGACTTAGCCGTACGAGCTGGGGCCTTCAAGGTCAAGGCCACTCCTCGAGATGTGCGTATTACAGATAAACACCGGCTCACGTGTAACATCACTTCACTGTGTAACAATTGTCTGGCAGTATCATCCAGTTCTTTCATTGTCCGTTATCTCCTACTGTCTGAAGACTACATACACACTGTTATGCATGACAGTGTCCATATCGAACTTCTGACTGATAGTGTTGGAAACTGTTGACACTGATTTTCCCTTCCTGGTACCATAGGCAAAACCACTGCCGCATTTCTTGAATCCTTCTTCCGTAGAGGGGTAACCTGTGTCCGACCACCCAGTGACTCACTTCCCAGAACGTTGAGCAAGTGAGCAACACGCCTTATCAGCAAGACCAGCAACGTAGAGCTCAACGAACCCGAGGACTGGAGCTCGAAGAGTGCTGTCCGTTGCGGGCTGTCTTCAGGCGGCGAATAACCAAGACGGTGCCTTCCTCGCCCCAGCAACGCTTGGGGTCCCTTTCGACAGAGAGGCCGAAATCGTTCCAGGCCTTGCGGTAAGTCTTCTCATTGGCAGCGACCGCGGCCATCTTCTCTTCCATACTCATGCGAGAGTGCCTGTACCAGAGGCCTTCGTGTCTGTAGCGGATCAAGGGAGGCAAGAGCTGCTCGCCGGACACCTCGATGCGCAGGAAACCCGAGTAGACGCTGATGTCCTCGCTGTAGGTACGCGAGTACACGAGACGCACCTCCTTGAGGTGCTCGCCCTTGGCGATGGCGTTCAGGCATGCGAACGGCAAGCACTTGCGGGTGTCGGTGTTGATTTCCTCGTGGTAGCAGTCGTGCTCTATGAACGCGGTGACGCTCTCCGCCTTCATGTGTTCCGTGATGAAGTGGCCCAGGAGGTTGTCGGGGACCGCGTTGTAGTAGAACTGCTGGCCGAAGACGCTGTTTTGGAACCTGAGTGTTCTGATCTGGTTGCGGACGCCCTTGGGCAGCATCATGAAGAAGCTCATGGCCGGCTTCGACTCCATGTCCATGGTGAAGGAGTTCTTGCCGTAGAAGATCTTCTTGGCGACGTCGTAGGTCTGGCTGTCCGTTCGAAGCAGCGTGACTGGAAAGGACTGAGTGCTTCTAAACTTCTCCAATGAAGAATCCTCGCCCTCTTTCTTTTCCTCTTCCTTGATCGTGACACCCTCTGGCGGACAAAGAGCGAACTTGAAGATCATGTCTCTGAGCTCTTGTGGCAAACCACGGTACGGGCGTGAGTAGTTGGTTTCCTCCTTCTTGGTTTGCACAATGATCTCGTTGATGAGCCATTCCAGCTTGACATTGTCGCGGTACATCTCCTCGCGCCTCGCCGTTGTGAAATCGGCAAAGTCGCGATCGAGGAGAGCAAGCAGATGGTAGACCTGGATCTTCTCGTCGAGAATGAGACCGGCTTTGCGGCAGTTGCTGAGCGCTGCGAGGTACTTCCGCGTAAACTTCTGCAGGCCCTCTCCACCGTAGCGGAGCTGGATCAAGTTCGCATACGAAAGCGACTGCGTGGTCGACTCGCGGTGTTCGTACTCGACTTTGAGGTAGTCGTAGAGTTCCTTTGCGGTGGTCAGGTGGTCTGGTTTAAGTAGAACCAAGCTTTGATCAATCGTCTGGTTGAGTATGTCGAGAGCGCATTGATCCTTCTCCTTGGCCACTTCGTCGATGCCGTCTTCACCATCCGGTTGGGCGTTTCCTTTAGTGACGATGTCCCAGAGTCCTTGACCGAGCATGTGTAGCTTCAGGCATTCATGCCATTCGCTGTAGTTGGTTGCTCCAAGGAGCGGTGGTACATCCATGGCGTCGTTCATGATCCTCGAAACGAAACGGGTCGAGTTGGGGAAAGGCCTTGCTGTCAGAAGGGTTGCGGAGAACACGTTGGGGGAGAGCGCTTAAGTATTCTGACGCGCTGTGTGTGTGAAAGTTGACTGAGGCTAAGCCTAATCCGGCAATAGACCAAGCCTGTTCACACGGTCGGACAGTGATTTCTTTTAACACAACGCAATGAGTTACAACCAAGCTGAAGGAACACAAACCAAGCTTCAAGCGTGCACGTCAATATCTTTGACTAGATAGACTAAGTGCGAACCAACAAAAAATCTCTCGCCAACAATCAAGATATAAAAACAGACACTACGTACAAGTCAGCCACATGAAGTCGGAATGACTGTTTGGTAAGCCTACATTAAACCTGCTCCTCGGCCTCAGTTGGCGACGATTGACGAAGCCTTTTGCTTTCACGTGGCTCAGAATCCTGAGCACCTCGCTTTTGCGGTGTTAAGCGCTGGAGTATGTACGCTTGTTTTGCCATTGAAGTTTCTTCAGGACGCAATTCATCCTCCTCCAAGGTAAACCCGGCACGCCGTACGAGATCACTGGTGAATTTTGTAAGGGAGTCGGTGCAACTGTGACAGAGTCTTCCGAGCTCAGGGAACTTTTCGCACTGCTCTGAATCCTCGCATAGGCGATCGAAGAGAAGTTCTGCTTCCTCTACATCGTGGAATAACGACATGCTCAAAGCATAAATAAGAGGATCCTCGGAACCGTTAAGGAGCCTGTAGCTGCCGTCAATGTATGGACTTGTCAGGCTAGTTAGTCTGAGGTATTTGAAACGACCTGTTCTGAAGGCCTTCATGAATATTTCTTGAACTCTCCACCACTCCCCATCCGCATTCCAATCGTTTGGCGTAGGCAAGGTCAAACCCTCCAACTGCATATTTTCAAGAATATATTTCTCTAGTCCTATGTGAGGCAATTCGGTATCTGGAAAGTCCACGGAGTTTATGCCCAGACAAAGGTGTCGTATCCGGAGCCGGCTTTGCTCCGGAAGGTTTTGCAGGAAGATCTCGACGTGCATCCGCTTATGTGCTTCAAAGGAGAAAACGTTTTCCCCGTACAGGATGGCTACGGCGATACTGCTGACGTGCCGGTTTACTCGCAGTAAGCCAGACGCCACGGGGTGGACGCACTTGAACAAAAACCTTTCCGGATCTTGTCTCGATATGCTCTTCGGGTGCTTCAATGGAGTGATCACAATGCCTTCACGGGGGCAAAGAGCGTATCTGTAGATCATATCCTGCACTTCCTGTGGAAGGCCACGGTAAGGGAGGTGAGATGAGGTTGTCTTTTTTTGATGTTAGCACTTGGTCTTTGTTTAAAGTGAAGTTGGCTCCGGATAATATGCACACTCTTCGTATCTGCTTCGCCCATCTTTTGGACGCTGAAAAATTTAGGTATACTACACCTACCGCGTACTCTTTTGGCAGTTAAAAGTATTTCAATTTTATGCCCAGATGCTATTAAATAGCTACGCTCAACGTATAGATTGCAGATGGTGCAACCGAAAGATGGTCAAGTTATCCGAAGCCATATTTTAAGCTTACAGTCAATTGATTAACGAGATCATCCAGCAGGACAGTCTACCCCTTGGAGATATCCTCGCGCCTTGCCTCGGTATAAGCCGGCAAAGCAGCATCCAGGACCGCAAGGAGCTGGTGGACTTTAATATGTTCCGGAACAACCAGACCAGCCCTCTCGCAGCTCCTTAGAGTCACAGTAAAGCGCTTCAAAAACTTCGCGAGGTTTCCGCCATCATACCGCAGCCTAGTCCACGTGGCATACCGCACAGACGGCTGCTGCATTCGCAATTCGCTGCGAAACCTGAAGTCCAAGTGCTCGAACAGCGTTTTTGCAGTCGGGAATACTTCGAGGTCCGGTAGCCATGGCGAAGGCACCGAGTTGTAGAGGGCTTGAAGTGCGCGGCAGTTATTTGCGTGCCACTTGGTGTACTTGGTCAAGTGCTCGACACGCAGCCTTTCGTTGTTCCTCTTTTTCTCATCGCGGTCCATCTCCACGTGCGTCGTAGGCGGCACTTCCGGTGCCTGATATGCGGTCTGTTTGGCTGGTTTGCTTACTTCGGGCTCGGCGCCTGTGATGTTGTCCCAGAGATCGTGTTGGAGGAGGTATGTCTTCATGCACGCGTACCATGTTTCGTAGTTTTCTCGCCCTTGGAGCTGAGGTACCGTCGCCATTGTGTCCATTGTTGGATACCTCGGCTTAGGTGTAGGGAGTTGAGACGCAATGGGAGGTTGTGCAGATAGTTACGCGACAGTGGAGGTCAGAGCGCGAGTTGACACGCCGTCACACGCGACTTATATAGGTAGGTATGAGACGAAGCGCGGAATTTTCTCCGGCTATAGGTTAACGGTTAAAATAATAAGGATCTATACAAACCGATGGGAATCCTATAGGCGCATCGGACTGTTATAGAGCAAAAATTGTCATTGCCGCAAAATACCTAGAACTCTATACTTCTAAAGGCAACGAATTACGACTTAGAGGCCTTCAACGACATCATCTATACTCATACATCAAATCAAAGATAGTCAACGACATCACTCTTATTCACATTACATTGCAACATTATATTCTAGAGCACACTCTATAAACACAGCTTACCAACACAAACCCCAACCCAACAGGCTCCCACCAAGCCCATCATTCCCACGCATCAAAGCGTCAAAACCACCAACTACATAGCAAGGTCTAATTGCATCCTATCATACACTGCACCCAGCCCCCTCCTCTCCTAAGCCTCCAAAACCCCCCAAACCCGCACCCAACCCACCATCTAAGAACCCCCCAAACGCCACCAAAGCACAAAGATTAATTATACATCATTCTTGGGTATCATCCAGGCCCCTCCAAGGCCCGGTAAGACGCATCTGACAGGCTCTTGCTTGCGCGTGCGCGTGCGCGTGCGCGTGCGAGTGTGTCAGATGCATGCGTCGGCCAGATCGTGGCCTCCTCTCCCCAGCCGAGGTAGGCAAGCCTTCTTCTATCTATCTATCCAAGCGGACGCCTTCCTGGGAAGGCTTGGGCGTAGGGCGTAGAGCGATATCGAGCGTTTCTTTGGCAGGCATTCCCGTGTATGTCCTAGACGTCTAGGCGAACAGGCCGAGGCGCAAGCCAGCCGCGGAAGTAGTCTACAAGCCCCAGACCAGCAACGGCGGAGCAACGGGACCAAGCACCCGCACAAGCACTCTCAGCCTCACAACGGCGGCGGCGAGAACTTCTCCCACTTAAACGGATGGAACATGCCCGCAGGGACGCACTTGCCGCGCATCAGAAAATCGCCCCACACATGCTGGGAGAAGTGGTCGTAGCCCTCGCGGGGCCACCACCACGTCAGCTTCTCGAGGACGCGATGGTCGGCGCCCTCCCAATTATACTGGCTCTTGGCACCGCCGCCCATATTCTCCGGCGGGCCAGTATTGAAGACGTCGTCGAGCTTGGCGTCGGCCTCGCTGCCGTTGTAGTAGACCGGGTGCTGGGCGTGCACGGCTTTCAGGCCCTTGCGGAACGCGACCGTCTCCATGGTCGCCTCCGACGCCATCCAGAAGCCGTGCTCGAGCTGCAGGGCGTGCACTTCGGCGAGGAGGCGCTTCGAGGTGCGCGTCATGGAGACGGGCGCCGCGAGGTGCGGCAGGTTCTTTTCTTTTGTCTTGTACGGGTCGTTGTGCAGCATGCCTTTCCATAGCCACTTTGTTGTCCGCACGTCGATGATCGGCGCCAGCGTTATCAGGTCCGCTTCTTCCCCTACCCCCCATTCGGCGCCGTGCTCCGCTACTTCGCCCGCCAGCTTGTCGTCCCATAGCGTCTCGTTCATTAGCCGGTACAGGTTGCCCCATGACCCTTGCACGCTCGGCATGTACCATGCTGCGTTCATGTTGTGGATGTGCAGTCTGGGTTGGTCTCTGGCCCATGCTGCTAGACGTTCTAGATTTTGGAGGTGTGGCGAGCTGGTTCGGAAGTCCATTTCAAACTGCCAGAAGTAGTCAAATTCCGGAATGATTCGGGTGGAAAATAGTTGCAGTGCTTGGTATGCCTGGTGGATAAAACTGCGCTCGTGTTAACAATGTTTTCGGCGTTACGGAGAAGAGGGTTTACCTGTGCTCCTTTACGGCTGGATACCACTCCCTCAGAAGATTCACGTTCCAGAGATACGCCATGTTCTGGAACTCCTGGGGAACATGCTTGAGGAGGACACGGTTGTAGGCTTCGGGCTCGAGGAAGATATGTTGAGACAGGTCCTTGACATGGACCAGGATAAAAATCTCATACAACCCTCCCGTCTCCAAAGAAAGCTCGACGATCATAGACCGGATAAAAGGCACTATATCGCCCGCCCAGTTGAACGTCTCCGTAGTGCGCAACACAATTGCGGTCCTCGGCTTCCGCGCGCCCACGTGTTCACCGGAGTGGTACATAGCATCCTCAGTGCGGGCCTGGGCAGGAAGGCGGAACTGGGACGGGCGCTTGGGGGCGTCGAGAGCCTGGTCGGACGGGGCGAAACCGTTCTTGACGGCGCATTGGTGTTGTTCTTTGGCCCAGTCACGGCCGCCCCACAGCGACGCGCCCGACCCATACTGGTCATCGACGGTGTATCCGTACGGCTGCAAGCGGGTGCTCGCGTTGTAGCAGTGGTGTGGGTTGTCGAGGAGGGTTTTGGAGCCGAGCAGATGGCGCAGGCCTGAGCATTGTTTGTGGGTCAGCGGTCTGCGGCTCTAGGTGCTCTGCGCTGGCAGAAGAACGGCCGGCGGGCCACCTACTCGAGTGTTCCTGGTAGTTGGCGACTTTGGCGAGACGAGCGCGCTGCGCGAGTTCGGGGTCGAGACAGTTCTTCACGGGGAAGCGGGGGTGGGCCTGGGGCACGAAGGCCTTGAGGTAGTAGAGGGTGGTAAGAATGAACAGGACAAGAATTAGCGTTGAGTAGGGCGACGAGCGCAGATGCGTGGATAGCATTGTGTGTGGCGGGCGTCAGGTTTGTTTCTCAATGTCGCCTTATCCCCAACTTCATCTGTCTGTCTCTCCGCTTCAATAGTTAGGATGGCGTTTTGGACAAGTCCAACATGTCCAACTGGTGATCTGCAAGCTGACGCACTCGCACATGACGGCAGCGGCCCCTAGAGAGAGCTTGATTCCCGCCGTGTTCGGGCGGCGGTTCGTGCGAGGGGGCCACCAGAAACAGATCATGATATCCATGCAGGCGTTTGTGTCACAGTCCTTTGAAAAGCTTATCCCACTCTGTTTGGACTCCTTGCAGAGCTCGGAAAAATATAACCATAGATGTTTTGATACCATAGGGCTTGCATCATGAGCCTCTAGACCAATAATCAAACTGTCTCCAGACATAATTGCATCCCACCCATACATATCAGAAATCCACCATTGGGCAGTGCCCCGCCCAACCCAGCGCAACCCCCTCCAATTGGCCAGCCCCATTCAGGCACAAACTTCGACAGCAGCATCGCAACCACCCAACCCCCTACACCCAAGAAAAATTCAAACCACTTCTCCGCAATCCAGGGCACCAACCACTCCGTTTGCAGCGCATCCCCCATCCTGCCCCACCCAGGCAGGTTCCTCGACACCGGGACTGAAGCAGACTAGCTCATGCATGGGCGAGCGGCATGACCCTTGCTTCTGTCTGCTCCCTCCAGGAGTCCAGAAGCAGCCACTCGTCAGCGCCCAACGAGATGCACTCCTCCTGACTGCATAAAAGCGCATTTACACTGCAAGCGTGTCAACAAGCCATCATACTCCTAGATATTACAGCTACAGTAGGTAGGTAGTGTGCACTAGGTAGCTACATAGATACGCAACTACCTAACGACTATTTGTAGTCTCGCTTATTTTTTCCCGTGTGTACCTTCATTCCGCAGGTCGTGCTTCGCTTGTCCATTCTCATCCTGCACCTTATACCCCATTCCTTTGCGTCCCATGCGTATGTATATGTTTGTATGTATGCATGCCTTTTTCACATGCCTCCATCTCCGTCGTCGTTGCCATCAATCATAACAAATCGCTTCGTCTCGTCTTCGTGCCGTCGTTTTGCGTGCGTGTCGTGAAACCAGGAAAAAGGAGACAATAAGAGAAAGAAAACAGAAGAGGAAAGCGCGGGGATTAGGTAGGTGGTAGAGGGGTGAAGGGGAGAAACGAAAAGGAAAAGAGAAGAAGCTGAAGAAGAAGAAGAAGAAGAAGAAGAGGAAGAAGAAGAAGAAGATGCGAAAGTGTAGAAAACAGAAAAAAAAAAAAACTAAAAAAAAAAACTGAAAAAGTGAAAGAAGAACTAAAGGGTATACGCAAAACAAACCCCCACCCAACCCAATCAATCAAAACACAAGAGCCTCCCCTCCCCACGCGCCACTCTATCCACACCCAAATGCTCGGCGCCGTCTCTTCCCACAAAAACACCGAAGCCATACCTCCCCTCAGCAGCCTCCACCGCGCTGCCAGCGCCATAACTCCACCTCCGGACCTCGCTCGCATCGCCGACCCCCACAGCCATACTCATGACCGGGCGCTGCGACGACGCCGAGCCAGGCGGATGCGGCGCCTCCCCGCTCGAGCCCGGCGCGCGCTTCTCCTTGCCACCAGCGGCGCCAAAACCGTGCGCAAAACGGCCGGCCTCAGCAGCGCCACACAGGCGCTCCACGAGCTCCCCCCGCGTCGCCGGATGCGCGAACGCTTTGTCCTCCAGCAGCCGGCTCATGTACAGCCAGCTGACCGTCTGCGCGAGGGTGCGCGCCGCGTGCGGGAGCGCCATGTCGCGGCGGGCGGGCACGAGCGCTGCCAGCGCCGCCGCGTACAGCGCGAGGAACACGCACAGTGCAATGTAGGCGCTCTGGTGCGCCGCGACCAGCACCCGGCTCGAGGACGGGTAGAACTGCGTCCAGAAGGCGCCGCCGGCCAGCACGGGCAGCGCCAGCCCCGCCGCAAGCGTCATGAAGCTGAAGAGCGCGACGCGGAAGTCGCGGTTACGCAGCGCGGCGAGGGGCGCCGTCAGCGGCGTTTGCGCGGGGTACGACAGCAGCAGCGAGGTTTGTGCGGGCGCGCCGCCGGGCGTGGAGAGCGCGGCGTAGGGCGCCAGGCGGCGGAGGGCGAGGTCCAGCGTCTGCATGAAGAGGTAGAGCAGCGTGGCGAGCAGGGCGGGCAGGAACGAGTAGAAGAAGTTGGAGGGGGCGAAGCCGGCCTTGTTGGCCGCGGCGCTCATCTGCGGCTCGAAGCCGTCGAGGACGGCGCGGTTGACGAAGCTGACGACCAGGAACGCCACCAGCAGTACCCATGCGATGACGACCCACGCCACCACGTACGTGTCCTTCAGGAACCACGGCAGATGCCGCCGCCGGATGTGCTCGTCGCGTATGTCCACCTGCAGATCCGTCGCCTGCCTTCCTGCCTCCACGTCCGCGCCCAGCGGCGCAAACTCCTGCTCCCGCTCCGACGGCCCCTTCTCCCGCACCTTGCCCTGCATGATTGAGTACCGCCTCGTCGGTCCGCCCGGTTCGCCAATCCCGTAGAACACGTCGCTCGGGTGCTTCGACGTGTGCCAGTAGCCCAGGCGGTCGGTGCGGTTGACCAGGCGCTCGCGGAATTCGTAGGGCTTGTCGAAGACCTCGGTCTCGTGGTAGTCGGCCATGATGTTGGAGCGCTCGAGGAGGACGGCAATGTCGGCCAGGGAGCGCGGGTCCCACTTCAGACCCGTGGGACGGCGGAGCGCGACGAACAGCAGGACGAGCGCGAGCACGAGAAGGATGTACAGCGCAATGGCGGTCCAGATGACGCCCTGGACTGCAACCCAGCGCCATTGGCCGTCGGCGTAGGTGCCGTAGTAGCGGACGTTGAACGAGGCCGCCAGGAGCGGGATGGTGAAGAGAAAGAGCCAGGACACCAGCCCGAAGACACCGATCAATGGCTCGCCGGCGCGGAAATGCTGGAACGTCGGCAGCAGGAATTGCGTCGGGTACAGGTCGAGGAAGGTGCCCATGGACCGCGATTGGGCGGATTCGGCTGCCAATGCCATAAATGGCGAAACCCGCTGGACGGCTCCGGCAATCTGGTGCAGCCAGATGAGCAGGATCATGCCCAGCAGCGTCGGCAGGTACTGGAAGAGAAAGTAAGTCGAGCCGCCCAGCTGGGTGTAGTCGAGCAGGCCGTCGTGGTTCATGGACCATGCGGCACAGACAATCAAGCCGGCCATCATAAGGCAGCAGAGGAAAGCGAAGATGCCGAGCCACAACGGACGGATGATGGAAGGAAGGTAAGTCAATGGAGGAAACTGAATGGATTTGGCAGGAGGGCTGTAAGGTACGAAGATGTCCCGCACTGGCGCTGTCAGCAAAAATTGGGTTGAGCGCTGCCCGTGAAGTCGGTGGTCCTTACCATTCAGCTCCGGGATGGGAGGGCTGCGGGCTGGGCTTCGCGGAGGCGGCGGGGGCGCCTCCGGGTGGAAGTAACCCAGACCCTCGTCGGAGACGATGCGTTCCACAGGGTAGTCATCGCGGTGAGCACCAGCGGCCGGCGGGTATTTTCTCGAGCCGCGGACCTCTTCGTCACGAGTGAGCTGGTCGATGGCGAAGCGGATGTAGGGCGTGTCATCGACACCGGGCGTGGTGGAGACGGACTCGGAGTCCATGGTGCTCTGCCTGTTGCTGCTGCGCTGTTGCTGTGCAGCAGACTTGCGGGGGATGGTGCTCTCGTCGAAGCCGACGGAGCGGTGGTGGTGTTGGGCAGCAGGCTGTTCCTGCGACCAGCGCCCTTCGGCCACGGGAGCGAGTTGGGACGAATGCGCGGCTAGCTGCTCATAGCTCTGCTGCGGCGTCTGGAAACGGTCGGGCGAGTGGCGCACAATGGTGGTCTGAGAGCGATCGTCGCTCTCGCTGGAGATCTCGGTCGCGGTGTAGTAGTCTTCAGAGGCGGAGATGCTCTGTTGGGATTCTTGGTGGTGGACCTGAGGGCGGGAGACTGGCGGGAGCGGGTTTGTCAGAGGCCGAAACCTGGCGGGCTGCATATGGGGTAGTGTTTTGAAAAAAAGTTCAATTACCATTTGTGTGTTTGAGAGCCAGCAGCGGCTGGTCTAATATATTAGAAGCCATGATGGCTCTTGCGTTCTATCGTGACGAAGGGAACAGATGTGCATTGTGGGGGTGTGGGCGGGCGCGGGCTGTGCCATGTATATGTGCCTGCAGGGGAGGGCTGGGAGGCTGGGAGTGAGGCTGGACATGACGGGATGTGGATGGCCAGCCCATGCAACTCGTTTGTTTAATTGGCATGCAATCACGGGTACCACGTAGGCGGTTTATGCAGAGCCCGTCACCTCCGACAGGGCGAGCGAGCGACGTGTTGGCAGCAGTTTGCAGCGAGAGGGGAAGCAATTCATCTGATGGACTGAGGATGATGATGGTGACTGATGATGATGATGATGGCCAGCACGGCCCAACGCCGACAATCACTGCTGCTTCGCCTCATCAGGGCTCCACTCGCGCCGGGTCGCTCGACAGAGAGTTCATCGGCCCGCCCCGGCACTGGACGCCATGGATCTCTCCGCGGCCGATCTTCATGACCTCATCGACTCTCCGTAGCGCGGGCAACGATTTCCACACTTGCCGTCTGTCATCCATCACCTCAATCTTCAGCTAAGCTACATGACCGACCACTTGTCTCCCACATAAGCCGCGAGGCTCGCCAGAATGTCCCATGGCCTGCCACGACGGTGCAGAGCAGCCCTCCGACCCGCACTAGGAGTCGCACCACCACTCTCGCGCCGCCTCCTGCAAACGCAGCAATTCGCGCCGTTTGCACCCCCAGACCCCGCCGGTCTCCCCAAGCCCAAACCGAAATCACACAAAGTAAAGCCTTCGCGCCCGCGCAAATGGCCCCGCCGCCTCGCGTGGGCGGCCGCCCTGCTCGGTGCCGGCTACGTCGTCGACACGCGCTGGAATAATGCCGCTGCGACGCGGAGCTTCCGCACGTTCAAGACGGGATTGGTCATTGGGCTGGACTACAAGATCAACTTCCGCGCGAACCCACCCTTCGCGGCCAGCTTGGCCGACGTGCATAACCGCAATGCTGAGCGCATCTTTAACTTGCTGCGCGATAATGGGGGTTTGTATTTGAAGATTGGCCAGGCAATTGCTATGCAGAGCGCAATTCTGCCGCCGGAGTTTCAGAAAATGTTTGCCAAGATGTTTGATGATGCGCCGCAGAACGAGTGGAGGGACGTAGAGAAGGTCGTGAGAGAGGATTTTGGAAAGAGCGTGGAGGAGGTGTTTGGGGTCAGCTTCAAAGGCGAGGAAGGAAAAGGCATCATGGAGAGAACGGCGCGGGCGAGCGCGAGCGTGGCGCAGGTCCATTGGGCGCGGCTGGCTGATGGACGGGAGGTAGCGATCAAGATCCAGAAACGGGAAATCGCCGCGCAGGTGGGCTGGGACCTTTGGGCATTCAAGTGGGTGTTCTTCCCACAAGCAAAATCCTCCGCGGGGCGCTAACCGTGAAAACCAGGGTCGTGGCGCGCATTTACTCCTGGTGGTTCGACATCCCGATGTACAGTCTGGTACCCTACATTTCCGAGCGGCTGATGCTAGAGACCGACTTTGAAAACGAAGCCAACAACTCCGAGGAAATGAAGGACTTGATCTCGAACGAGCCGCGCCTGCGCGGCCGCGTCTACATTCCATCCGTGTACCGCGAGCTCAGCAGCAAGCGCGTGATGACGGCCGAATGGATCGAGGGCATCCGGCTCTGGGACAAAGAAGGGATCACGCACGGCTGGAAAGGCGGCCGCGGCACGGGAAGCCCAGGAAGCAACGGGCAGGTGCTCGCGCCGCCGCCGCCAACCGTCCGCTCCACCGTCGCGACCAACGACCCCAACAAAGAGCAGCTCAAGCCCTTGCGGGACGCGTGGCGCGGGCCCGACGGCCACGGCGGCCTCGGCGTCTCCCTCAAAGCCGTCATGACTACGATGGTCGACCTCTTCTCGGCGCAGATGTTCCTCTGGGGCCTCGTGCACTGCGACCCGCACCCAGGGAACATATTAGTACGCCGACTGCCGTCCGGGAAGCCGGAGCTGGTGTTGCTGGACCACGGGCTGTACATCCGCATGAACCCCGCGTTCCGGCACCAATACGCACGGTTCTGGAAAGCGCTGCTCGCGCTCGACAACGCGGCGATCGAGGAGATTGTGCGCGGATGGGGCGTCGGGAACGCGGACATCTTCGCCAGCGCGACGCTCATGCGCCCCTACACGGGCGGCGACAACAGCACGTCGGCGCAGATCCGCAAAGGCGTAAGCGGCGCAACCGAAGCCGAGCGCGCCTACGCCATGCAAATGAAGATGCGCAAAGGCATCAAGCAGCTCCTCGCCGACGAGACAAAGTGGCCCCGCGAGCTCATCTTCATCGGCCGCAACCTCCGCATCGTCCAGGGCAACAACCAGTTCTTGGGCAGCCCCGTCAACCGCGTCAAGATCACGGGGCTGTGGGCTAGTCGCGCGCTCGTCGAGTCCCGTGACTTGAGCCCTGTTCAGCGCGCGCTTAATTTGCTCCGCCATGCGAGGTTTAGGACCGTCTTGTTGGCGTCCGATTTGCTGTGGTGGTGGGCGTGGGTCAGGCAGAAGTTGGGTCTGGGTGGCGGCATGGAGGACGAAATTGAGCGCCATATGAAGTCTATGGCGAAGGATATGGGGTTTGAGCTTAATCATGGCGTTTTTGAGGGGTGATTGGGTGAGGGATGGGTAGGTGGGTTGGTGGGTTGGGCGCCTGGTGGGGGGAGGAGGAGGGAGGACGGGGAACGCGTGATGACATGGTGGCGGTATCGGTCCCCAGCACTCTTCACAAGCCATATTATGTACATTATCAATACCGTCGTAGAAGAGACTCTAGAGCAAGTAAGTACGGCCTGTAGATGTTTATACGAACGGACTACATAGAGATCCTCTCTCTCTCACACACACACGCACGCTTTTGAATGGCGCGCTTGTTGTAGATGCGCTGGATTTCACTTTACCGCTCTGGGGGTGGCGTGTTTGTGTAAGTGTGGCGTGCGGTGCGTTGACGGTGCTGGTCTGGCTTTTGCAGTGCAGGTCTGTTGCGGGTGGGGGTGGGCTGGTGGAGGTGCTGACTGCGGATGAGGTGGGGGTAGGGATGCGTGTGAGTGTGAGTGGATGGGGGTAGCGGGGTAGTCGATGGGCAGTGCCAGGTGCATGGGATGGTGTGTAAGATACGAATACTGCTCGTGGGAGCTGGCGAGGGATATAGTTTGCGTGGTTGTTTCTGTGTGTGCGTGTGAGCGGATGTGGATGCGGTTGGCTTTGTGGGTGTATTGTCATTGTGTGTGTGGACGGGTAGTTGGGTAGGAGGTGGTTGTCATAATCTGAGCTGGGATTGGTTATCGTATGTGGGTTGGGGTTGGTTGGGGTTGGGTTTGGTTGTTTGTTCGGTTTGATGCCGCTCCAGGGTCTTTGAATAATCGATAGGGCTTGCGTGGGAAGTGGAAGTAGGAGGTGGGAGGAGGTGTTTAGGATGTAGGAGGGATGCGGGATGCGGGCGAGAGATGGTCGTGTCGAGGTGCTTGGGATTTGGTTCATGATGCTCTGGAGTCCAGGTGTTAAAAGCGTATGGAAGCGGGTGTTCCGTGGGACATTGGAAGATTTTAGGTGGGGTAAGTTCATTGCACGCTGGGTTGCACTATGAGGCGATCTGTAAACGTTCTGTGTGGTTATTCTGTACGAGAACGCAAGTGGTAGCTTTGAGTGAAGTATTTTGGGCGTGAACGATTAAAGCATCCTTCCTGCATGAGCTGACCATTTATACCGAGAAACGACTTACATCTTGCAATCTTTGTAATGTCCTATTTTCGCATCCTGTGAATCTCGGCTTCTGTTTGATGGATAAATTCAGACGTAGTGCGCATACCCAATGAGGAACGCTGGATTAGTCACTTCTTGCATTAGTGAGTAGCATGGCTGGGCGAGCCCGCTTGAAACCAATATAGTGTCTTTGCAATTGTTTCGAACCGGGTAGAACTGCCGGTATGTTAAGACACGAACATTTGTGGTACTGATGAAGACAGTGAGATGTAGAAGAAGCTCCGAGTTCGGATGTCAAAATCAATAACTTTTCGTCCTAATAGAAGCGTTTAAAGGCTCTTATGGAGGTGCTTGTCCTTCCTTGCGGCGGGTAGCTCATGCCAGTGAGCCCATGGAGGGCTTCTGCGCAGAGAAAAATCAAGGCCAGGATGGTCGTTCGCGGGTGGAGTGATCTTCACACTGAAAGAAAATCGAGCCTGGGAGCCTCGTACCTCCAAGAAGCTTATTTTTGATGAACGTGCGGGAAGCAAGCACCACAACCGAGATCACAGGGTCGTAAAACTCAGAAGGCCAGAATCAAAGACAAAATCCATCAAGGTAGCTGCGCATCCTCCCCATTGCTTTCAGTTAACCCGAGGTAGAGATCCTCTTGGCTGTGGTACCATTAGAACAGGGCGCTTGTTTATTGGAGATGGTCAGTCCTTTGTATACCGCCTTTGTCTACCCCCGCGATACGGAAATGGCTGATAGGGCTGCGTGAGGAGGGGCATGGTCGTGATGGAGTGATTCTAGGGGGTAGACCAGGCCAGCTGCAGAGCTGGGGTGGCAAAGTGGCCGACGGGAGCTAGTGCCCCGCTTTCAACGAGTACATATACAACAATTGATGGCTCGGACATGAGTGTCTGTCTAGCTGGAGGCATGCTCGTTCAGAATATCATCGAGTCCGGCACTCAGCGCAGCGGTTAGACCACCGTCACAGCTCAATCAGCACACACGTGGCAAGTCCGGGGAGAGAGACTAGGGCCAGTCTCTGGCCAGGAAGGCAGACGTGTTGTCGAACAAGGCTGAGATGGGCCAGGAAGACGGGCCACGAGGGCTACACGCTGGCTTGAGGTCACGGGAACTCGCAGCGACGGTCGTCTGGGCTCAGCAGGGTAGGAGAGGTGGAAGAGGAGCATCGGCTGAGGGGATGCAGGTGGGGACGGGTACAGACAGTGTGCGAGGAAACGGCGGGCATGGCTCTTTTTGGGACGATTGGGGGACGAGTAGACGGTGAAGCTGCGGCAGTCGGGATGGACATGCGGGATATTGGATAGCAAACATGCTTGAGGGGAATTGGTCACGCGTGGCACCGAAAGGGCAGGCCGGATGACAGCAGAGAGCAGAGCGGACGAGGCCGCGGGGTCCTTGGCCGGGCGGAGCGATCAGCGGTTCAGCGGGACGACCGAATTTGGCCGACCCAGGGGCGGCGACAAGGCTTGCTGAGTCAAAAGTGGCCGCTCAGGTGTTGTTGTGGGTTGTGGTTGGCCTTCTCGGCTCAAACGCGTCGCGAACCTGAACACACTACCTACACTTGCCCTACTTCAACTCTCTCTCTCCCTCTCCCTCCCCCCCCTCTCTCTTTCTTCCCCCCCCGTCCGCCCGCGGGCTTTGTTCGCACCCAACTATGGCCACCGCCACAAAGCGCGCTTCCTCGCCGCAGTCCGACTCGTCTACCCTCTCGTGCATCAATGTCGCCGCGTCGTCGTCGGCTGCATCGCCCGCCGCCAGCACGCCTCCCACCAGCCACGACGACGACGCCCAGAGCGACAAGTCCGAGGCGCAAAAGCCCGTCGCCATGCAGCATGAACCCGAGCCGCTCCGCCGCGTGAGCAGCAGGGCCCGCGCTAGCATCCCCACCTACAACGACAAGGAGCTCGCTGGCACCCGCATCCACACCCCAACCAAATACACCGACGGCACCTATATCCGCAAAACCGGCAAGGGTCCCGTCGAGCTCATCAACAAACCACCCGTCCCATCTGCCTCGACCAGGAGGCCCGCCCACAAGAGGTTGAGCGCGTTGAGCTCCGAATGGACCACCGAGCCCGAGCGCGCCGCCGACACCAACGCCAATGACGAGCAACAACACAACCACAACGACGACAATGAAGATAACGAAGACGACGACGATGATTCCGAACGAATTCCCCGGCGCCAGTCTAGGCGCGTCACCGGCGCCCCAACACTCACACGTTCCCTTTCAGAAAGGGCGCCGCGCAATGCCATACGCGGTCGCGAGACCGCACAAATGATCAGGCGCGCTCGGGAGGCAATAATGGGCAAGAAGGGGGCTCTTCGCTCTGGCGGAACGCTCGTGAGGAGCAAGTCCGAAGGGCCGGCGGCTAAGAGACGGAGGCTTACCGACTCTGCCCCGCCCACGCCAGAACCTCCGCGGGACACGGAGCTCAAGAAGCTGCTGTATCGCGGCACGAGGAAGCCTTGGCTCAATGCGGGCAAATTTTACAACACTGGCCAGGACGATGTTCTCGAGAGCAAAATTACGGTGCCCAAGTCAAAAAGCAAGACTACCGAGGGCGATGGCGCCTCCCGCCGGAATGAAATTTTGCCACTCCCCATGTTCACAATGGCGGAGAAGCTGGACCTGCACCCCAAGAAAAAGGTCTCGGAGGCGAAGAGGCCGTTTGAGCCATTCCAGTTGCCATTTGATGTCTTTTGTCCTCTGCCTAGGGAAGCGAGGGTCAAGTGGAAGGAATTGAGGAAGAGTAAGTTGGCATGTGCATGCGCTTATTTCAGTCTTCTAATTTGTCGCAGACGAGTACAAGGGTGAGGATGCCCAAGAACAGAAGAACCGCGCTAGAGAGGCAAGCAAGAAGGCGAAAGCCATGGAAGCCTCGGTGTGTACCTGCACGGAAAGATGCGACCGCGACGCGTGCTTTAATTCCAGCTTGTTCTTCGAGTGTGACGACAGAAGTTGCAAGGTTGGCCCTCATTGCGGCAATCGGCAGTTTGCGGAGCTGCGGAAACGCCACAAGGACGACAGCCACGGCAAGTACTACAAAGCGTACAACGTTGGTGTCGAGATCATTGAAACAAAGGATCGAGGCAACGGTGTTCGTGCCATGCGTACGTTTGAAAAAGATCAGATTGTTGTTGAGTATGTTGGCGAGATTATCACTCAGCAGGAAAGTGACAGGAGAATGAGGGAGGAATACAAGGACCACAAGGTATGCTCTCTCCTACTGCTTCTGCTACACCACCTCTAACAACCGCAGTGCTTTTACCTGATGAACTTTTATGACAAGCTTATTATCGATGGTTTTAGAGGCAACATTGCCCGCTTTGTGAACCACTCCTGCGAGCCCAATTGCCGCATGGAAAAGTGGTATGTCAACGGTGAGCAGCGCATGGCGCTCTTCGCCAACAGGCCCGTAATGACTGGCGAGGAACTCACCTGGCACTACAATTTTGAGTGAGTTGTCCTTTTCACAATCACAGAACGTCACCCGACTCTAACCGGTTCACAGGTCGTATGGTCAAGATCAACCCTGCTATTGCGGAAGCGCCAACTGCGCTGGCGTGATTGGTCGTCAGGTCAAGAACAAGGTCAACAACACTGCAGGAACCAAGCGAAAATCGTCCGACGATGCGGAGGACAGACCAGCAAACAAGAAGCAGAGGCTTAACAATCTCGCCGCCACGGCCTCATCGAAAACGAGGAACGTTCTTGCCAAGGCCAAGGAAGGCCTCAAAGATCTTATCGGCTCGAAGCCCACATCCGTGGCGGAGAAGAAAGGCCGCGACGAAAGAGCGGCGAGGCGATCGCTTGCTTCAACCGGCTCCAGGAAAACTAGGTCTTCTGGAAAGTTTTCGCCACCCGAACGCTCCGCCACGACCGTGCTGAAGCGCCTCCGGGAGCAGTCGAGGAATTCTGGTTCGCCAGGCAAAGGCCGCAGCGCGCCGCGCAAGCAACTGACGTACGCCGAACAGCTCGTCAAGGTCACGGCGGAGGCGCTGGACCTTGCAACAGATGAGTCTGAAGAAGACGATTCGGAAGACGAGCACGAACAAGAACAGGACGAGATTGAGGAGCCGTCAGCATCCTCGACGCCCGCTACCGCTGCGCAGAGCAGCAAGAAAAGAGCAGAACGAACTCCAGCTTCGCCAAAGAGCAGCAGCAAGCAGACGCCCAGTAGCACGAGCAGCTCGAACAGGGCTGGTCGCCAGAACAGCAGCGCCGTTGCCAAGACAACGACGACGCCCGCGTCTGTCACCAAGTCCCTCAACCTGAAGCAGTCGACGCTGTCGTTTTTGCCGCTCGGCTTGGGGCTTAATAAGAATAAGGCAGCGGCGGCGACGACGGTGGCTATGCAGAAGGTTGTAGAGACGGCGACGGGAGCAGACAAGAAGGGCAGGCTTTCTAGTGCTGCCGCGGCAGCAGCGAAGTCGAGAGCTTGAATTCTGGGTGTGAAGGTGGGGCAGTGATGTGGGGAGAAGAAGACGCTCGCCCTACAAGAGGACGCGCACGCACGGCTACCTGTCTGTTTGTCTCTAGCCGTCGCGGGCCTGCGCCGCGCTCCCGTATTTGTTTGCGTCCTAGCGCGGCCGGCATTGTCTAGGTTGTTGGCCCTCCCCTTGTGCCCAGCTCAACAGAAAGGCACAGCCGCGCTGCGCTCTACCTCACGCGCCGCGCCGCGCCGCGTCCGGGCCTCTCCGCCTATCCATCTATCCATCCAGCCATCCACCACCCTACCGAAGCACGCATGCGCAAGTTCAACAGCGCGTTTGGCGCGCCCTTACCAATCTATCTCGTCGTTCCTCTTGCCGCCTTCTCCGACCTTATCTCTGGGTTCCTCCTCACTTATGCGCTTAGGTTGTCGGTCGTTGTGCGTTGTCTGTTGTTCGTTTTGGTCCATTCGGGGCGTTGTGGCGTTTCTTTCCTTTTTTTTTCTTTTTCTCTTTTCCTTGACTCTCTTTTCTTTGACGTGGCTTGGCTTTCTTTTCCTGGTATCTCTGTGCGTGCGTGCGGGTAGTGACAGCGGAGCGAAGGCGTGACGGGGAGAGGAGCCGGTCGTTGGTGCTGCTGCTGCTGCTGGAGGTGGAGGTATTGGTACAGGGGGCTGCGTGAGCTGCGCTGAACCGGGGACAGGATGACAGCGCGCAGCGCGCAGCGTGCGTGCTGCGTGAAGCGTGAAGCGTGAAGCAGGGTCAGGGTCATGGTCATGGTGATGATGATGGCGATGCCGGAGAGAGTGAGAGTAGAGTTAGACGCGCTACTACTACTATTGGCGCGTTATGGCACGGAATGATACAATGATGGTTTTGTGCACTTATGCTTGGTGTGTTGGCTTGCTTGCTTGCTTGCAAGCGCGCGGTGCAGTGCTATGCGTGCGTGCGTAAAGGATGAGATGAGCTGAGACGAGACGACATGAGATGAGAGGAGGATTAATACGGCCATAGTCGTGGTAAACGGACGTTAGGTACCTAGTCTACGCCCGTACGCACGCACTACTACAAACGTACTACGTACGTTCTTGATAATAACATGACAATGCCGGCAGATGAGCGTGGCATTCTTGCTGTTGGCTGTTAGCTGCTAGCTGTACATACGGCCTTACATCCCAGTTTCATCTCTCAACGCCCACGCATGCCATGCGTACGTAGGTACACTTAGCATAAAGATAAACACAAAAGCAAAGCAAAGGAAAGCAAAGGAAACACAAGAAACACAACGAAGGGAAACGGGGCAGATATACCGTTCTCCTAATAAACCATTCATCTATCAAGTAAGCAATCAATCAATCAATCAATCAATCAATCAATCAATCAGCCTGCATATCGCTCAGGGCGATGGGTCAGGGTAAATGAATTCAACTCAACTCAACTCAACTCAATCAATCAATCGTACAGCATACTATATTACTACTACGTCTACGAGCGAGCGAGTATACGTGCGATTATATAAGCATATAGGCAGGCAAGCAAGCGTGTAGGTAGATTAAGTAGGCTAAGCAATGACTTTGTTTAAATAATCGGGTAGAAGCTATGGCCATAGCTATAACACTACTACTACTATAAAACCCTAACCTTCCTCACACACGCCGCTTTCCTCTTTACGTATATATATATACTACTACTCCTCCCCTACCCTCTCTCCTCCTAATAAGAAACTCTTCTAAAAAGCGACAAGAAAGCCAAAGCCAAAGCTAATACGTAAATAAGGGTTCAAGGTAAAGATACAGAAGAATAGGTATGAAGCGTATAAGAGATATATACCCTATATTAAAGACGCCCCATTAATAGCTAAAGCAAGGCAAGGCATGCAAAGCGTCTAGATATACAGCCTAATATAGGTACGGTGTATTGGTGTGTTGTTATAGTGGTATGTATATATATATGTATTATAAACTCCACCTCCTCCGCCCTCCTGTCTCCAGCCCAAACCCCCACCTTGACCCCCACCTTAAGCCTCAACCCCCAATCCCGCATCCCGCACCCCGCTACCTGCGGCTGCAGGCTGTTACGACGTATAGAAGTAGGTAGTTGTTAAAGTAGCTGTAGTAGCTGTAGTAGCTGTAGCGGTGGAAGTGGAGGAGGCAGAGGGGAGTAGAGCAGCAAACGACAACAACAGCAGCTTCCTAGCCTAACCTAGCTGCCTAACCAGCCAACCAGCCAGCTAACCAGCTAACCAGCCAGCGCGCCCGACTGATTGATTGATTTGCGTGCAAGAATCCAGAAGCCAAAGCCAGCCAAGCCCAGCCAAGCCAAGCCAAGCCAAGCCAAGCCAAAGCAGCCAACTCAGCCAAACAGGTCTAAGCAAAATACATAAGACGACGACGACGACGAAGACGAAAAGAAGAAGAAGAAGACGAAAAGAAGAAGAAGAAGAAGAAGAAGAAGAAGAAGAAGACGAAAAGAAGCTCGCCGCTTGAGAAGGTGTCTGTCCAGAGTATGCCAGACCAGACCAGAGACCAGGGAGTCGACTAAAAGGGTAAAAAAGCATAAAAAAACAAACAAAAAAAGGTATATCTAAAAGCCCTTCCTCCTCTCCCTGGTCCGCAAAAAGCTATGTAAAGCTAAAAACAATCAAAAAAAGTCATCAAGCACCCAAGCGACCACCCAACCAAGCGACCAAGCAACCAAGCAAAAGCAAAAAGCATAAAAAAGCAAGCTTTTTACGCGCCGCCGCCGCCGCCGCCGCCGCCCGCGCTGCCGGGAAGACTCCTGGGCGTGCTATTAGCGGGGCTCGTGGCGCCCGCGCGTCGCTGCTGCGCCGCAAACGGGCCCTGGAAGCCCTGCTGCACAATGCTGCCCGCCGTCGTGCTGGCCACGTCCTGCATTTCCACGCCGCCCTGCTGGCCCTCCGACAGCGGCGCCGTGCGCTTGCTCCTATGCTCGCCGAACCGCTGGTCGCCCTCCTCGTAGCGCTTCTTGAAGTTCAGGTACGTGGGCGGCCGAGGCCGGAGCAGCACCGCGCGGAGGTTCTTGATGAGCCCGGCTTGCGTGAACGGCCGGTGCCGGTCTTTCTTCAGGAATTTGTGCGAGTTGAGATATTCGCGCGTCGTCTCGCCGCGTGCGATTAGGAAGAGATGGTAGCCCCAGAGCGAAGCCGGATACCAGGTGACCAGGATGCCGTAGATGAGCATGGCGAAAGGAACGCGCCATTTGTTGATTGCATCGCCAAACGATCGTCCCGGTTCCTGGTGCATCCAGACAAGCAGGTGTGCGAGCGATCCGCCAAACAGGAACGCGCCGAGAAGCGTGCCGGATGCAACGAAGACGAAAAAGTAACGGTAATTACGACGGCCAACGCAGTTGTTGAGCCAGACACAGTGGTGATCTTGCGTTTCGATGCAGTTGTCGCAGACGCGGCAATGGTGCGCGCGCGGTGGGCGCCAGATGTTGCAGGACTTGCAATACTTGGTAGGAACTTCCATAGCAGAAGTCTTGGCGGCGGCGGATTTGACCATGACCCATTCTGTGGTAGGCGGGCCAACGGCTAACGGATCGTCGTTCGGATCGGAGGGCGGGAAAGGATGAAGATTACGGGGAAGAATCTGTCACGACGGTTAGGTAGGACGAACGTTTTAATGAAAGAAAATTGACTAACCCCCGGGTCTGAAAGAGAAGCATGGAAAAATGAAGACATGCACATTAAAAGGAGGTACGAAAACAAGATGGGTATCGCAGGAGAAACATGAAGCCATAGCCATGGCGCCCTAAAGCAGTCAGTTAGCATCAAACGCCGATTCTGTCTGGAGATTCATTTTCAAAGAAAAAACTCACGAAAATCCAAGGAAAAGAGCCGCAGGAACCACAACGAGCAAACCAGTGCCGATGCTGACAGGCCGATCTCTGGTATTCTGCAATCTACCGCCCCAGCAAAACACCGTGTTACCGGTGAAGTACTGGTAGTTCCTGCCAAGATTGGCCTCCTTCTGCGCTTCGGCCTTTGCAATCGCGGCGTCGGCGGTGGCGTCGGCGGCGGCCAATCTGGGCGAGGACGCGGCTGAAGAAAGCTTTTCGTGGCCCTGGCCCTGCGGACGTAATGAACCAGAGTTAGGACCTCTACTGGCAATCATGAAACTGGATCTAAAAGAGCGTGGGGACTTCTGAGGTGGAGCAAGTCCGGAGCCGGATCTGTTGGCTCCGGAAACGTCCAAGTGAAGATTCGGGTTGGGTTTCTGCAGCGGCGCGATGCTCTCACCACGGCTACGTACCGTGTCGCCGCCGGTAGGCGTGGTATTGGCCGTGGTCCGGTCGGGTAAGTCTCGGTCACTGAATTCGGTGCCTCGAGAGGGTGGAGGCAGCCCTTCGCCGTCGTGTTCGTGGTGGAGGCCAAGCGGGTGTCCTTGGCTGGGATTCGACGCGATGCTGTTGCGGTACGAGTTGCGGACCATGTCGCTCTGTCCGTCATGCGACATGGACGAGCGGCCCACGAGCGAGCCCGGGCGCTGGCTTCTCTGCTGCTGGAGCCTGTTGGCGCTCATGGGGCGGAAGAAGGCCGAAGACTGGATGCCCGACACGTGCGTCCTGCTCGTTGCGGTGGCGGGGCGGTGCGAGACGGGCTCGCCGCTGCCCGACAGAGTGCCGGGGCTTGGGCCATGCGCGCCGGCACCGCGTCTCGACGGCGGAGGTTGCGAGTAGTTGCGGTTTTTGATGGTGGACATGGACGAGGGGCGCGAGGGGGGCAGGCCGGGTTCGCCGACGGGGCCGGTGACGCCCTGGACGCGCGACGCGTTTGGGTAGGGAGGGTCTTCGTTTTCGTCGACGTCGGTGAGGCGCGAGGATATGACGCTGGGCGGGCCATGGTTGCTGCGCGGGGCGTCGAAGGGAGTCGGGAAGGAGGCGATGTTGTCGGTGGGCGTAGAGGTGCGAGAAGGAGGGCGGTTGGTCATGACTGGGCGTCGTCGGGCGTTGGGGTCGCGGCGGCGGTGGAGAGAAAAGTAGTAGTGAGTGGAATCCTATGCATGACACTTTGCGGAAGCTCGGCACGGGCACGGAGAGAGGAGTTGAAAGAGGAAATGTCGCCTAAAGAGGGAATCGTGGTCGGATCAACGCGACATGGCGAGCGTCACGGCGGGGTTTTGGAGCAGGGGAGGACGAGGCTGGCGCTGGGGCTTGGTTTTCCTCGCTCGGATGGCCAGAGAGAAGTATCAGGAGGGAGGACGGACGGACGCTGCTGCCAAATGGATGATCGCCGTCATCTCGGCTGTGGCAGCGCAGGTCCCGGCACAACGTTTGTTCCGTCCGTGTCGCACCTAGGGTAATCACGTGAGCACATCCGGGCAGCAGGTCAGTCCACTAACGACATGGAAGCTTACATGCTATCATCATCACCACCCTCCCCCGCAATCTCCACTCCACCCTCCACCACCACCACCACCACCATGTCCTCCATCATCGGCCGCTCTGCCTTCCGCGCTACCCGCGCCCTCCGCTCCACCGGCGGCGCCGCTGCCCAGGGCGCCAACGGCGACAAGGCCGCCAGCAAGGACGCGCTCAAGGCCGCGGGCAAGAAGGACCCCGAGCTCTACGTAAGGCGCCTGCAGCCAATGGACCCGCGCTAGCTCGTCGCGTACTGATACTCGACATTGCAGGTCCTGTGGACCATCATGGCCGGCGCCTTCGGCCTGGTCGGCTGGCACTTCTGTAAGCAAGCTCGTCTCCTGCTCCTGCCTGCTCCCGACAGACTCCGTGACACTTTTTTTTTTCTGACCTCTGACCTCCGCTAGCCCGCAACCCCACCTCGTCCTCCTCCGAGAACCCCGTCTCCAAGGTCCCCGGCACCGAGCCCTGGCAGACTGGCGGCTCCGGCAAGTACCTGTACCACCCCGGTGGTGACGCCAACGCCTCTCCCCGCGAGGCTCCCTCGGCCCTGAACACGGTCATCATCCCCAACGTCAACCTGCCCAAGGTGAGTGCAATGTCGTCGTCGTCGTCGTCGCGCGCGCGGACAAATGGGGGCGAGCGAGGGATAGGTACCTACCTATATGCCGATCGTCAGAGCTAACAATTGCGTCACAGGATCTCCACGAGAAGTACAACAAGTACGGCAAGGACGGCTACTAAATTACCCGCGTAGGTCCAGAGCTAGGAAATGGAAGCTTAGAGGAGGTTTGCGCCAAGGGCGCGCATGAACGCCCTTGCGCTTGTACAGTCGAAATTCCCTAGGCCGTGTAGAGTAGCAGTAGCATGTGACTCGGTTTTCTTCATTTGCTCCTTTTCCTGCATCTGATCTCTGGATCTCTTTTTGCTCGGTCAATCACGCAAACATCTGAGACGCCGTGTGCACATCAAACAATGCCGTCCCTGTTCCATGAATAACTCCCGAGCCAAAAATCGTCCGCGCGATCTGCCGCCCTTCAATCAAAGATCTGAGATTTTCTAATTTTGGCCGCGGCTGCGTTTTTGCGTAAAACATTATGTGCATCACACGCCGCCTGAGACTCCAATCAAAGAATTATACATTTGACTATAGCTAGTCGCAATTAGGTTTCTTGTTTCTCGGCGCTCTAGTGGTATCTCATCTATCGACTTGCGGACGTAATCAACCATACTTCCGCACCAAGCTCTTCATGATGCTCGTAGCGCCAGACCGGTAACCTCCGCCAAACAACGCGTGATGGTTAAGGTGATGATACCTGCAACAGCGTCAGACAGCCTAACCCCTTGACGATCCAGGAGATGGGAGGAGGAGGAGGAGAGAGGGGGTGGGGCACAACACGGGCAAGACATACAATTCGTAAAGCGCGACGCGATCCGCATACTCATCCTGCGGCTCCGTCTTGGGGCAAAGCTCATGGTACTCGTTCATGAAGGCGCCGCCAAAGCCGCCAAACATCTTCATGATGCCCAGCTCGTACTCGCTGTGCGCGTAGCACGCGCTCGGGTCGTACACGACCTCCTGCACCGCGCCCCCCTTCCCGCCTATCGTCCCGCTGCTCGCGTTCCCGCTCCACAGGTCCCCGTGCACCACCACCGGCGTCACGCCCTTGCCGCCGTTCAGGTGCTCGTCGCCTATGAGCCGGGGCACGACGCGCGAGGCCGTCGCCTCCACCAGGTCGTGCAGCTCCTTGTCTTTTCCATTATTCGCCTCGCTCTGCCGCAGGATGAAGCGCAGCCGGTGCTCGGCGTAGAAGTCTGCCCAGCTCGCTTTGAACCCGTTCTCTTGCGGCGTGTCGCCGCAGCACGTCGTCACCGGGAACCCGAACATCGGGCGGTCGTAGCCCGCCGGCACCGGCGCCGGCGTCGTGTGCAGCTTCGCTAGCTTTTGCGCCAGCGTCTCCGTGCTCCCCGATGCGCGCGATGCCAGCCGCGATGTCAGGTGAAGGAAGTCCGTCACCATGAACGAGGTCGAGGGGTCTGAGGCGAATTGCCCGTAGCCAAAGGACTGTGGGCACAGAGACGGGACCGACGAGTGCAGGGCGTTGAGCGAGGCGTGCTCGCCTGGTGGTGTGGTTAGTTATGTGCTTGTGTGTGCACCTTGAGTGCGGTGCGGAATGGCTCACCCTCAAACATGACTGCGGCATCCTTGCCCTTGCCTGTCTTCATGAAGAACTGCTTCTCCGTGCCATCTGGCAGGGTTGCCGTGATTTTCGAGGTCGAGGCCGAGGACATGCCCCCGCCGCCGGCGGATGAGACGCTGGCGGCAGATGGGTCCACGGAAATGGCTTTTGCAACGGCATCGTCGAGCTTCATGGTGGATAGTCGAGAGAATGTGCGAAGGGTACGTAGCATTGAGTTGTCCGAGACATTGCTGGTCCAGATAAAAAGTGGTGGTTGCGTTCGACTGGAGCAGTCAAGTGACTATGACGTTAGCTGGCAGGGGTCCGAGAAGCTTGGGTCCCCAGCTTAACGTGATCGCGCGATGCATGAGGGTTCTTAATACCACAGAATCTTCTTGCTGTGTAAGTCTCTTATCACTCATTGAGTATGAGTTTCCAGCTTCGTGATGTCTTTGCTCCATGCCCGGCAGAAGATGGATGTGCTCGACAAGTTGACCAATGACATCATCCGCATGTAAATCCCGTCGTCTATCTACCTACACTCAATTGTAGATACCCACCTGTCTTCTCATGCCTGAGACTTTGGTGTTTCGCTTGACAATAGCACTTCAATAGCAAAGTTTCACTTCATAGCATGAGACACAAATGTATGCGCAGGGTTTGATTTTGCAACTACCTAGCAGTAGTAGGTTTCTCGCAGAAAACCCAGTCCATCAGAGAGCTACCATTTGTCGGGATGGTGGAGAGAAGAGAAGAATAAAAAAGGCCGTATATCACGGCCGGCCCTGATATCCATCGAAACCCCAGAGAGGGCCGCGGTGGGAGGAGAGGAGAAACCCGAAGTTTCCCACCAACAGCCCAGATGGATCAAGGGCCGGCGTGACGAAGAACAAAAAACAGCATAGAAGAAAAAAGCAAAGACAGTGCAGAAATCGCCGCTCAGAGCCACAAGCTTCTGTCAAGGGAGTAAGTTGCCGTGAACGGCCCTTACCAAGTAGCGCCAGAAGAACCTTCATCGGTCTTGAAGCCGCCCTCGTCAGCCTTGAAACCGCCCTCATCAGCCTGGAAGCCGCCAGCATCGTCGGCGTTCTCGGCCGCAGCAGCCGCAGCAGCAGCTTCCTCCTCCGCATCAGTGTCGTCGTCGAATTCCAGAGGCTCACCCTCAGGAGGAGCGAAGCTCTCGAGGAAATCAGGAACCTCCTGCTTGCGCTCCATGAGCACCTTGACAAGGTCCTCCGCAATGTCCTCGTTACGCTCGTTGTAGAACGACGTAGCAAGGCCGTTGTTCCCGATGCGGCCAGTACGACCAATGCGGTGGACGTACTCGCGGATGCCGCCGTGCATGCCAGACGGCAAGTCGTAGTTGATGACGTGCATCACGTTGAACACGTCGAGGCCACGAGCGAAGACACCAGTGGCAACCAAGATAGGGCAGGTGGCGTTCCTAAAAGCACGAAGTGCATCCTCACGCTCGCGCTGGGTACGATCCGAGTGGATCGACGTGCAAGGCAACTGGAGATTGTAAAGGTAATCGTCAATGAGGTCGGCCTTACGCTTGGAGTTGACAAAGATGATGGTCCTGGCGGGCGGCATCGAGAACAGCAAATCGTACAAAGCACGATCCTTGTTGAAATCGTCGGTCCAGACGATCCTCTGCGTGATGTTCCCGTGCGAAGAACCAGCACGGCCAACACGGATGCGAACATGCTCTTCGGCCATGTAGTCACGAGCCAAGGCACGAGCCGCCTTCGGGAAAGTGGCGGACAGCATGAGGTAGGCATGGTCAGCATCCTCGTTGATGTCTGAAGCAACGTTAGTATGTTTCGCAGTAATACCAATAGATGTTGACTTTGACTCACCACCACCACTCATGATGCGCTTCATGTCGTCCTCCCAGTCAGCCTCGAGAAGCTCATCAGCCTCGTCAATGACGGTGTACTTGACACGGCTGAGAGACAGGATGTGAGGCTTCTCCATGAAGTCGAGCAGACGACCAGGAGTAGCGATCAGAACATCACAGCCCTTTCCAAGCTCTTCGCGCTGGGCAGCAACAGGACCACCGCCGTAGATGACACAGGGGCGCAGCATGGAACGATAGGCGAGGCGGCGGGCCTCGTCGAAGATCTGAGCAGCCAGTTCGCGAGTCGGGCAGACAATGAGCACAAGGGGCTCAGCGCGGACGCGATCGGTGGCCGGGTTATACGTAGCAGGGTTGGGGCGCGGAGCGGCCAACTTCTTAGCCTTGCCCATGAGGCGCGACAGGATCGGGACGAGGTAAGCAGCAGTCTTACCAGAGCCTGTGCGGTCAAAAGTCAGTCATCGTCCAAAAAATGTCATGAGGTGACATACCGGTCTGCGCGATAGCAATGACATCGTGACCCAAGAGAACAGCAGGGATCGTGTACGCCTGAATAGGCGTGGTGTTCTCGTAATTGCACAGACGGCTCACGTTGTCCAGCATAGTCGGATGAAGACCGGCATCCTGGAACTAAAATCGGTCGAGTCAGTATTGGTCAAGACACATGGGTGAGCGAGTGAACTTACGAAACGGATGGGAGCGATCTTGGTCGGGCCCTCACTGAAAACCTCGTACTCCAGCTCGTTGAAGGCATTGCCGCGCCTCATGACGTTCTCATGGCGGAAGAGCTCTTTCTCAAGCTCCTCGTTGGGCGGTCCAACCTCGCCAAACTCATCATCCCACTCGTAGCGAGCCGCAGACGCAGCCCAGGAAGGCTCAAGGTAGTTGCCCTCGTTGACAAGGGCCTCGCGAGCCTCTAGCGTTGTGGCATTGTAAGCAGCGTAGTCGAACGCGGAGGTAGCGACAAAGCCATGGGCCTTGGCACGCTCAGCAGCGCCTTCACGCTCAACAGGAGGAGCGACCTCCTTCGCAGGTTCCTCGATGGCAGAAGCCATGTCGGTGGTGTCGAAGGCGTCGACGGCGGCACCGGAGTCAGACATGCTTGCGGTCTGCGAGGTCAACCAAGTTAGTATGAGCGAGTGAGCAAGAAAGATGACTTCGTGTCCAAAGCGAGTGGGGGTGAAAGCGAGGACGAACGACCTCGGAGATGTTGAAGGCGGCTGTGACGGGGTGACGGGCTTACCTGGTGACAACGGGGAAGACTCAAAGACGGGTAGCTTGGGATGAAGCTTGAGCGGTGGAAAGCTTGACAGCGACGGACGGCTTGGAGAAGCAGAGTGACGGCGAAGTCGTGCAAAAGCTCGCTGGGCAGGAAGAAGGTAACGAAGTTCAGCCCAAGAAAGGTGCTGGAGAGAAAGATGTGAGAGGTGGGGGGAGGGGGGTTTATATAGGCAGACTCTCCGCCGCAAAGCACGGACGCCGTCTCCCCTCGAAGGAAGGCGCGCAACACGCAACTGCCCCGTAACCCGCGTAGCAGGGAAGGCAAGCCACAGTGCACCTTCCCCCCAAGTGTAACTAACAATGGTTGCCTGGGTAGGTAGGCAGGTAGGTAGCAACGCAGCGGTGACGCCGTGACGTAACCTAGGTATTACTTGAACGGCGCAGACTGAAGCGGGCCCACCAGTAGGTAGCGCCTTTACACGCTCTAGCTATGAGCAGCTGAGGTGATTGCGAAGGCTAGGTTGACTGGTCTTTCTTTATGAGAAGAGAGCGTCCCGGCACGCCCAAGCACAGGGCACTCTGGAGCGGCAGCTGTAGGGCAATCGTATGCCGCCAAACCAGAGCGGAGCTGCTGCTGCCAGTGCATGACAGATGTGCTTGCAAGGCCCGTAGAGCTTAGTGCTATTGTGCTCTCAGTCGGCGATGCCTTACGGCTTCGATCCCATCCCGTCAAGCCATCTTCGAAGAGGGCAAACATGTAGAAGCAACTAGGCCTTTGCACAAAGACAAGGTGTCCCTTTGCTGGTGCCCGCAAGAATGAAGCAAACAAGGTGTTGCGCCTCGAGGAGAAGGGGTGCGCATCTACGCCGTTACGACGAGTTGGAACACGGCAGATGCGCAGCTCTGGCATTGAGCAAGTGAACACCCCAGACAGGAGAGTGCCTTCGGCCCCGACCGACCAGCCCAACGACTAGTGGATGAGGAGCACCACGGAACTCAGCTTCGTATGTTCGGACCCACGACATAGCCCTCGCCGCGATGCGTCCTGCAAAGACTGCCCGAGAACACAACGTTGTCGCACCCGTGGCCGGCCGCCGCCAGCATAGTCGTGACAGCCCACCGCAGATACCGAGGCGAGCGCCGCAAGGAACGGCCAGCGCTACAGTTCTTTCGATCCCCCGACCGTGTTACAGGATGCCATACGCAGAAACACCCGCAACTACGACTCGCGCCCATGCTGCCGGTTTTCAGCTGTTGCCTCATCCACACGTTCAGGTTCGCAAAGCGACTCGCCCTCACACGGATAAGACAACGCGGCATGGAGGACATGGGACTACAGTTGGGACTGCGGGAAAGGCGCGCCGCCATGCAGTTAAGGGGCACAAATCTCGGTAGACCAGCGTCGCGACGACGGCGATGAAGAATCTCGCTGAGTGCAAGCCAGGTAGTGGACAGCCGTAACCCTTGTCAACCCTGAAGCCGCAGTGCCGACCTTGGGAGTATTTCAGCCTGGCAGACTGATACAGGGGGCCAACTCTGCGGAAAGCGAGGCACCACCGTCAAGGTTTCTGAGGATGTGTTGGAATGCTCCTGAACAGTCCATCTGTCGCTAAACCTGGCGAACAAAGCTGTCTACCAAGGCATTTGGCTTCAAGCAGCATGTATTGTATCCCCAGGCTGGTGGTCCTTCACTGCCTTTCGGCCATGACGGATCAAAAAAGGAGCTGGGAACGCTCAAGGTCGGGAGCGTAAAGGTATGTCCAGTATTCGTCGCTTTGCCCACGAATGATCCTTGTGCTGATATAGTTCCTTTCTTGTTTGTCTTGGCAGCCAACCCGAGAGAAATTGATGGATGCGTTTAGAAATACGGGTGAAAGACGACCGCTTTCAAGGACATAAGACCTTGTTCTCAGACCAGAGCAAGCAAAGAGAAAAGAAATCGTGCTTGGTAAAACAAAAGACCTCAGAAGAGAAGAAAATGTTGAGAACAGGACGCAAACATGGGATGACTCGCAAGAAATTGAACAATATGAATGGACGAGAACAAAAAGATCTGACATGAGAAATGCAGAGGTTCTCGATATTCGGCTCTGCAATCTGTCCTCCGCATGCTATCAATCATAGCAGTCGCAAGAGCGGCCCTTTGCAGCATAAAGAGTGCCCATGGGCGAGGAATCAGAGGACAGGAGAGCCAACTGCCTAATCTCTGGGACAAGGAGGCTACCTGACAGGAGGCCATCCAACCCATGGCATCGAAGATTTACAGTAGCATTCAATCCACCCATACCGGAGAGGGTTGGCTCTGTTGGCGTGTCCGTAAGCAATGGCGGCTGGCAAAACCCCTCATTTAGAGGGTTTGGTGCTGTGCACTTGCTGGACCCCATCTCCATACTGGGTGCAGTATTATGGGCCGTCTATATCCAAGCATCGGCTCACTCCATGAGCAGCGGGTATGGACTTTGGCCCAAACTTCTGTGTGGTTAAGAAATAGCTGCGTTTTGCGAAGTCCATCGCCCAGAAGATCCTTGTCGTGGAATTGGATTAATAACCCATTTTGGATCTGGTATGGACCCTCCACAACAAACCCTCTTAGGACTCTGCATCGTTCGACTCCGGTAGTCTTATACGGACGGTGTTCGACTGTGTGCCTGTGTGCGCGATGAGCGTTGCATATGAACGACGCACGAGATCCTTGAGCCGGAGATATTTTGCAGGTCGAAAAGTATGCCACGGATGTCCGAAAGGGAGTCCTCCTGGGCAAGAAGCTTTGGGGCCATATCCGAAGCAGGTCTGTTTTGGTTCTTTCTTCGTCGCTTTCCAACTGAGTTGGCCTAAGAGATGAAAGTAGTAGAGATGTTGTTAAGGGGTCGGTGAAAAGATGGGCAACTCTGTGCTTTGACGACTTCAATGTCGTTCAAATCCTTTCGAGGGATTCCCTTGGCGCCGCTTGGCTCGAGAAAGCTGTGGTGATAAGCGGCAGTATAAACTCTGTTGGATTGAGGAGCAAAACCGATGCGAAGCTGCGACATATGCAGGGGTTATGGCTAACCAAGACACAGGAGGCCGAGATCGATGTTTAGGACTGTCTGGAGAAGAGGTTGGGAGAAGAGCCGCACCTACCTACCTGGGTAGCAGGTAGGCAAGTGCCTACAAACAACCTGACAGAGGTAGGTGCCTACCTAGGTAGGGTGGAACGCGGAGAAACACCGGTACCGACCATGATCCCCCTCACACCCCTTACCTAGTGAGTTACCTACCCAAGGACTGCCCGGAATTTCAAGCGCTTGCAGGAGGCCGCTATCATGAAGCATGGCGGTTTGTCATTGTAGCCGTACTTACTATCTCATCGTAGGTACATAATCGGAGTTTCAAGGCCCGCATTGGAAGGTCACAGCGAGAGGGCTGTCTGTTTTCTACATTTTTCCATTTGGTTTTAGTGATGAAGGTGATAAGTCGAAGCACAACATTGCAGGTCGTCTCAGAACACGTTGCCTTCGAAGAACATGGAGATCTGTGAACGATAAAAGCTGATGAGGTTGAGAGAAGCTCTGTGGAGGTGGGTCACCAAGGGCCAAGAGCGGGGCACTGTCCGCCCGGGGAAACGGGGGTCACTCCGCTGTCAACGTCATTTGATCATCCGCCACCACCACACGTCAAGCCACACCCTCTAACCAAGGCTACGCGTCTTCTGTAAACCAGGTTTAACGGCGAAGATATGCGCTTCCAGATAACCTCCGCCTTCCGACCAAAGCAGATAGGTGATAAACCGTTCTGCGGCTTGTCTATTACGCCACCAGTATGAACGACCCCGGGGTTGATGAGCCCATTGGCGAGGCTGCTCAAGATATAGAAAGCAGCCCATACGACAGTATAGGAAAACAGGAGCGGGAAGAGGAGCAAGACTTTCTTGATCCGAGGTAAGAAATGCAAAAATCGCATTCTCGCAGAACACAACCTAACCGAGCTTAGTCGATGGTGGTTTGCATCCACAGCATGTCCGCTTATTGCGGGAACGTTCGGACCTCTCGCCAACGCTTTCTCTATCTGTGCTCTTGTCGTAAAATGGAGAGTCTACATACCACCAGGGAAAGATGAGACGATGGGAAATTTTATCGAGGATCCTCCATGGTGAACCCCACAACGACTTTATCAGGGCCTCTCTCACTAAATTCGCCCCAGGTTGGTAGCTGTAAACGCAGTATCCCTAGGATGCGCTCTTATTGCGAACCTTTCTCTTTTGCTGAACATGGCTCGACGCCTGCCTTTCCATATCGCTCAGCCCATAACTATCTCGGGCTTTTCCCTTGCTGCTTTCCTACTCATCATCTTAGTCTCAATTGCTTCATCGAAGATCTTCCGGATACAACCAGGTGATGCACACGCTCTCACCCAGGCCTTTTACTATGCAATAATTGCCGCCACGCTATATTGCCTCATAGCAATGTTGCTGTTACTCACCGTTTTTGGCGCATGGCGAAAGCATTATGCAAAAGAGTTCCGTCTCACTGTCCCCCAGAGAACGCTCATGTTACAGACCATAAGCTTTATGGTATACCTGCTTCTTGGTGGCCTGGTTTACAGTAAAATCGAAGGGTGGAATTTCCTTGACGCTGTCTACTGGGCAGACTACACGCTACTCACTGTCGGACTCGGCTCGGATTTCCCTCCAACAACCCACCTCGGACGTTCTTTACTTTTTCCATACGCTTTTGGCGGGATCGTTATGGTCGGTCTGGTCATTGGTTCGATACGCTCCCTTGTCCTCGAAAGAGGCAAGGTTAAACTTGAGGCCAGGATGACGGAAGTCAAAAGAGAAAAGGTCCTGTCCACAATCGACTCGGAAAACTGCACTATCAGAGTTGGGTTCTTTCACAGGGTCAAATTTTCCCAGAGTGGGCTTTCGGAAATAGAAAAGAGGGAGCAAGAGTTCAACATAATGCGCAAGATTCAAGAGAGTGCAGAGAAAAGGCGCAGATATACATCGTTGGGCTTGTCCATCGTAGCCGCGGCATTGCTCTGGTTTGTCGGAGCTGTTGTCTTCCATGCTTCCGAAGGATCCCATCACGGCTGGAGCTACTTCGACGCTCTTTACTTCTCCTACACGTCTCTGCTGACCATCGGATATGGGGATTACTACCCTGCAAGCAACTCGGGGAAGCCGTTTTTTGTGTTTTGGTCACTCCTCGCCGTTCCTACCTTGACAATTTTGATCTCCAACATGGGAGACACCGTTGTCAAAAGCTTTAGTGACTTCACAATCTGGGTCGGTAGCTTGACCGTTCTGCCGGGAGAGACCGGGATCAAAACAACGCTCAAGAGGTCCCTGGTTAAACTGAATCCGGCAACGCACTACAAAGGAGAGTCTAGCGGTATCCATACCGAGAAACCACCAGGCCTACTACCAAGAGGGGGTAAAGGCGACGAAGGAAAATCCCATCCCGAAGACAAAAAGGGCTACATTGAGCGCATGGCCATGGACCGGTTGACACGGCACATCGAGGAAGAGGAGCTAGATGAGGCGAGCGAGGCCAATGAACATGGCGATTCACTAGAGCGCGACACACACTTCTACCACTTCGTGTTGGCCAGCGAACTCCGCAGGGTGATGCGAGATGTCTTGGAGTCGCCCCCCAAGCAGTACACATACAGCGAATGGGCGTATTACCTGAAACTCATCGGGCAAGACGAGATGGACCCTAATCGGCATCGAAAAGCGCCAATCAAGGTGGATCGGCAAAACCATGCGCATCCTGACTTGGGCGGTGCTGGTGGAAAAGTTGATGACGAAGGCTACCTGTACAAATGGAGCTGGCTGGGCATCCGTAGCCCGCTGATGGGGTCGAAGAGCGAGGCAGAGTGGATTCTAGAAAAACTGTCGGCGACGCTGGAGTTGGAGTTGTCGAAGATGAGGGCTTCGAAGGTGAGGACGCAGAGGCAGCCGCCTCCTATTTCGATGGCGGACCTCAGAAAGAGGAAGCTAGACTTGGGTGGCTCGAGTGCGTCTTCAGGCAGTTGATGTTTTTGCCTTAGACTGATTTTTGCAGCTTTCGGAGCTCAGTTCTCTGCCTCTTTCGTGCTTTGCTGAGAAATTCGAGTAACTGTTCTTTCTGTCCGGTGATGCATAAGGGCGTCCTGTGATTTCTCAGTCATTTCTCGTTTCCGACTCTTTGCTACACGGGACCGTTCTTGCTATGGTTTGAATTATCCTTCTGTGTTTTTCTGATTTGCCACAATCCTATGAGACATTTCAATCATCAAAGAGGTTCTTTACTATGAAGAAGCATCACTTCAACGCTACGTGTTGCAGTGGCAGCATGCCAATCTCAGCTGGGTAATCGTATATAGAGATCAATTACTGACTATATGAGAATGCAGTTATCAAATGGCATCGAACCGGAGCGGAGGGAGAGAAGAACCAATGGACCAGCATGCCTTAGGTGATTGCACCCTTTCCATGTCCCTTCATCAACGTGTTGACAGAGGAGCTGACAGACCCATGAAGGATATCAGCTTGTAGCTCCAGGAAGTCGGTTAGAGTATGCTTTAGAGTTAAATTTTGCGTATAAGTATGAAGCCATTTGGCCCTACTGATGATACCAGATGCTAACAATACGTCGACTTGCTTATGCCTATACGAATGCGGCCTCTGTGTTCGTTTAGAGGTGATGAGGTCTGGATACGACACTAACGTTATAATACATTGAGCAAGTGATCCCTCCTACATGCAGCACTAATATTTGTCCGCCTAACAATCTGTTCAACTGCATTTGAGATGGTGTTTACGATCAGCTCCCCGTTCTTTATGTCACTCCGTGGTTGTTGTCATTCACATGCTGCTACTAACCGCTTACGGACATGTGAGTCCTGTGAGCCTTGTGAAGGGTGTGGCCTTCACAGTTGCTATGCCTACGGCCCTAACTACGTCATAGGTCACAAATTGGGAGCTCACTTGTGTATTTCTGCCCCGACACCTCCACCTCTCTTACAACAACGGACTCTCCGGACCCTCCGTTGTCAACTCGCTCGCCAGAACGGCCAAGGTAACGCGCACACATCCCGCTTCATATGATGACATTGATATTGTTGAAACAGGCACGGAACCTTACACACTCCTCTCTTCACTTGAAATCTCACCTCACAACAACATGTCTGACCCAGACACGTACGACCCAGACTCCTACAGTGACATCCGCCCGGGAACTCACCCGGAGCTGTTCGATGGGCCGCACAACGCGCCCAGATCTCAGCAGCCGGCGTCACCCCAGTGGTGGTTCTGGGTGATCGTCGCCGTCATGGTCGCCATCATCCTCGCCCTGGGCATCTGCGTCGTCTGTCTGTGGAAACGCAACAAGCAGCACCAGAGGGGCCGTAGCGGCACCGAGGCGGGCGCCGAGCTGCAACCAATCCCCAAGGTGCAGTTCCCGTTCTACTTCCCGCCGTCCGCGATACCCTCTGGAGGGATGCCATGCTTCCCCAACAGAGACACCATCGGCAGCGCCGTCGAGAACGCCGTCCCCTTCAAAGAGCTTCACCCGCACCTCCAGGAACGGGTCAACCGTGACAGCCAGTGTGAGAATCAGTTCAACCCGGCGTTTAACGCTCATCGTCAACAGCAGCTGCACGACAACGACGGCGCTCACACTGACGTCCTGCTCCACACTGACGCGTCCACCATGGGACCATCCACCGTCACGGCACCGCGCACTGCCAGGAACCCCCGCCATCTCACCCCGCTTCTTCCAGAGCCGCTCAACATGCACCAGCATCAATCAGAGCGCAGCGCCGCTCCGCAGAACGCCGCTCCGCACGACGCCGGCTTGCAGGTCCCGGCCACGCCGCTGGTGCAGTACCCTCGCGCGTACATGCCGCCCACCCACCTGCCGCGCCCCACCGACAACAGCGCCGCTGCCGAGAGCGCCTTCTCTGCGGCGCAGTTCCCGAGCGCGGAGTCCGAGATGACGGGATATGGTGAGACGGAGCTGACGCACGACCCGTGGAAGGCCGAGGCAGAGAAGAACAAGCGCGTGGTTGAGCTTTGAAGCTGGCGGTTCACGGGCTGTCGTTCGGAATGATGGTGATTACTAACGCCCCACTCCCTCGTTTTTTGCTACATGATGCTCACTTCAGATTGATGAAAGCATTTTTCTGGTGCGCGAGAGCGTTTGTTGGGGTTTTGGGTGCGAGCTGCCAGACGTACTGCTTGCATGCACTCTACGTGTAGCACTGACACTTCATGCTTATCACTTTCGACGACCGGTATGATGGATGGAGGAGGGCTCTTTGGGTTCGGGTGGATTGACGATTGCTAATGGCGACTTGTGGATGGATGGCATGGAGATGGAGGGCATGCGACATGCAAATTTACGACTGACAAGGCTACGACTGACAATACTGTGGGTTACGAACAATGTAAGCTTATACAGACAGCTTCACAGTAACGTAGATACCTAGTTTACAGTCATGAAGACCTTACTTTCCCATACATGACCACCTACCGTGAGCCAAACCTCGTAAGCTCTTCCATGCCACCACCAGGCCGCCTTATGATCCCGATTTACACATACCAACCACCCAAACACCCACCCCCCACCTCCGCAGCACAACCGCACACGCAACGCAGCAACGCGCACGCGAAACCGAAGAAGCCACGGTAGCCAAACCACAACCACCTCCGGCCCCTGCCCTCAGCCGCACCAAGCCCCCACCTTCAAGCACCCATCCAGGCCCCAGCAGCAACCACCCAACCCCTCGCCCCCTCCTCACAGCATTTTGCCCAAACCGCCCCCACCGCGGCCCCGACTGTGTTCTCGCCCGCTCCCACTCCGAGACACGGCTCCTGCCGCATCATGCGTACAACAGTACGAAAGCAGGGGCAAACGAGAGCGGCACCAGCGCGTGGGGCGAGGTTTGCCGCGTGCGGAGGCCTGTGTGCTGCGCGTGCACGTGTGGCGTCTGTGCTAGGTGGCTGTTTCATGCTTGGCTTGTTGGGTCGGTAAGGGAGGAGGGAAGACTGGTTCAGGGTTGTGGTTGTGGGTTGGTGGGTGGTTGTGATGCGGTTTTGCTTGTCTACCTGGCTTGAAGAAGTGGGTGGTGATGGGGTTGGTTTTCACGGTTTCTGGGGTTGGAGCTGAGGTGTTTTGGATGTTGGAATGAGGAATTAGATTTTTTACATTGTGGACTTGGTGGTTGTACATTTTTATGGCTTATAACCTACAGTTCTTTTCGTTTTTCTTTCTTTTACTCAAGGAGAATCCGAAGAGAAGTCCTGCTCCTGTGTGCTACTTACTGCTTTGCCAGGCGTTGAACAATACCTTCGACGCGGCCGTCCTCCCCAGAAATCCGCCTCTCGACGTCTCTTTTCCGCGATGCACCATCCGGCGTCCTCACCACCACTTTTTCAATTGCACCATTCTTTGTCACACGAACTCGAGCTGTGCTCTTGTCAGCCCAAGTAATTTCGACTTCTTCAGCCCCGACATCCAAGGCTTTGATGTTTGCGATGCCGAACTTTCCGGCTCTTTTTCTTCCAGCCGCGTCGTCAGTAGTATCTTCAGGTAACCCTGCGTCTTTCCGCAGTTGTGACACTGCATTCAGTCGCAGATGGTGAGACACTAGTTCTTTGTGTAACTCACGGACTAGACGATGGAGGTTTTGAGCGCGATTCGGCTTAGCCGGTGCGCCATCTGCCGGTGCTGGTGTCGGCTGTGGGAGGTACTTGGCCGCCAAGGACTGCAGTGGAATGGAAGGCGGGATTGTATGTTTATGGATCCGCAGAGCCTCGCTGCTAGGTTGAGGACGGTTGAGCAGCAGGTAGTATGGAGTGACAAAGCGTCCTGGAGACATGATCAGCGAGTGTTTTTTCTTGAGGTATTGTTTATAAACACCCACCTTCGATAGAGATGTCTATGCGCACACCCAGCACCTTCCCATCGTCGAGGGCATGAGGGTCTGGGTCCTTTACGCGGAATGCTGTGATACCAGCGCATGTGCGGTGTAGGTTCTCAAGATTATGCTTTTGTTGTTTTTGGACAACGTCCAAGGCTGTCGCAGCTGGCGACGCGGTTGAGGTAGCTTTGGCTTTAGCGCGTTGGATGCGCGTCAAAGTATGTCGCGAAGAGAGTAAGGTGGAGGACAGAGCAGAGCGGCGTCTCTCGAGCGATTGGACTGGCACGACATGGTTAGCATGCTGGCCAGATGAGGGCAGCGCGACAGTAAGTACTTTGCTCGCGAAGGTAGGCTATCTCATTGTCGACCTGCGAGTCCGGGATGAGCGAGTCGGACATGGCGACTACAAAACGGCGTGACGAAATAGATGGTGGATGCTGACGGCCCAGGCGACAAGCGAAGAGAGGAACGAGGTCCAAGCAATGAGAGCGACGGCGGTGCGGGTGAGGGATTGCTGGTGTTGGTGGTGTTGCTTCAACGGTTGCGGCGCAACAAGGCGTCGATCGTCACGGGTTCCGGTGCACGGCGACATGGGTGATGGCTACAGTATGTACGAGTGAAACACGACTTTCTGTCGAGCGGGACAGGCCTCAGGCCCTCGGTCCATATATATAAACTAGGGCTTGCAGGGGCGCCACGCGTTCTTTGTCCGCAGGCTTTTTGTCTGACTCTGGGGATACGGTGGGGAGAACCACAGCGCACTCACCGCCCGCGTTTGCCTTCTGGACACGTTCCGCTTTGGGGTAGCATCTGCATCATCGCCGGGGCTTGGGGGCGGGCACTAATTTGTGCTTTCGAAGAGGCCACTCAGCCTCTTCTTTCCTCAGCTTCGACCCGCATCGAAGTCCTCGTACATGGATGCCTACCACACCAGGCAATTCCTCGAACACCCTCCCTTTCACCCTTGTACATAATTCCTCCGACACGTCCAACGTCCAGGCCGTCCACGCTGCCCAGCACCAGCAGAACATTGCCACCCAGCACCGTCGCGCCCGTTCGCAGAAAAGCTTCGAGCTTGAATCCTTGTCAAGCCCAGACGACAATCTCCCTCAGAACTCCGCCTACTCGCAAAGCAGGGAGCTCCCGCGCATCCGCACCCACGCCCTCCCTTCCTTGGAGCGCAATCCCCTCCTTGCCGATCGTTCGGACGAATCTGATCTCGAGGCGCACGACGACGTACAGATGCCACGCAAGAAGAACAAGAGCAAGTCGCCTAATCCTCTGAGAGCAAACGCGCGCTCAGACTCTGTCGACTCGGCAAGGAGCCCGAACGGCCACGCGACCGGCATGGATAACATTCTCGAGCACAGGCGCAAGCACGCCGCCATTGACAGCCCTTCAACCGCCTCTCAGGCATCCCACCTTATGAGCAGGAACAGCTTCACCTTGGATGACGACCCTGCGCAGAGCATAACGCATGATGATGAAGGGGCTTCCAAGGGTTTCAGTGAGCTTCCCAAGCAGGACCAGCGCAACTTTCTGCTGCTGGTCCTACTATACTTCCTCCAGGGCGTGCCCATGGGCTTGGCGTCTGGCTCGGTGCCTTTCCTCTTGAAGGCGCATCTGTCATACAGCCAAATTGGCGTCTTCTCGCTGGCCTCCTACCCGTACTCTCTCAAGCTTCTGTGGAGCCCTATCGTAGATGCAATCTGGACCCCGAATGTCGGCAGGAGAAAGAGTTGGATTCTCCCAATCCAGACTTTGTCTGGCATTGGTATGCTATGGCTTGGTAGCAGAGCAGAGCAGATGATGCTCGATGCTGGCGCAGACAATGGCGCGGGGATCTGGGGATTCACCGGCTGGTGGTTTTTCCTTGTCTTCATGTGCGCTACGCAGGACATTGCGGTTGACGGTACGCAACACAATACATTTGGCTTTTGTGAATTACTTGACTAACGTTTCCTCAGGCTGGGCGCTGACGCTCCTCTCAACTGAGAACTTGTCCTACGCTTCTACCGCGCAGACGGTTGGCTTGACCGCTGGCCAGTTCCTGTCGTACACTGTCTTCCTCGCCTTCAACGCTCCGGATTTCGCGAACAAGTGGTTCCGCGCGATACCCAAGGATGAAGGTGTCATGACTCTGGGTGGCTACTTGACCTTCTGGGGCTGGGCATACCTTCTCGTCACTCTCGGTCTGGCGCTGCTCAAGCGCGAAGAGCGGACTAAGAACACCGACGGTATCCAAGAGGTTTACAGAGTCATGGGCGGCATTCTGAAACTCAAGAACATTCAGACCTTCATAATCATTCATTTGATCGCCAAGATTGGCTTTCAAGCGAACGATGCTGTCACCAACCTCAAACTCCTTGACAAGGGTTTCAGCCAGGAGGACATGGCTCTGACGGTCCTGATTGATTTCCCCTTCGAGCTCTCTCTTGGGTACTACGCCGGCAAGTGGTCACAAACATATCCACCCATGCAGCTCTGGTGCTGGGCGTTTGTAGGTAGACTGGCTGCCGCCGCTTTTGCGCAGTTCGTCGTCATGATCTTCCCTGCAGGTGGTGTCACGACCTGGTACTTGCTTACGGTGATTGTGGAGCACGTGTTCTCGACCTTCATGAGCACCGTGATGTTCGTAGCGGTGTCGGCTTTCCACGCTAAGATCGCGGATCCGGTCATCGGTGGGACGTACATGACCCTTCTCGCCACGTAAGTTTCCACCTCTCCTCCACTCCCCGCAAGAAGCTCTGATTAGATGCTAACTTTAACAGGGTCTCCAACCTGGGTGGTACTTTCCCACGCTACTTCATCCTTAAGTTTGTGGATATGTTCACTTCGGCGACCTGTGTCCCGCCGACCATTCCACCTGTGGACCTCAAGGGTGCGCTGGTGACGGAGCCGTTCTCGTGCGCATTGGAGGCTGAGAAGCATCGTTGTATTGAAGGTGGTGGTGCTTGCAACATCCAGACCGATGGCTACTACATCGTCAACGTGCTCTGCATCATCATCGGTGTGCTCACTTTCTGGGGCTACATCAAGCCGGCTGCTTTGAAGTTGCAGGCACTTCCGCTGAGGGCGTGGCGTCTTTCTGGCGCTAGCTGAACGGTGCAGTGCGCCATGGCTGAATAGACTTAGCTCGCCTGCACTGGTTTTTTTCTAGATGTCAAATAGAAAAATCCGATCTGATAACGTGGTAGCACTTGAAAGAGCCCCGGGAAAGTTTTCCTGTTCGGCGACATCACCCTTGCCTTTGTTCCACGGGTCAAGAGACCCTTGAAAAGAACCCTGGATGTGCATTTAGGCAAACAACCTCAAGTCCAAGCGTTCGTTGCATCATATGCTGAATTGTTTGCTACCTGCATCCGCACATCACATCCCACATGCACATCAGTTAGGGCGTGAGTTCCTTTTTCCCGAACAGCAGCGTCCGAGGGAAAGGGTTTCCGTCCGATATCTTCTGCGCCATCGGATGCAATGCCGTGATCGCGACTCCACGGAATCTCCCCAGATAAGACAACCAATGGGTGGCAAGCGGACAACATTGTACATTGAACGTTCAAGCAACGCGCGGGCAGCTTCCCATCGCTACTGGCCATAGCTCCCAGACGTGGCGAATCCACAGTGCAGAATCATGAATCAGAGCCGGAAGAATCTTTCCGCGGGGGCGAGACATCACGGCGTGCAGCGATCTTCGGGGGGGCGAGTGAGACCGAAAGGCGAGCGCGGGTGTAACTAAGTAACGACCGCACAACCATCCTCGTGGTCAGCGTCTGACGGCGGTATTGTCAGCGTCGACGGCCAGAAAGCGCGCCGAAGGGTTCTCGGAAGGTGCGAGAATGACGCCTTGACGCGCCGGGATACGTGATGGAAAGGTGGAATGCCCAAAGCTTTGGCGGGCCGATATACCTTTGCAGTAAGGCCGACCCACCGCCAGATATCGGCTTCGATGCCAGGCGGGCACCGTTACAAATGCTATGTTGCTGAAGTAATGTAGATGGTCTGGAATGCGGCTGGCGGTATATAGAGACAAGCGGTGCTGTGGCAGGGTCCGGCTATACTCGCCACTGTCACTGCTTTCACGCGGAAAACAAACTTGCCCGATCAGATAATAATACCCTGGTACGTTCACCGACCTGCCGATACGTAGCTTTAAATTCCCGTCCACGCGGACTTCAAACCTTCCATCTCATCCACCACTCCATCCTTGTCTCGTCGCACGCGGCTAACCCTTTGCCTCGCCTTCAGCACTTTTTTTTCTCTAAACCCTCAACTTCACAACATCAACAATGGCTACCTCCGGCAAGGCCCGCGTCCAGCACCCCGCTCCCGACTTCAAGTGCACCGCTGTCGTCGACGGCACCTTCGAGGGTAAGCTTGCAGTAGCCTTCCCCCCGCCCGTTTGAACCCATTGCTCACAATTGTCCTTGCAGAGCTCTCCCTCTCCTCCTACACCTCTCAGGGCAAATGGCTCGTCCTTGCCTTCATCCCCATGGCCTGGACTTTCGTCTGCCCTACTGAGATCATCGCCTTCTCCGATGCCGTTGAGCAGTTCGCCAAGCGCGGTGCCTCCGTTGCCTTCGCCTCCACCGACTCCGAGTACTCCCTCCTTGCCTGGAGCACCGTTGCCCGCAAGGACGGTGGTCTCGGCCACATCAACATCCCCCTTCTCTCCGACAAGAACCACAAGCTGTCCAAGGACTACGGTGTCCTGATTGAGGAGGAGGGTGTCGCCCTCCGTGGCCTGTTCCTCATTGACCCCAAGGGTACCGTCCGCCAGGTACGTTGGACTTCCTTATGAGGCGCCCTTCTGGGATTTCTTGGAAGACATGCGGCTAACACTTTCTGCAGATCACCGTCAACGATCTTCCCGTTGGCCGTTCCGTTGACGAGGCCCTCCGTCTCGTTGACGCCTTCCAGTTCACCGAGAAGTACGGCGAGGTCTGCCCCGCCAACTGGAACCCCGGCCAGGACACCATCAAGGCCGACCCCGTTGGCCAGAAGGCCTACCTCGAGAAGAAGTACGGCGGTGATGCCATGACCCAGTAAACGTCTCGCAGTTACGAAAACACCACACGCGGTGTGCACGATGCATATTACGGCGCACGGGTAGAACTTTAGGCTGTGGCTATTACAGCCATACGGCGACATGAAACCAGCGTTTCTTGCCTGTCATTTCAGTGTCTGCTGCCTTTTAACACTTATTGTTTGCAGGCAGCATGATAACTCGAGCGATACCTTGCGGATACCTTTTACTGCGTAGATAGGATAGATCACAATACCATTTTGGGCCCGAATGGGCTTTGCTGCTAATATGACATTACTGCTGCCATATGGCTTGTCTGTTACGTCTGTGCGGATTTTTACGTGCTTAACGGAGACGTTCCCGCGCTGACTTCAGCCACATGCGTGGCAAGACTGCGGCTCTTGAAAGCGAAACTCGGGACCGTCTTCCGCCAGACGCTGCACGTGTACCGTGGTACGATAGATGTACGTCGTAGTCTGGTTGAAACAAACGCGGAACAGTGCAGTCCTGACACGACGGTCAAAAATCCGCCTGTAGTGCGCATGTTCCGTAGGGCTGATGAGGAAGGGCGTGTGGCGATCGACGCTGCCTTGACGTTCCTGCCGGTCCAAAGTCTATCACAACCTCATCTCCTGCCGCCCCACAAAAATAGATTTTCGCACAATGAAATGGAACCCAGGATCCGATCTCTGCTGCTCGACGATTCCTTAGCCATCGACAGGTTCTCTCAGGACCAACTTTCTTTCCAGCTCCCCCAACAACAGCATTCGTTGCCGCACCATGCGTCTCGCCCCGCCCCTGTAGAGCCGAGTGCTCCTCGTCCTGGCAGTTTTGCGCTCCATGACATCTATAGTCCCACGTCCAAGGATCATGGCATTTTCTCGAGCCAGCGCCCAGCCATTGCTCGCCATCCCGCCGACCCGACGACGCTGCAGAGCGAGCAGCGCAACAGCGTCTCGCGACCGACACAATCGGCCCCCCTCGCTGAGGTACTCAACAATGAGCAGGCGTCGTCAAGCTTCAGCGGCTCGGTGAACGACCTCCTGCTCGACGATGACGCTCCGAACAAAAGGCGAAAGGTCGATGGGAACGAAATTTTCACCCTTCCCAAGCCGTTCCCGGTGAAGAAGGGCAGTCGGAGACCGAGGATACCGCCCCTCTTGCAGGGTCTTCATCAGCCTCCACCGGATGCTGGACTGTTTCCTCCCATCACTGGCGAGCGAGTCTCTAGGGAAGCACCTAAGGTGCTGACGGACTCGAAGTCTACCGAGACGACGGAAGGCCCTCCCAAGTCGGCAGGTGCAAAGGAGTCGGAACAATCGGCAGCGGCGAAGGAGAAGGGCCCCACCAAACGCCGCAAGAAGTGGACAGAGGACGAGACTACAGACCTGCTGAGAGGCGTTGCACGGTTTGGCATTGGCAACTGGAAGAAGATACTGTCGTGCCCGGACTATACCTTTGATGGTAGGACGGCTGTTGATCTTAAGGATCGCTTCCGAACCTGTTGTCCTGAGGAGTACCGGAAACTGAAGGCTCCTTCGAACGCTGACAAGGACAAATCGCCTAACACTGCGGAGTCCGAGACATCGAACGGAGGTTCTTCCAATAAGCCGGCCTCTAGCTTGGTGGTGTCGAACATTCTCCATCCGAGCCCATTGGCCAGCATACCAAGGCCGGAGAAGAAGAAGCGTGGTCCTAAAGTCCATCGAAAAGACCTTCATGACTTGGCATCCATTGGCATTGATGCACCATTCAAGAAAAAGGTTCGCCGTGAGAGACGCGAGTTTACTGAGCAAGAAGATGCTGCTTTGTTGCGTGGGGTTGAGAAACTCGGACCGCATTGGCATGCTATACGAAACGACCCTGAACTGGAACTAACAAGCAGGCATCCGACTGATTTGCGTGATCGCTTCCGCAACCGATGGCCAGAAAAATATGCAGAAGCTGGCTACAAGATACAGCTAAAAGGCAAGAGCAAGAAGGACGGCGAAGACACCTCCGCTACTGAGAGCCCGATGGACAAGACGCAGGCAGAAAAGAGCAGCACACAAGATGATGCTGTCGCTTTGACCAGCGCTGCACCTTCGACTACTCAGGTCGCATCTGCCAACAAAGCCAGGGCACCAACAGATCTCAAAGCCCTTCTGACCAATTATCCGTTTCATGACCCATTTCAAGACACAGACGAAGATTTTGCATCTGACCTGCCTTTTGGCGGCGAATGCAGCCCTGTCATCCTCAGTAGAGAGATATTTTCGTACGCGCACCCTAACGGAAACCAATTGCCAAGCACTGTGGACCTATCCGGTAACGGCGGCACCGACAATAGTCATATAAACCCGCTCGATACGCTTAAAATCCCCAGACTGTCCACCAGCCATCACTCCTCGAGCACCAGTCTGCCACCTGTGTGGCTTACAGCTCCGCTGACGGCGGGCTTGACGGAGGCGAACTCGAGCTCGAACAACCCGAAGTCAAGGTCCGACTCGAGGAACTTGGGCTCTGAATTGGTGTCTGGAGCGGGATCAGGGTCCAGCAACGCGGGCGCGGTCAGCTTACCCGGGCCGGCCGATCTGCTCATGGGACTGGACTTTGACGGCAGGGATGCGCATGGTCCCGGCAGTGGCAGCTTCCTGTGGGACGAGCTGCCGGGGCCTAGTTCTCTGAGTTGATGGCTTGGGGTTAGAGGCTCGTTTGCTTGGCAACCATTTTGCGAGAATGGTTAGACTTAGCCTTTCCTCTCCCGGTATATGCCCCGGAGAGGGGACTTTTGACTTGGGTGTTTATATTGTGAGTCTGCGAATTGGTGGCGGTGGTGGTGATGGTGGCGAAGGGATGATATGATGAGTGTGTGTGTGTGAAGGAGCTCCCCCCTCTCCTCTCCCCCCTTGGAGCAAACCAAAACCAAACCAAACCCCCAACCCTCAACCCTCAACCAACCCCCCTCCTCAGTATACGTCGTCTTACTTTTCCCGTGTGAGACTCGTTTGTCAGTGGAGGTAGATCATCCATCACCCATCGTGTCATACTTGATGCAAAGACCAAATGCTAGAGTGTCCCCGGGCTCGGTACGGGGGCGCTGGCTGCTGCGGTGGGACATACATACTTTTTTTCGTGTAGCTTTTTCGTGTGTGATTGTATATTCTTCTCAGGGATGTCTGTGTGCTGCTGTAAAATGTGTGCTTGGAGGCGTGTTGGCCGTGGGACTCGGGGGTGACACGCGCGCGGCTTCGTGAGATCCTACCTACCTTAGAGTACCTTACCTGCCGCTCTGGACACGCCGGCGGTTTGAGACAACATTGCACGGTGAGATGGCTTTGGGACCATTGCTGCTTCTATTGCGTCGGCCGTGGGAGCCGGCGCTGTGTATGCGTGCTTTGGTGCTAGGTCGTTGGGGCATTGAAGGCACGAGGTCGAGGGCGCTGGGTCCTAGCCTGAGAGAGGCTTTGAGAGCGCAAAGCGAACCCCGCTTCTGGCGTCTGCTGCATGGGTCCGTTGGTGGAGTGGGTTAGATGGAGTGCGAGGACCCGCTGCCCAGCTAGCTGCAGGTCGTGCCGTCATTGCGTGCAGCTAGGTAACGGGATCGCGGGGTTGAGGATGCCCCCACACTCCACTAAGTGTGTCCTACGTTGTTCGGCATTATCTCTTGCATTGCTTTTCGCGACGCCACGTTTTTATTTTTGTGCGCTGTTGACATGGCGTTGCTCGTTAGTCGGGCTTGCGCGGTTTCACGGGATGGGTTTCTTTTGGTCTGAGTTCGCTGCTGGCCAATGGGGGGTTGAGATGCGGGCTCATGGGCTTGGACCTGCACACCCCTCTTCTTCTTTCGAATCTGGATGTAATGGATCTCTCCCCCTTGTCCTGCAATATTTGCGCGCATACAGTAGCTGTCTGTCCGCTGTGGAATCTGGGGCTGGATCCAACCTATCATGCATCAATTTCAACAAGTCAACACGCACGACGCAGTGAGTGTTAGGTTTGTCAATTTCGGAGCCTGTTTCAACCAACCAGGCACCTTTCTTAATGATGGGGCTTACTTGGAGCAATGTGGGTAGGGCAAACGATTTCCACCTTGACAGTCACATTTTCTCAGTCAGTTTCTTGTTCAGTCTCAATCTTAGCGTTCTGTTTCACTTCTTGAAATTTGTTCATTTGCGCGTCAGTCGTCATCACTTTTCATTACTGACACGCTCCTGTGTCTCCTTGGGCAAAGCAAGCCCCCGCATTCGTATCGGGATGGATAGACAAACCACGATGCTCAGAACCCACTAATGGCTTAGATCTTGCGTCTACCTTCCACGCGAGCTCTTCTGCGCGTATCCCCGGTGCATGGCAATAATCCGCTAATAACCGAGGGCCATTGAGCATTAGCAGTGCATATGTTGTAGGAGTATTTCTCCGCCTATGGAAACGTTCTTCATCACGTTTGACGCCTGAAAATGCAGATCGATGCAGTCTACCCGGATTTCGCTAATCTGCAGTAACCCTTCCCGGGGTGACCTGGTCCCTCTGCACGATCTCCGCTGCCGATCTGTGCACTGTGAGGATGTGGTAAGGTTCACAAACCCCGCTCCTCCCGCTTCTTCCGCTTTTCTTGGCAATATGCAAATCAACGTAAGTTACTTAGATTGCTCCTGTGCGACCAAGTGGTTCGCTTCATTGATATTGTAGTTCAAACTGTCCAGAAGAAGGAGGCAGAATTCTCGAAGCAGATTCCAAGGTGCGTATAACTTAGCTTGTCACTTAAACATCTGGAATAGAGGCGCTCGCATTTAAGTAAGAAGGTTTCAGGTTTGCAGGATGAGAGCTATACTTGGTATGCTCAGCATGGACACTGCTGCACCTTAAGCACGCCAATGGTTTCTTTTTGACAATCACTTCCGTTGCAATGGCTCAATCACAACGGATAGCGGCACCATACTTCATTAGCCGGTAATATGAGATGCGGTGTTAGTTAGTTCAACTTCACGGCATCCAGCACGATATCTGTGCACCAATGAAGGACCCCACCTCATGCTACACAGTGTGGGGAAGCTGCTCTACGCTAAAGCTCGATTACGAGGTAAGATGTAGCGGACATTCGAGTAATCCCTGCTGAGCTTGAGCATATAAAGGCGCCTGTGGCAGCCATCCGACTTTTGAGTTTGAAACTACAAAGCCAAAACTCTAGCTGGCAAAGCCATCAGATGCTTACATAATCTTTGCTCCAGCTTCGTCTGTCTACAAGCAATCACAGTATCACCAGAGCAACCATGCCTTTACCTTCCATCAGTGTCGGTGGAGGTATCAAGGTGCCCAAAGTGGGGAAAATCTCCGCCAGTGGTGGCGTTGATTTGTCGAAAGGGATCAACTTGACTGGTGGCATCGAACTGTCTAAAGACAAGGGGAACGTCTTCACCAGTGGCGCTGCGAAGCAATCTCACGAGGATGTTTCTCACCAAGCTATCAGCTCCTACTTCATAGGACCTCAGGCCGAGAACCTGTCCTATTTCAAGGACAACCTGGATGCTATCCTCGAGGAGGTCCGGAAAGCAAGGGCTCGGTATTATCCTAGTGACGGGGTATGTTTATGTGCCCCTCATCTCCTGGCCAGAAACTCCGACTGACTTGAATGCTTGAATGCGCTCAGCAATTTGTGTCGAGTGCCATCCAAAGCTCTGCCGCCTTCCAAGAATCTACGAAAACCGTTGCGGAGGCTTCAAGGAAGCTTGCAGAGCTCCTTGGGAAACACTCCGTTCCCTTCTGGTCTCCAAGGTACCAGGGCCATATGGCGATGGACATGAGCATGCCTGCCCTCCTTGGCTACTTTGCCACAATGCTATACAACCCGAACAATGTCGCATTCGAAGCTAGCCCCATATCGACTATACTTGAGATGGAGGTCGGTGAGCAGCTGTGCGAGCTTCTTGGCTACAACACTGTCGAGAACGAATACGACTCGCAGCCCACGGGCTGGGGTCACATTACGTGTGATGGCAGTATCGCCAATCTTGAGTCAATATGGTATGTGGAAACCCGACCTCTAAATAAAGTGGATAAGATACTGATTATTCTAGGGCTGGTAAGTGGCAGGAATATCATTTCTATCGATCCGTACAACCACTGACCTCGGCTTTTCTCAGCACGTAACCTCAAATTTTACCCTCTGTCACTGCGTCAGGCCATCGAAAAAGGTGGTAAGCTTGACTTTATCGCCGACTCGTTCAAGGTCAGGAACTGTGAAGGCGACGAGAGACTCTTCATAAACCTTTCAACCTGGGAGCTCCTGAACCTGAAGATGAGTACTATTCTCGATCTGGCCGATCGCCTCAACCATGAGTATGGCATCTCTTCAGGATACATGGAGAAGGTGATCGATCAGTACAGCATCCAGTCGCGAGGCAAAGATGCTGTGGAACGCGAATACGACATCAACAAACCAGGACAGTACATGGTCGCTACTACCAGGCATTATTCCTGGCCCAAGGGAGCTGGTGAGTGAATTTGACATTAACTAATAGCTTCCCTACGGTGTGGAGCAATATCTAACTTCTCAAAGCCATCGCCGGGATTGGTTCGGAAAATGTCGTTGGAATTCCCATCAACAATGCCGCCCAGATGGACATCGGTGAACTCGAGAAGCGCCTTGAAGAGAACTTCGAAAACCAACAGGCGGTGTATGCAGTCGTTGCTATTATCGGATCGACCGAGGAAGGCGCCGTGGATCAACTTGGAGAGATAGTGAAGCTGCGCCACCGCTTCGAGTCCAGGGGCATGACATTCCTTATCCACGCAGATGCTGCATGGGGAGGATATTTTGCTACCATGCTCGAGCGGGATTTCACGCCTGGAAGGTCATCCTACGGCAATCTACCGGTCGAGTTGGGAGGCCCTGAAGGATTTGTTCCGGACAGTTCGCTGAAACCCCAGACAAAGGAGGATATTTGGTGGCTCCGATGGGCTGACTCCATCACCATTGATCCTCATAAAGCGGGCTACATTCCTTATCCTTCCGGTAGTCTCTGCTACCGCGACGGCCGGTTGAAGAATCTCCTCACATGGACCTCCCCCTATCTGTCACGAGGGTCGAAGACAGGCATCGGCATCTACGGTGCTGAGGGAAGGTGAGTGCCAAAATAACCCTAAAGATGACTTAGCTGACGCTCAATTACCCCAATAGTAAGCCAGGTGCGGCGGCAGCGGCGACCTTCATGGCCAACAAGTGTATTGGTCTCAACCCTGAGGGCTATGGCGCGTTGCTGGGCGAAGTGACGTTTACCTGCAGCAGAGTAAGCAATTTCAATGCCCTGATACGTTACAGAAACTGACCAATTCCCCTACCAAAGCTCTCTGCCCAATGGGCAGCTATGACAGATGATACAATGCCCTTCGTTGTCACACCTTTCAACATGCTTCCCTCCGAACTAGCGGACGGTGCGACACCAGAATCAATCGAGAAGGAGAAGCAATGGATCCGCGATCACATTCTCACCAAATCGAATCATGAGATCATCAATGACCAAAGCAAGGCTCCCGGTGGACAAACAGCTTTGGAGCTCTTGCGCCTATTGGGCTCTGACCTCAATAGTAAGTAGGAAGGCCAAATAGCTGTAAAGGTGACTAACATCTTATCCAAGTCAACGCTTTTGCCGTTAACTTCCGCTTCTCAAGCGGCAAACTCAACGACGACACAAATGAAGCCAACTACCTGATGCAAAGGATTGTGCAACGCCTCTCGGTTGACTCCCCAGGTGATGATCCTACTAAAATCCCAATGTGGCTCACATCCACGGAGTTCTCTCCCAAAACCTATGGAGTTTGCGTACAAAACTTCAAGAAGAGAATGGGCTTGCAGGACGGGTCACAAGATCTCTTTGTCCTTCGCAACGTCGTCATGTCGCCGTTCCCAACGGAAAAAGATTTCATCGCTGAGATCGTGGGCGTGTTCAAGAAGGTGGCACTTGAGGAAGCTGAAGTGAGTAAAACATTGTCACTCATCTAAGCTTGTATCGGATACTAAATTACGAATAGCTCTGCAGGAAGCGCAACGATCAGACCGTGGCCGACCATGAGTTCATCGTCCAGGGCACTGACCTGATTTACCTCGTGCACAAGCCGAGCTTCCACGTGGGTAACTATCGTCACCAGACGATACTCGAGGTCGAAATTGTGGGCGGCGATTCCCAAAAAGACTTTGTCAACCTCAAAAAGCAATACCCAAAGGAGGTATTCCATTTCAAAACGAAAGACCCAATCGACCTGAATGAGTACCTTCACGCCAAGGAAAATGCAGTCCTCGAGGGCTATATAAAGTTTGGCACACAGTCAGTCAAGTCATAATATTTTTCCAATCCGTAAGCGAGGCTAACTGCTAGGATTTGGTACAGCGCGCTCTCATATCTGGTCTTCCAATTTAAAATCAATTCCGTGCTGAAGGATCGGCCACTCGACGGCATGTACCAAGCATCTTCCTACCCAGCCACCGGAATGCCATTCTTCCTCTATGGTTATGAGGGCGAGGCAAACCTTGACCATATCCTTGTCAAGTACCCGAGCGCACAGTTCCTGGCCGAAGGCGTCTCGCTCGAACTGGAGAATTCCATAGACCCCATGGAGTTCGACAAAGGCCTCGTGGTTTACCTCAAGGGAGCCCGAGAGGAAGCGATGCAGCCTTTCCCCGCGAACAAGGATATCGCATCAAACCCGTCCTTCTTCTTCCAGCCCGGCAAGACTTTTGACGTTTCGATTTACCGCGACCCATGGGAGGAGAACTTGAAAGCTGGCGCACAGCAGGTTTATGTCGATTTGATCAATGCGCCTAGCGACAAGTTCTTGACTAACGGTAAGTTGATGCTCAAAGATCGCCTGATCGTGGATAGCGAGAGCGTCAACTTCGATCCCTACTACCGCGAGGATGACGTGGCGACGTGGCAGGATGAGGTCAAGCAGATTGGCAAGAAGTCCTGAATGTGACCACAGTCCATGAAAAGGGGAAGTGAAAGTTGAGCAAAGGAAGAGCGTTTGTTCTTTCGTTACAGCCCCAGGTTTTGCCGCTGGTTTTTTTGCCAGCTGTCGTCTTCTCAGGTCTGATGAATTCAATCCTTACTTGTATGGTTTCCTCTCGGTTTAGCGGTTGGCCAAGTTGTCTGCGCTGGAGCTTCTAAGGCGTGATTTAGTGAAGTCACTCTGATGACAGCAGCTGTAGGTTGGCAAACACACTCGTTAGTTTCGTCTTCAAGCAAAATTTGTGCAGTGAATGCCTGAACTTCTTGCAGTTCCCGTTTGCTGAATGAGCAGAAACAACTACTTTGGAAAAGTAGGATATATCGAAGCATATTAGAAGATGTACAAGGTTTTTAAGCAAACAGATGCAAGCGAGGGTGCCTTGGTAATCCCCTTCTTTCACCTTGTTGCCTATTTGAACTAGCGCTGTGGAGCACGGACCACCGCCGCCAATGTTCTTTGGGGAAGGCAGATTCTGACCGACATCTTTCGCATCACCGTCCGCTCTCGAACTGCCACTGCTTTCAACCTCAACCTCAGTGGCGGTTTCGCCGATGCGTTGCCTCGGGAAGCAGGCTCAGCATCGCACTTCAGCCATGCCCAAGCACCACAAAGCCAAGCTTGCGCCGCCTGGCCAGGGCGATGCCAGTACCAATGGTGAAAAGGCTCTGGTCCCCGAGAAACAAAAGTTTTCTGAGTACGTATACTATTATGAACGCTCTAGCGTTGATACCTTCTCGCTGATAGTCATGTAGTCTCATCACGACGCCAGTCATACGTGTCACAGTCAGCTCCACGGAAGACGAAAAGACTTTCTTCATTCATGAAGGCCTTCTGTGCCAAGAGTCGGAGAAGTTTGTCAGGCAACTGAAAGGAGGATTCAAGGAAGCAGTTGACAAAGCGATCGAAATTCACGACGAAGACCCAAACCACTTTGGCTTCTTCGTACGCTACCTCTACGATTACAACGGGAAGTTTGGGGTAGACGAGGACCTTATTGTAGACATCACGCTTCTCCCCAGACTTTACAGCATGGGAGGAAGACTCGACGCAACGGTCTTCCAAGAGACAATCTTTTCGAAATTCTCGAGGTTGTTCAAAGATCAGTGGCTCACTACTCACGAGATTTGCGACTTGTTAGAAATTTGCACGGAAATCCCCGAAAGGGTTAAGGAGGACCCTCTGAGGGATCTTGTTTTTTGGTACGCGGCCGGGAAGCTGGAAGACTTGCAGGCTTGCGACCGGTTCCCCGACCTACTTGAGATGTATCCTGATTTGGGACGCCATCTTTGCATGAGGGCTGGAAACAGCAGGCAGCATGCTAGGCCGATCGGCCCTATAAGGGTGCCGCCTTGTCGCTTCGAACGGGAAAACATGTACAGATGACGAAGAACCTGGGATTGAACTGAGTATGGGGAAGGGACACGAATCTCAGCTCTTGGTACAGTATTGTACCTTACGTAGCTCTCTAAGGAAAAGGACAAACGAATTTCCACAGTCAACATATTCAGTGTGTGCGCGTTGGAAGTGAGTGTTTTCAAAGCTTGTCCGTATGAAACTCAGAAGTGACCAAAACTCCCGCCCTGGAAGAGAGCTGGAGAACACATTGAACGAAACAAAACTGTGTATCCGCCAACTCCGAAAAAATTTGTCCACCTTTTCAACGATTTTGTTGACCTGCTAAATCATGACGTTTCAGTCCGTGTCAATGGAATCTCCTAGCCACATTGGGTATCTTCGGCTTGCTAAAACGGTAGCATCTCTCGCAAAACTGCTGCCTTGGCTTTCCCTTAGCCGTAGATTGGTACCTCCTGTCAGCATCCTTCGCCAAATTCGGGGGTGTAGTCTGCTGGGAGAAACGCTAAGCCTCACGTTGCCTGGGGTCGATCTGTTAACCTCCACTCGTACCAGGTCTTCGGGTTTGCCCATGTAGTAGATTTCTCCCTTCCTGAGCTTACACTTGATTGAAATATGCTTTTTGTTATCTTTCTTACGTGATTGTTGAGCAAGAGGATATACAGCCGTTACTAACATCGAGCTTGCATGTTTCCAAGTTGCGTCCGGGCCATTACATTTGACATAGTCAGTCTCCAATCATTCGGAGTTAATGTATGCGAAAGTTGCGGAGTCTTCGGAGTCAGCGAGCATTTTTGCCCAAATGGTCTTTCCTTCGCACGGGATCCTGAAGCATTTGAGGCCCTTTTCTGGCCTTATCCAAGCAACCACGAAGTCCCCATTGGAGTCAATACCGGTATGCTTCATATCATCGAGAATGCCTTGAATGATCCGTATCGTCGCATGCTGCTGCTCGCGTGTCCTTTCAGTGAGCCATTGCTGCAAATCAGTTTTGTCATTTTTGAAGGCTTCAATTATGTCTGCAGCTGCCAGGTTATCCCATTCCGGAGGAATCGATAGTTGGCATTGGATCCAAGGCAACATAACATTTGCGATGAGAACTCGCAGGCGTACTCTCTGGGAAATTCCCGTACAGAAGCTCACCTGGAGCCCCCAAAATTCCTGTAGAAATGGAAAAGTTGGCCAGTAGCCTCGAGATAGTTCAGCTTGCTTGAGAGTGCGAGTTGGACGCTTTGCCCACGTTTGAGCGAGTTGAACGACAACGTAGTTTCCGCCTTGCAAAGCCATCTGACGTTGCTGAATCTCCCAACCGCTTTGTACGGTCCCTAGATTCTCTAGAAAGGGCTCGGAAAAAGTCAGGCGTATCTTTTCATTGTAGCGACAATCGTCGTTCGCTTCTACCCCTGCGCCGATTTGTATCTTTATACATTTTCCGAACGTTGCTTTGGGGTCAGGGCTTATGGTGGCGCTAGGGAACCAATGGTACTTGCGCTCCTTGCCGTTGCTGGCCATGATGGTACCCCCACCTATCCGGATTGCACAAAGTTGTTCATCCTGCGCTAGATGATCTTTGGTAGATACATAGCACCCTGGACCCCATGTGTCTAATATATCTTCGGGACAGCCGATCAGGCCACAGGCGAGTTTTGCGCTGACAGGCGGTGCTGGAGAGTGAGGACCTCTCTTCAGTGAGAATACCAAAACCGGACCTTGCAACATATCATGCAAGCAGGTGAGAGCCTGAAGTTCTGCCTGGATATAGGGAGATCCATCTTTGTCGGCGCTTCCAAGTAGTGCAATCTCCGATAGTGTTTCATCGAGAATGGAAGTCGTGAGAGGCCCTGTATGTGCTTTGTTGTAAGACAATAGGCCCAGACAAAGGAACTGTATGGTCAAGGAATATAAATGGATTTCTCCGTCGATGTTGCTTTGGAAAGAATCCGGGACGTTAATGAGCCAGTCAAGCATGTCCAAATCACAGAGGATGCTGAGAATTTCGATAGCGCCGCCAGCGCTAGAAGATAACGACATCGCTCCAGGAAGCAGGGTATGATATAAATACGAGAATAGCTGGGTAATCAGCTCAATTTTGACCGAGCACAGCTCGACTTTGTCCGGTCCGACTGCTAATGAGTGCTTTCGTAGTATTGTAAAACTGTCGCAACAAAGATTGGATTCCTGTATTTTTGCTATTGCCTTGCATAGATTCCCAACCGTCCTATGGAGTTGCGAGATACTGATAGAATGGGTTGAGTTGAAATCTTTGTTTCCAAAAGTATAGCGTATTTGCACTGGATCGGTGGAAAACAATGCGTTAAAACCTGCCGTTTTGCTGCCGCCAATACCGCAAAGTTTCTCAATGATGTATGTGGTCGCTTCATTTGGTTGTCCATGAGATTTCTCAGTGTTGGTAGAGGCAGCAAAAGAGCTGAGTTCCAGAGGCTTCGAGACGGTCTCTATGAGCGAATGCGGACAGCCTAAAAGATGGCGTCCAACAAATACCTCAGGTCTGGTGGACTTCGGAGTTTCCAAACGGATTGAGGAACCATTTGTTTTGTCACACAATAGCTGGGCAATTTCCGTTTCTGGGCAGCCAATATCTATGAGCTCTTGTACCCATTCCCTTTCTTGTAAAGGGATTCCTTCAAGATTGCCTTGAAGTAATGTTCGAATAGTCTCTACTTCAGTGCGTATCTGAAGAAACTCTGTACGGGAGAGACTTTGTTCTATTAACGGCCGACGTCGAGTTCGTGCTTCTACAGCAACATCTTCGCCTCCCGTCGAAACTTCTGATGGTGACTTTTGTTTGGATTGTCTGGATGGCCCCGGAGAAAGACTGACCGGACGAGACATGTTCGAGATTTGGAAATGCTCGTACCAAGCCTCGAGTTTGCTTTCTTTATCGTTTTCTCTCCCTTCCTTTTTTGTCTTCTGTATGCTCCTTGTTCCGAAGAAGGTCGCTGACAAGTCTGCGAGCTGCGAAAAGATGTGTGGTCTCAGCGTTTTTTTTTTACCCTTTGGCCGCCCATCCGTAAGGATGGATCGGACCAAATCACTTTGAAAGGTAAAGCTCTCTGTTACACAGAGAGCCCTTGCTATGCA